TCAATACGGTAAAGTCACACTGAGAGCAGAAACAGAGCCAGGTCAGCTCCGTCCAGGCCGAGCGTAGCGCTTCCCAGGCACGGCATGGATGAGATGCATATGGGCATCGGCCATCTCACGACAAAAGCAAAGAAAAAAGGCACCCGAAAGCCTCCTTTGGTCTTGGCTGGGCGCGCCGTGAGCGAGCTTTCAGTAGGTACTAAGCAGGGGGGGAGAGAGGCCTGTTATCTTGCGTCCCCCCCCTCCCTCCCTCATGTTCGCTGCGCCTTTCGGTCTCTCTCTCTCTTGTCCAGCTTCTCTCATCATAGTAATTTGGGTTGGCGCAAAGGAGAGCCAGGGGGGATGCCGGCATCTCGTCATTGGCTCGAGGTGATGCTCCTTTAGTGCCAATCTAAATCAATGTGCCTATTGCTCGGTTCTTGTTTGCGTCGTGACGAGGAGGCATGGCTATCCCTGCTGCCACACTGCTTGTTCTCCCACACCCGCACGCACGCACACACGATTCTGCCCCCCTCTCTCGCACGCACAAGCCCAGGCACACCCCAGAGGCCACACAACACGCACCCCTGAGCTAAACGAGAAAAAGGAAGAAGAGGGACAGGGCCAAATGACAGCAAGAGAGAGAGAGAAAAAAAAAAGAGTGTGTGTAGGGATGAGGGATCGATATCACCTTACCCGGACCAGTCATTTCACTCCATTTCCAGCCGTTCAGCAGGTCAAGGTTTCTTGGGCTGCAGGAGTAATCGGCGATGGCTTTGATGCAAGACGTAGAGACGACGTTGACGACAGAATCAGAGAGGAGCAACTTTGTCTCAGAGAATGGCCCCTTCAGAGGCCACAGCTACGTAGGTAAACGCGTATTCTGAACGCTCACTTAACAGGGAGATGGAGCTCTTGACCTCTCAGCTCGGCTCATGTGTATGTAGGTATATAAGTAGGTATCATCCACTGCTGGCTCCGTATCGAATGCCACCTCGCGTTGGCTTGCCTCGCGGAGCATCCAGACATACCTGCATGGGTACTACATAATGGCAAGAATATCAAGCAAAATGTACTTGACGCATGCTGCATGCTCATGCCTAGAGACTGGCCGATCCAATGGAGAATGGAGACGGCAAAATGCCCGTGAGAGGGCCGCTAAGAGGGTGCACGGATTGCTTATTGCTGGTAACACGGGGGATTATCGCGACAAGAAGTGGACACGCATCGTCATGGCTTTGCTTCTCATCATGTACTAGTAGTATTTTCGTTGTCTTCTTTCTTCCCGACTTGTGTCTGTGTTAGTTTGACTGTCGGCGATAAGATCGATGGGGATGTAAGTGGCTGATGGGGGAGCAGCATCGGGTGAGGAAGCTTTAGTTACGGGTATGGATGCAGTGCGGATGAACAGTATGAGGATGCTGTTGGAGGTGCTGCTGTGATGAACAAAGAAGCAACTGAGACAAGGCTGGGCCTAGACAAGAGCAGCTGCTGCATGAATGTCTGGTTGGTTGCACACAACCTCCTCCTTTGCACACGTCCCATGCAATCATACGTCGCGATGGCATCCACATCCACTGCCATTCCAGCCCAAGGACACAAAGAAACAACAACAACAACAACGAGGCATCCGCAGCGCCAATACACGCGAGAAACGGAGCGTTGAGGTGAGATTGTCGCACGAATCCAGGTACCGTATGACCATTCAGTAGTAGTATCAACAAGTCTCTTCCTCTCTCTCTGTCTTCCCCCCTCTCTCGCCTTTCCCCATGTTTCTCTTTTGTGTCTCTCATTTCCTCTTCTCCTCTGCTTCTCCCCCTCTTGTCCGACTCAGAGTATCTGCCGAGTGCCTCCCCCTCCCCCCCTCTCCCTGTCCATGCCGATCGAGACGTGCAGCAGCAGCAGCAGCAGCATCACAGCAAGAAAAAAAAAAAAAAGGACCCCAAATCCAAGACATTTCGTTGGGTCCAGCCATTCTCTTGAGGAGGGCCCCGCGAGACTAGCCCAGAGCCCGGTCCTACCACAACCTACCTACTGTAAGCCCACCTCGCAGACGAGAGGAAGACGCTGGACTGTACATGCAGTAATACATGCACTCGAGGTGATACTGCTTCCCTTCTCATATGACGAGCTGCGTGCAATTTACCCCGACTCGAGTGCTAGTGCAAAGGCCAAGATTGCATTCGCACTTTGCCCAGACGAGCAATAATACTGCTGCAGGAAGGCCATTTCCCACATCTCACGGCGGACGGACAGTATTGAGCTCCAGAGACAAGAGACGCCAGAAACAAGACATTTCTCCAAGGGCTGACTGAGAGAAACTACAGATACAAAGCACGGACTTGGGGGCTATTATCCATCAAGTAAACCCCCCGGCAGCTTTCCAGAAGACAAATTCGGTCCCATCCATTTCATCATAGCTCGAGGGACGGAGCAGAGATCAGAATGAGGCAAGGAGAAAGGGCGCGGTGCCTGGATTAGCTCTGGAGTAGCGGCCCCCTCCTCGTCTGGCTTTATTTCCGCTGGATTTTACCCTCTTTATTTTATTTCTCGTTTTGGGCTCTTCTTCCTTCTTGTCCGCTTCCGCCAATGACGACGTGCTTTCGACAAGCAGAAGAATTTATTGGGCAATGGGGTCATGCAGTAAGTTCCTCCCCCCCCCCAGCTCGCTCCTTTGGCTGTGCTTGTCTCGTTCCGTCTCGGCTATCTTTTTGGTTTTTGCTCTACTGCATCTTGTACATACGAATGGGACATGTCTTGCCCTTGTTATCTCGTGTTGGCTTCATGACTCTGCCGTCTCCAATTCCAGATCCTTCTCTCTTGCTGATCGGTCGGCTGTGCTGCAACATCAATATAGCGCCGATGCGACAATACATACAATAAGGTAGACATAGACAGTACACACATAGAGACAGACACATGGTCGAAGCCCGTGTCTCATGGCCTGCACGTAATAGTACTGGATATGATCCATCCCGTACACCCACGTCTCTTTGAGCTGGTCTTTCCACTTGTACCCTAATAACGCTGCAGAGGCTTGATATTCTTGTCCCCAGACGCGTGCGAGCATGGCGAGTCTTGCCGACGACCTGATATTAAGCTGCTGCCTCGGCATTGCTTCCGGGACTTACCTGTACGAGGAACCCGCCATCTCCATCGGGCTGTCATGCATTCTCCAGGCCGAGCAAGCACGGCATGGCCAGGTCCCGAATTGGCCATGGAGCAAATAGATTGTGTGTTATAATGAGCATCAGGCACTGATATTGGGTACTCCGTGCCCTGCCAGTGGCAGTGACAGCAGCAGCGCTCTGTATTCGCTGTCGTCGTCAAGGTTCTTCCTCGCCTTGTAGGTAGGTACCTGAATAGACAAAAGACACACCCCCCTGTTGTGCCCATCCAGGGATCCCTTTTTCTCCTCTCCTTCTCCAGCTCACGGCCTCCATCAGTCCCGCGCTCTCTCTTTCACATCTCTCTTCTCCGCCTTTCCGCCTCCGTCTCACCAGCGCTCTCTTCTTCCCTTTCCCACCTGGTTATACATACTACTACTACTACTACTACTACTACTACCTTCTACCAAGAAATCAACAAGGGGAAACCCTGTTCCCTTCCGAATCCGCCCAGCATCGTATCGGTACTGTTTCGTACAGTATCGTATTCTCGGTGCTGCTACTACCTAGTGCCAACTTGGCGCTGTTTGCTACGACTCGAAGAAGTATCACACTGTTTCAAGCATTTGATTATCAATATTCCCACAGCCTCTGCTTCGACGATCTAGGCTTGGGACGAATACGGAATAGGCAATCTTTGATTTTAATCACCATTGTGTCTTTTTACTTTCCTCTTCCCTTCCCTTGCCTCCCTGCCCAGAGCCTGGTCCCCGGAGCTGGCGCGCTTTTCCGGTCCCCGACAACAGAAGAAGAGCAACTGAAAGCTCGCTGCAGTTGCTTCAGGTTCCTGGTAATACCTCAACAAGGTACCTCGACCAAGGGTACCGTTTGTGCCACGGCGACACAAGACATCTACAAGCCCAGCGAGTACCGCTTGGGCGCTATTATTTGCAACCGCCAGCAGCCACGCTAGTCCTCGATTCTGCTTCCCCTACCTACTCTATTTGCTACCTACCTACGGCAAGCCCCTTCTTCGGTCTCTTTATTCTTCTATTTGGCAGGGTTTTTCTTTTCTTTTTATTTTTCTCCATTGTTTCTCTATTTTATTTTTGTCTCTATTATTTTCTACCCTCGGCCTTGTCGACTCGATTTGAGTCTCGCTCGCCTAATTCCGCTACAATTTCACGGGCTGTCCCGGGCGCTGCTCTTGCCCACTGGAAGCCGCCTGTGCGGCAGCCGCTCAGGCGCTAACACAGCTTGGACAGGTACTAGAAGCTACCTGGGCCCTGCTAGAGGCCGCTAGCACGCGTGCGCCGCGCGAGCCTGGGCCAGGCGTTAGCACGTGTACCTGCGCGCAGGTACCCGTACCGTACCTTGTACTCCGCTGCAGCCCCCCAGCCGCGCGAGTGACCTTGCCGATTCTGGTGCAGAAAAAGGTACCGGGTACCCCGTCGGCGGTACATCGCTACCTCTCTGCAGGTACTTTGCGCCGTGTACCTTCCGCACTTTCAGCGCAGACGCCGTTCCTTCCTTTCTTCTCTTTCCCTCCCGCAGCCACAACCGCCCGGCCTCACCTTCCCAATTGCTCGCGCTCACACGCACATTCTTCCTCCTAAGTCTCCTCCTCCTCCTCCCTTAAACCTTGCCTTGTCTTGTCCTTCGCCCTGCTTTTCTTCCTTCTTCTCGCCTCGCCCTCTTTGTTCTCTCTTTTCTCTTGTCTCGCCAAGAGTCTCACTCGCTCTTTTTTTTTTTATTGTTATAATCTTCTGTATACTTGATCTGCCTTTTAGTCATTCGCGCCCATTCGTTTCTTGCCTCTGGCCTCTCTCGCTCTGCCTCTTCCCTCGTTTATTTGATTCTCTCTCTTCCTCGCCTCGCTCGCTTCTTCCAATTCATCCCCAATTCGTGTTCTTGCGCCTCTATTTCGAACAATTGCCGTCTGCTTCCCAATCCTTGACTTTTTGCTCGAAAATCAAAGACCCGCATAACGCCACTCGCTTACTGTCCTGCCTGCCTGCGCCGAAACAAAGGGGGGGAAAAGAAGAAGAGGAAGAAATCAGACGAAGACGAGCGGCAAGCAAGGGATAGGGCGACAATATCCAGGACGGCACAGAACCAAGGGACAAGAGAGGAGGGAACAACACCATTTCCGTGCTCAAGCAGGGCCGTCAGATGTGAGGCGCTTTTCTCAATGGACTCCAATCTTCAGTCTCACCCGCTCCACCAGCTGGGCCAGCCTCCGTCCCAACTGGTGTCTCAGTTTGAGCAGCCACATCTTCAGCAGCAGCAGCAGCATCTCCAGCAGCAAGATCAACAGCAACACCACCACCAGCAGCGGCTACAGCAGCAGCAGCAGCAGCAGCAGCAGCCGCTCGACTCGGCCAGCTCCGCCCAGGATGTCCTCGTCGAGGCGCGCAAGAACCTCCAGGTCTTGATCGATTCCGGCCTCTCCAAGGACCTCCTCCACCAATGGGTCGACGACGACAGCTTCTCTCTGCAGCTGTCCTTCCCCGGCCAGCAGTCGCCGCTCTCCCAGAACCTCTCGCCATCCGCCTCCGCAACCACGCCTCCCGCCTCTGCCTCGACTCCTATCCCCTCGCCGCTGCTGTCCAACGCCGTTTCCGCATCTCCCTCGCATCGCATCCAGTCGCCTCAGGCATCCTCTCTCGCGCCGCATCTCCATTCCGCGACGCCGCAGAATCAAAATCAGAATCACAACCACAACCACAACCAAATCGCCCCTCCGCCGGCCGCTTCCGCCGTCCACGGCTCCCCCGTCGCGTCTCTCTCGGCCTCCTCCGCCGCCACCTCTCCCGCCGCCGTCTCCAGCTCCGGCACCATTGGCACCTCGGCGTCTCCCGGAAACGGTGCGCCGCCGTCCATCGCCATTATCAAAACAGAGCCCTCGTCCTTCGCCGACGATGTGTCGAGGGCCTGGGCCGCAGCCGCCGTGCTTCCGCAGGCCCCGGTTTCCATGTCCGGAGCGCCTCCGGCACAGGTTGCTCGCGTCGCCCCGGCTGCCAACATCGTCAAGTCGGACAATGCCGCGACCTTCATCTCGCCCTCGATGTCATACCTCCACCACCGTCCGCGCATCTCCGTCTCCTCCACCAGCTCGGGCTCTTCCGGCCATGCTTCCCTGTGGTCCGTCAACTCGGCGCGGTCGTCCATGTCCTGGGCGTCGGCTTCGTCTTCGCGCACCCAGAGTTCGCTGCCCATGACGCCCGCCTCGTCCTCGTCGGCCAACAAGACCAACATCTACTGGTGCACGTCGTGCGAGACCAGCTTCAAGCGCAAATATGACTGGAAGCGCCACGAGGACGAGTTCCACGAGCGCTGGAGGAAGTATCCCTGCCCCGAGCCGGGCTGCAATCGCAGTTTCTGGGGGTCCAACTCGTTCAACCAGCACCACAAGCAGTGCCACGGCTGTAAGACGTGCCCCCATGCCGAAAAGGTGGTCAAGTTTCTCCGCAAGCGCAAGTACTGGGCATGCGGCTTCTGCTCTGCCCTTCACCCTGCGCGGGAGCGTCACGTTGAGCATGTGGCCCGGCATTTCGAGTCTGGCCTGGGCAAGGCCGAATGGATGCACTCGAGGGTCATCTACGGCCTCCTGCACCAGCCTCTCATCCACAACGCCTGGGATGCGCTCGTCTCGACCAAGCAAGCCGAGTTTGGCGGACGCCGGCCCCAGTTCAGTTGGCATCCAAGCAAGACCGGCCGAGCTCAGGGCTTCCTCGAGAAGGAGAACCCCGGCCAGCTGCAGGATCTGCTCGAGTTCTTCTCCGGCGACGAGGGCGAGGCCCAGTGGATTGTCAACATTGCCTTTGAGCTGTCTGATATGGCCTTTGCGACTCCGCAACCGCCGGCTCCTACGCCGTCGCCGCAGCCGCAGTTTGCAGCCAACATGATGGCTGCACCGACCAGCTTCCCGCAGCCGCCGCCCCCTCAGCAGCAGCAGCAGCAACAACAACAGCAGGACGCTCGCATGTCCTTCGCGGCGCTGCCCTCACAGGCGGCTCAGCAGATGCTGGCATCTTCCCCCTCGGCCACGTCCAACCCTTTTGGCACTTCGCCTTATCGGGCCTCGGCCTTTGTCCCCTCGCAGCCATTCCCGTCACAAATTCAGCAGCACTCGTCCGACATGTCAGCATCCGCTCCGATGGCTGCCTCGCAGCTTCACCTCGACAAGCGGGAGCTTCCCCCTATTCCTCAGGGCCACACGCCCTCCATAACAGACGGCATGATGGACTTCGAGTACTCTCCCGCCCCAGTTCTCTTCGAAGATTGGGAGAGCATTGCCAGCTCGACCTATCTCGACACGACGGCAAACCAGCAACAGCAACAGGTCAATCAGGCTGCCGACTGGGGAATTGCCCAGTTCTACGGCAACCCAAATGCCAATTGATGAAGCGAAACAGAGCTACCGACCGCAAACAAGAAGTTAAAAGAAGAAAAAACAACAAAAAAAGATAAAAGAGAACATCAAGTGAGAGACACAGGATGAAGAGGGGAAAAGGCGAAAACCAAACCAGACATACTCGACACTCTTTCACCACTTATTGCCACTACCATTGTTGCCATATAGGCATCAGGTCTCTATCATGATGACGTTGCATCAAGCTATTCTCCTTAATTTCATCCCCTCGATCAGCCAATCTGCGCTACACTACGAACGGTTTTCCTTAGATTGTCTTTTGCGTCTCGGTTACATTATCCTGTTTGTTTGACGGGCATGGAGCGTCTCGGGGCAACAACGCGTGCTTTCTTGCTCTTTTTCCCCCCCTCTATACAATTTGTTGCCTTGAAATAATAATGATAATACCCCCCTTTATCGCAGCCAAATCAAAAGCGTGGGCGCCTATCTATCTACCTTGCTGTTGGACTTGAGATGACGTTCACCTCAGTCTGCACATACGATCCCTCAACATTTGTTTCCCTTTTCATATCCTTTTCTTTTGTGTGTTACTACATTGTGCCCATCCCAAGGGAGGAGTTGGGAGGTAATCTACGCGTACCGAGCTGGGTTAATGGTTCTGTCATTTGTCGTTCTCTCGAAGCAAGCCTAGCATGGCTGGTTTCTTGTTTTATTTGTCTCTGGAATGCTCGAAATCATATGCGGGCAGATGAAAATGGGAGGATCCCGGATTTGCTTGTTTGTTTTTGTGTTTTTGTTCCTCGCAGTTTAATCGGCATTGTACACTTTTGGGGTATGATGGGAAAAAAGGACTCTGCAAGAGGACAGGTATGTAGCTTCGTGCTGGGGAATAGACGGGCAATTTAAGTTGATGATACACCTTTTGGCTGATGTGCTTGTTCCTCTGCTTGACTTGTCATGTTCTTTGCGTCATTCACTTGCAGTTGTTGTTGTTGTTGCTTTCCCAGAACCAGGAGGCTCAACTCTGTCGTTCTTCTCTGCCCCCGCTCTTTGATTCTACGCCACTGACATGCTCTACACCAGCAAGCATCGTTCGGCGAGTTTTCTTTCAAGTGACTTTTGCAGGCGATGGACAAGTCAAGTGTTGAACGTGAGTAGTAGCTTGCAAGGAAACAGTGTCACGGTGCGTGGCTAATGATCGTTCAGTCCTCGATGTTCTTTGTGCGGACGAACATAGGTTTCCCTGATCCACGAAAGAGACACAACACAGAGCGATTCCATGCCCGTTCAGCCTCGCTTCAAACGGTGCCGAAACTGTACACTGTCGAAACGAAAGAAAGAATTCGAGATGATATACATATTCGAAAATGGCCACTCTGAGAGGAGCTGCTGCCGGACAGCCATTGTTCGAGTCGAATCTCCAGATGATTGTTCCTGGGATCTCTGTGTCTACACACGATCACAGCGTTCAGATTCCGACCAGAGGATAGCAAGCAATGGTATTCCTGTTCGAAATGCTGATGAGTGAATGGAAGTTGAACAAGATGGCGCTTCGCAATAAGAGGGCATTGCAAACCAAGCAATGGCGAGTGACATTTAATCAGTCCATTTCCTCTCTTCAACGAGTTTGCAAATTCAACCATCATCACTCTACATCACACACACATACAAACAGACCTCAGCAGACCACAGTCTGCTCCCTCAATCATCCACTTAGCCGATACGCTGACATTCACATCACAGATTTCAACCTCGCCGCTGCTCGCAGTTCACAATGGGCCACGGACACTCTTCCTCCAGAAAGGACTCCCGTAAGGATTCGAGAAAGGACTCTCGTCGGGAGCCCAGGCGGGACTCAAAGAAGGACTCGAGGAAAGACCCGAAGAAGGAATCGTCGAGGAGGGATCACAAAAAGGACTCCAAGGGTACGTCTTCTCGACATGAAACCTCCCATCGCTCCGATCGCCATCGCCATCATCGCCATTCCCACTCCCATGCTCATTCCCACTCTCACTCCCGCTCCCACAACACCCACCGCAACACCATCCACATGGGCAACACACATGACGACTCACAGGAGTACGCTCACCAGCGGATGGACTTTGTCCTCCAGCTGTTCCAGGACCACTCCTTCGTGCCCCAGATCCACCCCATGTGGGAGAGGATGGGCGAGGACGCAAGGAACGCGGCCCTCAAGGTCCGGGACAGAGGCTCGGCCGTCACTGCGCCGGAGAGGGATGAATTCGTCCGCATGCTGTACACCGCGACCCCCGAAAACCCCGAGAACATGAACTACGGCTACAACGCCGAGGAGGACCGGCTCTATAGCCGGGAGGCCTCGCCCGTCGTCAACGCCCTCGGCATCATGAACAACGAGGCCCCCAGCGAGCAAGAAGCCGTGCGCCGCCACTCGACATTCGAGCCATCGTCTAGTGTTTACTCTTCGGAGGCCGCATCCGCTCCGCGAAGCCGTGGTCGATCCCTTTCTCCTCTCATTCCACCGGCTGCTGCGGGTCCCCCTCCTATCCCTGCCCCTGAGCGTGCTGCTCCTGTCCCGCGGGAGGCTTCGACGGATGGACACGACAGGCGCTCCTCACATCATGACAGTCGATCGCGATCACATGCTGGCCCGTCGTCTGAGGGTGAGCGGCGCCATCGCCACCACTCGCACTCAAACTCCCATGCTCGCGAGTCTTCGCGCGAGAGGGCCAGGAGGCGTCCTCGCAAGCCGTCGTCGTCGTCTCGCAGGAAGTGAGCACATTGGATTTCCTCTGCATGGGACAGGACCAGCTATCCCAAAGTCCCCCTTCCCCTTTGTTTTGATTGTCTTGTTTTCTTCTTCTATTGCGGTTTGGTTTGCGAGTTGCTATATGGGTTTATTTGTACTACTATCGGACAGATGCGTTGACGTTTGGGAAACCGCCATGGAGGACACCACACACAGAAAATCAACACACACCACACAAATGGGGGGCAAGTTGGTGGAGGGTCGGTACTTGGGCATTTGTTTAATTTAAATTGTACCTGAAATAATTTTGCGTTGGCTTGATTACTTGTAAGGTTTTGAAACAGATTGTTTTGTTTTCTAGAGATGGATATGAATTGAATTTTAGTTGACGCAGTCCTCCTGATGTCATCAACACCAGAGGAAGGTGCAACCGCGTATCGCAACGTGACCATGATGATTACATCCTTGGCGAGCCTTTAGGCAGATCTTGCGCCCCGCACACCTTCTTTCATCTCACTTTCTTACCTCGTGAGGTTTTCTTACAAGTTTGTGTTGAATCAATCTGCCTTTATTCAATCGCTGTCGACCTTCCTCTGACTACCTTATAGTGAAGTCTATTTGCTTGCCCCTTTGGCCGCCCTTTTTCCAGCTCCTCGCGATTCGAGATACCCATGAAAACCCAATGCGCCGTTAGCATCCTATAAGTCTACTTATCTTCCCGTCAATTCCTCCGGGCAATTCGACCGCCTCGATTCTTGATATATATTATTCGAGCTTTTGCAATCCGCCACATCAGTACTCCGTCCGTTGGGTATCACCCCCTTCGACTATCATCAACTCCCCAGCACTAAGCCAATCTTTCGCAATCCACCAGCCCAAACTCCTGCAAAAAAGAAAACCTCCCATAAACGCCGCTGTTCACCATTAGCTAATAGAGTGTCTCAAGTGCTACCGTCGTCAAAATTCGAAGAGCGATCCCTATCCTCGTTACCTCGATCATATGCCGGCTTGTCTCCTTAAGCGCCCGAAACAACGTGAATCTCATACCCGATCAGAACCTCGGTGTTGGTTCCTTCCCATCCGCGATTGCCAGCTGCGCTGAGCATGAATCTGCTTGTCGGGTCGATGTACAGACTCGAGATGACACCCGCTCTGGGGGGTCCCGGGATGATGAGAAACGGCACGGTTGAGTGCTTGAAAGCGCGAGATTCTCGCAAATCATAGAGTCTGAGGATGTCGTGTGACGCACTGGACCAAGAGGTGTTTCGTCAGCCTTTGGACAAGGTAGGAAGAACCACACACGATCCTCGCCATCGTTGCTTTCTCCGAATATTCTCCCCGTCTCCTCTCCCTCGACCTTTTGCCATTCTCCGATGGACACCAACAACATTCAAAGGTAAGAAGAAAAATCAGACTCACCAGACCAAGTGTCGCCCGTTGACCATGGGCTTGATCGCACTCACTGCTCCGCTGCCTGCCGGAAACCGAAGCACCCTTTCTGGCTGCCATCCCCTCTTGGCTTTGGCAATATCAAACTCCTCCACTGTTCCGTTGCGTCTGCCGGCATAGATCTTGTTGCCGTCTGGACTCCAACAGGCGCTCATGCACCAAGGCGGTACGCCTACCCTGTTCGAGATCCTGGCTACTGCGCTAGGGACCCGCCTGTCCCAGACGCGAATCGTGCCGTCAATGGCTGATGACAGAAAGGTTGTCTGCGATACCTGCGTGGGATCGTATTGTGTTGGTGGTGGCTGCGAGCTGACAATCATGGGAGATCGCGGCCTCTTGACGCCTAGGCGCTCAGATGACGCCTCAGCCGAGGGCTCGCCATCCAGCGATTGGGTTTGCTGTTGGGCTGCCTGGCTTGAATTGTCGACCTTGACTGCCTCATTATCCGTCGCCAGTTCTGTCTGTTCCGTGACTCCGGACAGAGTCGAGACTTGGGTGTCTCCAAGGTCAGGAGCTGGAGCCAAAGCTGAATCTGGAGCCGCCTCTGGCGCTGGGGCTGGCATGCCTGATTCTGGACCCGGCACTTCGCCTGCGTTGCCTATCGGCAGATCCACGTCCATTGCATCGTCTGCAGATTCCGACTGCTTGAGCTGCTTGTCCGCTTCCATGCGGCCCATGGTCTCCATTGCCTTGTCTGCTGAGTGGTCCATCCCCGCTTCGTCCCCCCCCGCCATATTCATGCCACCGCCAAACTCATCGTCATCATGACCAAACGGCTGCTCTCCTGTCGTCTCACCAAAGAGACTCCCGGCATCATCGCTCCCTCCAAACAGACTTTCGTGGGCCGGAGAAGCTGCAGCCGCAGCGTCGGTCTCACCCCTCGTGGCGACATTAATGGATCTGTCGAGTCCATTAGGGCTTTTGACAGTCGCGCTCCCCGTGAAGCTGGCGCCGGCCATGGGTGCTCCGTTGTTGGTGGATATCGTGCTGGATGGCAGAGGCTCGTCAGCATCGGCTGGAACGGGAGCACCGCTTGCCGGTCGCAGCTCGATGGACGAGATTTGACCTCCGCTGCCGTCGAAGCTCCGCTTGATGTCCCCCGTGTCGAGGTCCCAGTCAAAGATGTTTTTGTCCCAGGCGCCGCTGAGCACGCTTCTCTCATTGGGGGCCAGAGTGAGCACGCTGACGGCGTTGGTGTGTTTCTGGAGAGAGCAGATCCGCTTGCCCTCATCGTGTCGAACGCTCTGCAGGTTGATTGCGCCAGACTCGAGGCCAGAGAGCAGCCAGAGAGCCTCTGAATGGACGGCCAGCGAGTAGACGGAGGAGAGCACGTGCTCCTGGTCGCTGCGCCCTGGGACTGCTGGTTCCTCGTTGGGCCAGTACGACATGAGGATGCCGGCCTTTGTGACGGAATCGACAAAGGGGTGTCTCTGGGCGACGGTCAGGGGCAGCTTGCCATTGATGGTGCCCGGACCGTCGTACTTGCGGATGTAGCCGTCGGCGCCACCGGTGATCCAGTACCGCAGATCGGGCGTGATGGCCATGGCGTTGATGCTCGTCGACATGGGCGCCGCCATCGTCGGGACGATGTCGTACAGGCGCGCCGTGTAGACCTCGGGCCGGATCTTGGGCCGCCACGTCCTGTAGAGGGACGGGAGCTGGTCCAGCTGCAGCGCGTCGGATTGCGTGCTGGGCGACTCGGGCTGCTTGCCGCGGACTCTGTCGTCGCCGTCTGCGCTCGGATCGTCCGTCGCCTGGCCCTCGTCGGCCGCCACGACGTCGGTGGTGTTCTCGCCATCAACGTCGCCATTGTCGCCTCCTCGGTCTGCTGCCTGCTCATTGTCATTGTCGTTGTCGTTGTCGTTATCACCATCGCCTTCATCCTCCCTCTCGCCGTCTTCTTCCCTGTCACCTTCAGCTTCAACCTCACCCTCAACCTCACCCTCAACCTCACCCTCAACCTCACCCTCAACCTCACCCTCGCCTTCGCCCTCGCCCTCGCCCTCTACCTCGCCCTCGCCTTCGTCGACATCCTCCATCACTTCGTCGGGCTCATTGTCGCGGTCCGACGTGGGCGAGCTGGCTCGTGACTGGTCTTCCTCGTCCATTTCCGCTGTCGCAACGGCGCTGATGAGCCCGCGAGATGGCTTTCCCAAAGCAAGATGATATGGCCCTCGGACGACTGCGACAGCGTGTAGACTTGACGGAGATGCGCCACGGCAGGAAGACGCGAGCAATTGGCGCTCGCCGTTTGAGGTTTGTTGGGGACGGTCTTCATTGTCCCGGCGCGTGGGAAGAAGAAGCCAGAGCTACGTAATTGCTTAGTAAGGCGAAGCAGCAGTCGCGCTGCAGCCTTCCAGTTGCATTGAACCTCGGACCCGTGCGGCAGCCTCGTCTCAGACGTCGCCAGCCTTGCCTTGGGCGCAATCAGATTCGGTAGAAGGCATTATCTTTCCCAGATGCAAACTGAAGATTCCAAAAGAGATTGATCTGCCAGCAGAGATGAGTTTGCCGGAAGGGAAGAGTCAAGTCATAATAAACCACAATTAGAGCTATCTACCTATCTACAATTACGATTACCTGCAGACTTTCAAAAATATTCCCTCGAATCCTCATGAGCAAATTGACACAATTCTCCCCTTCTCAAATCAGATTCCCCTTCCTCCCGCGACTCCTCATGAGCGTCTCGAACCAATCCCCCCCCACGACTCCTCATGAGCTCGAACCAAATCACTTCCCTCCCACGACTCTTCATCAGCGACTCAAATCATAACCCCTTCCTCGCGCGACCTCTCATGAGCGTCTCAAATCAAATCCCTTTCCCCCCCGCGACTCCTCATGGTCAAATCAACAAAATACCCCCATCTCAAATGAAATTCCCTTCTTCCCGCCACTCCTCATCAGCGTCTCAAACAAATCCTCCCCACGACTCATCATGCGCGTCCAAAATCGAATCCCCTTCCTCCCGCGACTCTTCATGAGCAAATTGACACAATTCTCCCCTTCTCAAATCAAAATTCCCGTTCCTCCCACGGCTCCTCATGAGCGTCTCAAATCAAATCCCCTTCCCGCCGCGACTCCTCTGCCCGCCGAGCTTGAGCCCTTGCCTGCTCCATGAGCCTCTCTTCTTGTTGAAGAAAGTTGCGATAGCCAAAGGCCAATATCTCGTCGCTGGTCGCATCTGCCATCTGCCCACGCAGCGCCGCCCGAGCGATTTGGCCATCCTCGTCTGAAGCACCTGGACGCAGCCTGGGACGAGCTGTGGCAGGCTCCACGGTAGCTGCCAACGGGAGGACATGGGCAGGCTGCACGCATCCGCGCGGGCATCTGCATAGCTCGCTGCATTTCTTCCCGCACAAGTGGCCGCAAGGGAGAACTCTGGGGCAAGGCTTCATACAATGGCGATGAACATAGTCGTTGGTGTGACATTGCTTGCTGCACCTGTGGCCCTTGGGGCATCTTTCATTGCACGGCTTCAGGCAGCCGCCGCAAAGGAGGTTGTCCCACTCGATGACCGTCCTGACAGACGTAATGTTGCCGTGGGTACGACATGTGAGTGGTATATAGTCTCCAGTCTGCGTTCCGAAGGCATTGAAGACCTTTTGCCAAGTTTCGTAGCTCTTCTGGCTGCTGCCGAGAATGTGTCGTGCGTTTCCAAACACATACAGTCCCCGCCTTGCTCTGCTCATGGCAACGACGGCACGATTCTCATCTTCCACAAACCCCACAGTTGCGCGGCTGTTGGCACCCATCGGATCCGAGGGGCTTCGCACCATGGAGAGTATAATAATGTCATTCTCCTCACCCTGGAATCCATCGACCGTTCGGACGGACCACTCCTGATACAGGAACCTGAGCATATCATCGTGATGGATCTGCCGCTTGATAACCTCGACCTGGGCGCTGTAGTATGTCAAAACAGTTATCTGGCAGGGCTTGACGTCCTGCATCATCAGATGATGAATGAAGCCAACAATCATCTGTGCTTCCTTGAAGTTGGTATATGACATCTTCTTCCCCCAAGTCTCAGGCCACTGGTGCTGAAACCACCATAGGTTCGATCCCATTCCAGGCACTGGCGGGCGGTTTCTGATATCCTTGACTGTCCAGTGATCTCGTAGCATTGGATAAAACGTCTGAACGACCTCGCGGATCCGCGGGATCATGCGGCGCTGCACCTGGAGTGTCTTGTAGGGCAGCCCCAGTTTCACAAGCCTCTCGAACATGGACACCTTGAGGTTGTATGGTGCTGCACCAAGGAATGGGATGTCAACTTGCGGAGCCAGTTGCTGATGGTCTCCCACCAAGGCCAGCTGTTCGAGAGAGGGGAACATTGCAGCAGCGATGCCGGCCTCGCGTGCCTCAGCTGCCTCTTCGATAAGCATGACACGCGGCAACAAGGCGGCCAGCATGCCGCGGTACTTGGACAAGCCCGTGGTGGTGCAGCCAATGATGTCAATCCCTTCATTGTTAATAATGTGGATCGTATTGGCCAGCTGATGGACCTTGAGCGTCTCACAAGCTTCTTTGAGCACCTGCAGCTGCTCTCGGATCGCCTTGATGGTGTAGTCTCTCAGCCGCGTCTTGAGGTAGTAGTAGACCAGGGGCCTTGCCTTTGCGTGAATCCAGTTGAGGTCTGGAGTGCTCTTGACCAAGGCCCTGGCCTCCTGCCACCATCCACCAGTCCTCCGACAGCCAGGAGGCGCAGGGGCAACGGTGTGATGGGGATCCAATGGAAGGTATAGACCGCGAAGCTGGAAGGCAGCATCATCTGGGGCCTTGCCTCGTATAGCCTGGCCCTCTTCTTCCAGGTCATCATCCGGGGTGTTGTCAAATCGTCCTATAATGGGCTTCCTAGACGTGCCTGGCAGCATGGCGCGAATGCCCTCTTCAGGGTCCTGGTTGGAGAAGCTGTAGAGCCAGCCAATAATCAAGCTGATCTTCTTCGGGTCCGTACGTTCGTCCCTGGCAATCTGTGCAGCTGCTGGGCTGCCATTCACAAGAGATTGATATTGCTCGGGAGAGATGATGTTGGCTTCAAGAAGCTCCTGGGCGCCGACTAGGTCTCGGGTATATGTCTCAACCAGTTCTTCGATAGTGCCGCATATCTGCTTCCATGCTGACAGTCCTCGATAGTCCTGCCTTCGGTACCTGGACTTGGATCGGATATTGAATAAAGAGTGATGAGAGACAGAGTCTGAGCGGGACTGGCCGCCGAGGCGAAGGATCTTGCCAATGTTGTGATCGAGGCACAAACTCAAGATCTGATCCAGCGCGTGATTTGTCTGTGCCGCGATGATGATGGGCGCTCGACGCGATTTCGGGCCTTCTGCATTCTGAGTCTCAATGAAGCCGCGAATGGCCACCAAGGAGGTAAATGTCTTGCCGGTTCCTGGGGGTCCTTGTACAATAGAGAGTGCTTGCGTGGACATGATGTCAAATGCTTCTCTCTGTGACTGGTCGAAACCTTCAGCAGCTTGGGGAACGACGATAGTATCGCCAGCTGGATTGGTGGCGCTTGCCATCCGGCCTTCATCGTCATCAACGCAGATGGTCGAGCTGGCACTAGCAGCAGCTGAGAGTCTGCCGCTGGCTTTGGGGTCCAGAATGAAGCGGTCAAGAGGAGTCCTAGAGAGAATGTCAACTTTAGGAATACAGCACTTGGTCTCAAAGGGTATGATACTTACTGGTACATGGCAGCGTGCTGCAGGCCGAGCATGGTATGGCGGACGTTCTCGAAGTAGCCAACCTTGGCCTCGAGCATCACGAACTCCTCAACGGGGTCAATGAGTATCTCACTGGTATTGGCGAAGAAGAGCTCAACGCGCGGCATGTCAAAAGGGTTGTCGCCCTCTTCGACGACGGGCATTGCCCTACCATTGAAGGAGCGGGTGGCGACAGTCGCGACGATGCACTTTGACCGGAAATAGTCCCATCTCGGCGATAGCACCACCAATGTGCCCGGAGTAAGCCGATCCGACTCCCTCCAGTCGACGGGCGTACGAACCCTCTCTATTGCGAATCTGATGCGGCTACAAGCCCCTTGCTTGCTGAGGAGTAGACCGGTGACCCGAACCTGAATAGGGAGACAGAGAGAGAGGGGGGGAGAGAGTCAGCTTAGGTACTTTTTGCAAGGCCGGTAATGGAAGGAAAATTCAGCCGGATTGATGATGTCAGGCGAAATGAAATCGGGGAAAAGCAAGAAAACACAAACCTGAGTATAGATATACCCCTTGCTCCTCTCGCCCTCCATCATCCTCCGGTCCTCTCGAAACTCGGCAACGGCCTCCCTCAGCGGCTCTGTCGCCTCGTAGCGACACAGCTCGTAGTGAACCCTCAGATACTCTACCTTAGAGTCCGGAAATGTATCGAGGCGGTTGCTGGGGAGCAGAGGAGTGCTTTTGGTCATCAGAGCTGAGGAAAGGACCATCTCAGGAGTCGATCGCCAGGCCTCGCGATAGTCGTCACTAAACTGCTGGTCAAGCTGACCGTTGCGAACATGCATTGACAGCTTGGCCAAGGTATCCAGGCGAAAGAAATCCTAAAGTGAACAGTTAGACCAAATAAAACTGTACACATAGATGGAGAGAAAGAATAAAGGTGGAACTTACAGCAGCTGGCGCTGGCACGTAGCTGAGTCGCTTGTGGACTGGCTTTTGAGGACCCCCATCCTCCGGGCTAGTAGGAGGAGAAGGATCGGGCTCTGAGCGGTAACCATCCGCAGGTGCTGCATAGAGGGGCTCCTTTCCCTTGCCTTTGTACAGTGAAGACTGAGGAACGGAAGTATCATCCTGAGGAGCCTCCGAATCCAAGTGGGTAGTCTCTTCGCCTCTGTTGAAGGGAACAAGTGGGGTGTAAACCTGCCAGGCTTGGCCAGAAGGCTGAGCATCAAGGAGACTCAGGAGCTGAAGCTCAGCAAGCCCAGCAGGAGCAGGGCTAGCAACGCGCTGGCCATCACCTGGAGTGTTCAAGTTGATGAGGTCCTGCTCGCCCTGCATAGGCTGGCGGCTGCTCTGTCCTTGGTCTGCCCAGTTTCCGACGTGCTGAAAAGCCCAGTCAGTCAATGTCGACAGGAAGCGTAGCAGGTGAACCATGGCAAGATACTTACAGAGACTGAACCAGGCTCAGGATGCCCATGCACGTGGTGGTCGTTACGGCTCAACCAACCTTGGACGAAGGAAGAGAGATTGGTTTCCGCCGACATGGCTGGCTCTCGCCTCTTCAGCTGAAGGAGACAATATCAGGAAAGGCACGACTAGAGAGGCAAGAAGGAGGGAGACTCACAAGTTTTGAGAGATTGGGCATCGTGAAGGCAATGCGACCAAAGGGGCCATAGAGGGAATAGTGGATGATAACGATATGCAGTGAATGAAAGAGGTGATGGCGAGAGGTGATGAATGAAGGCGGTAGGCGACGATAACACGCGAATGCGATGGACCGAGATGACAGAATGAAAATACAGATTCACCAGCCGTGATCAGAGGCAGGGACGTGAGCGCTCCCGTAAGGAATGATATAAAAAGATCCCAGGACAGGCTGGTGAGAAAGGACTGTGGAAAGGGACGAGGGAAGAGAAGAAGAGAAACGAAGAGAAGAGAAGAGGGGAGGGAGGAGAGAAGTCGGTGCAGAGGGAGAAGGAAATAACCAAGAGGTCGCGTGGTGTGGTTGAAGTGAGGGAAGGAGGCACCTGTCGGAAGGCGGTCTGCAGACGTGCACCTGAGGCATCAGCCCTTCTGGCGCCGGACAGGTGCACGACCTCTGCTCCTTCCTCTGAGATTCACTGAATCAATGACGTATTGAGTAGCATGTTCTCTGTGTCTCCTCCCTTTTCGACACAAGTCCTGCAGAACAGAGTGATTTGGAGAGAAAATGCTGGCCCCTGGAGGGGGAAGTGAGATCCCCCATATGCAGTGATATGGAGAATGTTCTGTAGGTCCCAGCCAGGGATTGTTCGAGATTGTTGTTCTTAGAGGGAGACAGTCGGCAGTTTCTGCAATGCTGTTACAGTGAACCTTGAGGGCACCCAAAAGGTCCGTCAACAGATTGCTCGTTGCCAAGTGCCATGTGCTTTGGGTCTGTGACAGTGCTTGCCAGCTGGTGCTTCTCTCTCCGTCTAATATGCATATCTCTCAGGCCTTGTTACTTTCTATTCTTCTGATTTCAATTCCTGACCTATAACCTCGGTATGACCTCGGATTTCAGCTTCTCATCTCGTCCCGTCTCGCGTCAGGCCTAATGTCCCCTCCTCAATCTCTCGATATCACAGACTCGCCAGCTCCTTTTTCTGTCTTAGACACCTCTAGGAAACTACAAGATTCGCGGCTGTATGTAATCACCCAAGGTCTCTAAAACCAATAAATTCTAAATTTCACTCTGTTTCTGGAATCCACCCTCTGTGCCATACCAGGGGGGGCGAGCAGCGATAGACTCTCTTCGAAGATACCACTCGACCGACGACCAACGACCGACGACCGATGACGATCAAGGGCATTAGGATAATTGAAGAGAACAACCGCAAAGCAGAGGAGCGAACGAGGTCGTGAAGAAAAAGAACGATGTTGAAGGGCCACTGCAAATACCACTTGAAATCTTGCCCAAATGACTCTATCAACATGTCTGCTGCTTTGACGAACCAAGGGCGAATAACGAAGATGTGAGACTGCCTTACTTCCTCCGGCGTTGTGCGCTTGATACCAACAAAGCCCCAGCAGCGATATTCAGAGAGATCCAAATGATTTCGGCCAGATCCTCATGAAGAATCTCAAGCGGCATCTCTGTCCTCGTCAAGTGCTTCTTGGGCTCTACAAAGAAGTTGCTCTGCAATGCTTTGATCGTCTACAGAAAGGGGAGAAGTGGCATCCAAAACCCTCAGGGGCTTCGACCCAGCAGTACAACACTTCACTCATGATGAGAAAGATCTGCGTTTAAGCAAGTTTCATCTACCGTTGCCTCCCAATGAAGGCCGGTTTCCGGATGAAGCAATAAAGCCTCCAGTCTAACGCCCATAGGCAATCTACAACACAGGAAAGCGAACCAAAAAGAATAGCCGTGGAGACAGGCATCCCATGGGTGGCATGGAGGAAAAAAAGAAAATTGAGTGCGTAATCTGGGAATCGAACCCAGGGCTCCCCGACGTTGCGGATGGCAACGGAGAATTTTACCACTAAACCAATTACGCTCGATATGTTATTTTGCCTCTGAATCCCATACTAGAAGCCTTCCACATGAGAACGATTTCCATTATCGCCTGAAACCAGTGCAGGTTTGCATGATGAGACCTATGTTCTGACGTGAGCGATCGTTGCGTAGAGTTTTACCAATGAATGCTAGGTTCATCAAGTCTCTGGTTACTGGAGGTGGTTGTAATACTACTAAAGACACAAGCAAGACGAGAACAGCCTCGCATTCTTCCATCTGAAGTTGCTTCTACTATGTCTCCCTATTCCCAACAATGCCTGGAAGATGTCCTTGAATAAAGGCCATTACACACAGAAATATTGATGAACAGCATATCGAGCACTCTTGCGCCAAATACAGAGGGCAGATGCCAAAAGGTGCCCTCGCTTCCCTCGCTTGTACCTCGATCAGCATACACCGGAGAGGATCGACTCTGATTCAGAGATTGGCTGTCTCTTCCAATTCAGTCGACCATCAGGTCTGACATTCCAGTCCGACGCCTCCTCCACCAGCTCCCAGTCCCCGGTTACAGGATTCTTTTGTACGAAACGGAAGATGATGCTGGAGCCAAAGTCTTCAAAGACGAGTTCACGCCGTCTGAGGCGCATCCACTGCTCGTTCTCGTCACCCTCGACGGCGTTTGTGATTTCCGTCTCGTTGTTCTTAATGGCAATGGCTCTAAAGATTCTGCTGTCTCTCAATGCGTTGCGGATGGGATACTGGCCCAGGATTCGGATCGCATCTTCTCTCACGGCTCGGTCACGGCAGCCGAAGGAGACGACAAACAGAGGCCAGGTCCACCCTGCGTCCATGGCAAAGCCGCAGTTGGGCCGGGACTTGAGCAGCATCTCTGCGAGAGCGTTGATTTCGCGATATTGTGGCGTGAGGCCCTTGACGGTGATGAGGCTGGAGTATCGTGGGACGGTAGTATATATGTAGAGGATGAGATACTCGATTCGGATGCTCATGGCCTGTAGATATCGGGCTCGGTCTGTCTCGGCGTCGCGGAGCACGGCTTGATACATGGGTTCGTAGGCCTCAGTCCAGCGTTGCAGCCAGTACCGAGACTCTGCGATGAATTTGGACAAGACTGCGTTGGTTTTGAGGCTTGCAAACTTTCGGTCCAACTCATCCGGGTCGGTAGTCTTGTGAAGTGCAAGATCTGCCGTCACCTTGGTGAGCATCGGAACGTGGCGGACCATCTGCCGCTGTACCAGCCCCCAATAGTCTCGCATCTCGTCCCAGGAAGTGAAGTGACGTGGCATATCGTCTAACGACGAGATTCTGGTGAGCTTAGGTCGAAAGTACGGGGAATGCTTTGTGAATGGGATTATCCCCGGAGGTCGTCGAGGACTAGGAGGAGGGGCACGAGGTGACCATGGGTCACTCTGGCTCTGGGGGCTCGGTAAGCCGGTTATTTGCACCTGAGGGCTCTGAGGAGACAGCATGGGGGGCGTTTCGGGCTGGTTTGGGGGGCTCGGGGCCGCTGATGCTGAGGGAAGCTTTGTGCCTGAGTAGTCCATTGACACCTGGTATTGCTGACGCAATTGATGTGGTGGTGGTACCGAGGAAGGAGAAGCCAACGAGGATGGCGAGGATGCTGAGGGGGTTGGAGATGCAGATTGTTGACCTGTAAGCTGGGGAGGTTGTGGTGGTGGGAAGAAGGCCTTTCTGTATGACCCCATGAAGGAGCGTGACTGCAGCTCCAGAGGCTTGTAGCAGTCCAAAATGTCCTGCACCAAGGCTGGTGGCGCGGGAGCAATTCTGACAAGATCTGGAGCTTTGTCGGTGCAGTTGGCGAGTTCGTTGAGCATCGAGAAGCCGTGAGTTATGTGCTTCAGAGCGGCCGGTACGTTTCCTCTTTGGGTCTCGAAGCAGATGAAGAGCAGGGAAGATAGCAGAGCGGTTCTCATGCCCTCTCTCGTAGGCTTCATCTCTGACTGCATACGCAGTGCTTCGCAATAGTAGGCGACGGCGTTGAGATAGTGTCGATTGCTGCTGGTGTCGAGCCCAAATTCTGACCCATGGACTTGGTACGCCTTTCGTAGAGCTCCCACGGCCATGGCTCCGTATCGTAGCGTGTTTTCTTCAAGCGTAACCTGCGGCATCGTGGCTGTCCAAAGACGAGTCTGGTCGATGAAGCCCCCTAGAAAGGTGACGGAGAGTTGCGACCATTCGACAAAGTAGTCTCGCTGGTCATTGTTGGCGAAGCGGATGGTGTTGACAGAGGGTTCGATGATGATCAAAGGTGCCTTTTTGGAGTGTATAAGCTTGCCCTTGGACGGTAAGGGGCGAGATTGAGGTTGTTGCGAAGAGGAGGCGGAAGAGGTGTTGTCGGAGTAGGAGTCACAGTAGCCGCGCCACTTCATGCAGTTGAGGCACGCCGGTCGAGTCTCGTCGCACTTGACATGTCGTTTTCTGGGAGAGAACAAGAGAGCTTAGTCCGATGTGCCAGGGTAGCGTATCCGAGTTGCAAGTACACAGAGAGGATGTGGAGGACGCGATGCAGACGCAGGGAGCCAATCCTTGAGCTTGAGACGACTTACTTGCCTAGATGTCGCCATCACAGCTGGTTAGCAAGAGACGTTATATTTGGGCTCGGTTTCCAGTCGTAAACATACATGTGAGACAGCCAGTACGGGCACGAGTTGAGCTGCGTCGAGTATGTCTTGCTCTGGAGTCTAGGGCAAAGCGATGTATTCTGGGCTGTCCAGTTGACGCAGGCTCCTCATGTGGCTGAGCTGAACGTGCTGAGCGGCTGTTGTTCAAAAGACTCCTTTGTCAGAATCCTGGTATGTATACCCGAGATTTGGGTGCTTGACAAGGCCAGGCACGACATTGTTCGACCAATGTTGGTTCTCGCCCAAAGCAGGCGGCATCTCGCAGACTCACCTGGATGAACCGCTGCCCTTGACGATCGGCAAGGTGAATTGAATCTCCATGCTGTCGACGCGATGCTCTTCGCTTACGGGACGCTTCGTGCATCAGCGAGGCCGTTGTCGGTCTTTGTGTTGCGTCTGATGCTGGTCAGCAGCTCTGGGGACGAGCAGTTCGGTTTAACGGAGGTCGTGCCGGGATTGGCGCCTTGACGCCTCTGCTTCGACCAAGCTTGCTTCCGGCAGACACTGGGTAACAATGGCAGATGTAGTAGCTGTCTCGATCCCTCGCTCGGCGATTCTGGCTATCGTTGTCTCATTTCATCCTCTCTGCGTTCTCTCCTCAAATTCGGTTTGTGTCTTTTGGCCGCTAGGAATCGCAATTGTCGCCGCAGACGCGAAGCGCGCAGAGGGCCGAAGGGGGAAAAAAGAGAGCAAAAACCACGCTGTTGCCCGGTTCTTAGCTCAGGACTCGTCTGTGCTTTTAGCCACCCAAGGAGGATTCTGTAGGTCCACGACGGGGCCCTTTGGCTTCTGATGGCCACTTCGGGAAGTGGCGCTTTGAGAACTGGAAATAAGATCGGAATATAGCGCAAGCCAGAGAGGAATCTGAGGGTGGGAGAATTAACCAGACCAGGATCGGATCCCACGAGACGTTCGGTACATTTGTACTCGCCTCGACACCAGGGAAGAAAGGCGACGTCGGGCGGTAAGAAGATGACAGAAATATCGAAGAGCAAAAGACGAGAGCAACAAGGCAGAAATAAGAATGGTCTGCCTGGTATCCCGTAGGCAAATATTGAAGAGCTAGGGGGGGGGGGGGGGGGGGGGCAGTTGAAAGCAAGATGCCATGCCGCCGCTATCCCACACTCCGAACAAGGATGTTGAGTCGGAAAAGGCAAACCGGAGCCTGGCAGGGATGATTAAGCTGGGGGATGCGGAACCCCATCTGTCCCTGCCTAGGCTCGCACATTGCGGCCGTTATCAGTTCCAAGATGGAGGTTGGAGACGGCGTGGGATCGGGGCGAGATGGAGCAAGATTCAGAAAGGCGTCTCTCGGCCTTGATAGCCCGGTTTGCCGGATGCTCCATTCTGTCTGAAACATCTGTGGTGTCTTGGTGACTACGGTGATGATGTGACTAGGTACTTTGCCTTTTCATGTATGTAGGTATGTTTCTTGACTGTTCTGACTCGCCGATTCTGTATCCCCTTCTCCCGAGGGAACAGAAAAAGAAGATGGAACCGCGGCATCTTGCAAGCATCACAGAGACGTCTCTGCTTGGGGTCTTTCACAGGTCGTAATTCGATGTTCTGGTAGTCGAAACAGCACCAAACACGACAAGTGGCCCCGTTGTGCGTCACTGACATGTCTCGGAGGAGAAGAAAAAAACGTGCAAAGTGGCGCTGCGGTCCAATTCCAAAATGCGCCGTCGGGCAACTGTCTTGGAGCCGGACACTGTCTGTCAACCACTTAGTGAAGCCTCTCCCCCTTGCTAATACTAGAGCATCAAGCCACCTGTGAACTAATCGGCTCCATCCTCCCATCCATCTTGCGTTCTTCAAGGCTCAGGGACGGCCAAACGCAGGCAAGCGGAGGGTCAAGCGGATGCTGAAGCAGCTCAGTCTGCCCCGTTGGGATTAGGAACGTCTGTAATCTGCCCGAGCTAGCTGATATCCTGCATTCCCGTCGATAGTCTTGCGGAGAGAAATCTATAGGTTGCCCTTGGTGGAATCAGATCAGCGTCTTCAAGGGGCAGAGCCTCGAATTTGTTTCTCGGGGGAGCCGGACAGGATGCATAGTTGCTTAGAAGATCACGTCAAGGCAAGCAGAGAAATGTCCATTGGCTTGATCTTGCGCTGCTCTCAGCTGCTTGCACGTGCTTCGAGAGTACCACCGGTTTCACGTGGCTGCAAAATACTAGGTAAGGTAGGTATTTTGACTGGCCTACTTAGTATCTCTGGTCTCCCGCTCCTCACCATAATCCCAACCGGACAAACTACTGTGACAAGGCACAAGAAAGTCCGCCTACTGCAGGAGATCACGATCTACGAAGACTGTATGAGCAGAGCACGGAGCTGACGGCAGACATGAAACAAACAAGAAAGCAAGAGAAAAGAGCGAGCCATATCTAAATAGCATCTGAGAAATGCTATGGGATCCGAGAGGAAGAGTGTGTGCGTGTATGGGGCCTGACATGGTGTTGATGAAAAGCCGAAGGCAGGGTGTTTAAATGCCGAAGGATCCTGCAAGAAGCTCCTCTGAGACCTTTTTGTCACCAAGCTGGGCGTTGGTTACATCGTGCGTACAATAAGGTCACCACAGACGCCGCCAAAATCTTGATTCGACTCGGGGATTCCGGCCATGCTGATGAAATACCTGCTGGTAGAGTGGAACAGAATAATGTGTGTGTATGTGTAGCCCTGGGGCCCGCTGACAGGATTTTTCACTCTCGTAGGCAATGATGAACCCAATTGGAACAATGGAAGACAAGGGGATGTCGATATCCAGTCCAGCCGTTCGGGATATAATGCGCCACGCTGGTACTCAAGAGACCTGTGGAGGGGTCTCAAGCTCACGACTTGGCGTGCCGTCTCGTCTCATCTCTTTCTCTGCTTCGCCGGGATATCGTTCACGATCGGCTTTGAGTATGAAGCTGATACAGAAGGCCCAAAGAGAAGGACGCCACAGCTACCAAGCAGCCTCGGGCTGAATCCCTTTGGCAGCTTCTGGCGCGCTTCCGATGCATGCCCTATACCCCTGTCCGTAATAGAGATGTCCCTTGCAGCGAAATGGCTAATGTCAGTATATCCCACTATCTGGAACCGACGAAACTACACGCAGTCAGGATCTTTGTCGCCTCCCTGAGCGGCATCTGCTAGGAATAGAACAAGTGAGGCATGGCTGTCTCGTTTGCGCCAGAGGCTCCAAACTACTAGTAGTAGTACTCCCAATAGCACTGGCCAAGAATGGATGTTGTTCTTGATCAAGTTGGTAAAGCAGATTTTGTCACGTCAATTCTTTAACAGGGACGCCGCGGCCTACGCCGAGGGCGTGATGGACAACGCATGCAGGGCAACGAATCGAGCCGAGCAAAGAATTTGACAGCAAGACCAAAGCGGCATCGGTTAACCGCATGAGAAGAGCCTCTCGATTTCCACACATCAACTGTTCCATTTCCACACATCTTTTTGCAGTAAAAAACCCACAGTAGCATCATCTTCATAATACAAACTGTCAGCCGCCTTGCCGAAATAGACCTAACACTTCCATTTACAGCCTGTAGTAGTGACATGCAAAGCCATAGCGTATTCTGCATAGATTATAGTATTCTTGACCTTCCCTTATCCTGACCTGAAAATTTGTATGACACACAGTTTGTCTCTTGGCTTAATGGTTACTTTATGGAGACCAATTTTTGGTGGAAGATGTGTGGAAATGGAACAGTTGATGTGTGGAAATCGAGGGCCTCGCATGAGAATGACAATGTCCCCAACCAAGCGATGGACACTAGGGCCGGGCCTGTCCACATACCGCCAGGCCGGGGATCGCGACCTGGCAGCTATATGTTTATCGTAGCAGCCTCGGCTCTGCTGGGGTCAGTCAAGCCCTCTCCGTTAGGTGCGGGCACTTGCATCTGGCGGGGGTGATTTTCTTGTTGATTGGCGGTAGCCACGTCGCTTTGCTGCACTCGCTGCTTCGTCCAAGGCAGGGGCTGATCCGATCCTGTGTGGTTGCTGATGCGCCATTCGTTCGAAGCTCGCCCTCTTGAGCGAGCCGCTTCTGACGAGCTGCAGGGAGCTTCCAGTTGGTTTGCGTCAGACCAAAGAATCGCTGTCTTCAACAAAAAAGAACAATGCAGGACAGGCATCGAAGATCTCGGGTACAAGCAGACGCAAGCGAGCGGAAAGTGGTGGGACTTTGGCAGCAACACTAGAAGAGTCTGTGGTGGATGTCATAGTGTCTCATGCATCTGGGTGGGTTTGTTGTGTTTCATCTTTATCATGCGTGCCGTGCTTCGTATGTATGATCGATCTTGAAGGTGTTTGGGGCAATTCATAGCAGTATGTTATTCCCGGTTCGCCGTGAGAGACTGTCTGATTCGACATGTTGGAGGCATTTGATGTCTGTTGACGATTGCATTTTTGTATATACGGCGTATGGCGATGGGTATCTCACCTGAAAGCTGTGTCCAAGTTCTTGGGGTCCGCCATTGATGGTGTGTGTTGCTTCACGTATATTCGTTCTTTGGCAAGTCCTGCTCCGAGAAATGCTCCAACAGTCAAGTTCGTTGTATCCCTGCCAGGGTTCCCGATCACAAGTAGCACTCGCGCAGAACCGCTTCAACCGGCACTGCACAATCTTGTTACATGCAGTTGTTGCAGGCTGCCACCGAGTGAGGGGTCGGAGAGCGTCCGAGATCAATGGCCATGGTTGGTCCTGGCGAGAAGGGCAAATAAGACAATGGCGCAGCTCTTGTCGTCTCTCGAAAGGCAGAAAACTCATTCTCAGTGTCGACGACGTACCGCACAAGGTGCTGACAGACGTGCTCGTAATGCGCAAGATTATACTTTGGTTTGCGGGCATCACTCGAATCTTCATGATCCGTCCGAGCGACTCCCGAGCAGATCGTGTCCAGAAAGTTGGCAAGTCAACGGTGACAGAATGGCCCCAACTCCCGCGCTTACTGGGCTGTTCGCAATACGAATGCTGAGATGAGCCATACGAGGAATGAAAAGAAGCAGAAAGAAAGAAAACCTGGGGAGATGAGATGAGAGACGCTGGAGTGACCCACACAGACCTAGACCAGACAGCACCAAACTTGGCAGCAATCGGCTTTGATTTTCGCACCTCGACCAACAGCCCAGGAGCCTCGAAAAGAGGGCTGCGGTGGATGAAAATGGCTGGAGATTATCGTCTAAATGTCAATTTATTATGCAAAATTCATAGGAACAACTAGAACACGTCCGGATCATAGCGCAGCACGAATCTCGTGTCTCGTCCATCCATCAGGTTCCCGGATTTCCACCCCCTGGCAGCCACAATCATCTCCAAGTCATCATCGTGCTTCCGCGTCTCCAAAAAGTGACGCTATAGCCACTCTCAGTTAGCAGCTCAGACGGGCGACCTGCGCCATTGGGAGTTAGTGGCAGCCGGTTAGGGGGGGGGGGGGGGGGGGGAGAAAGGGCCTCAGCCGCCGCCATAGTGGCATTCTGCTCCATTGCCTCGTCAATTTCGGTGGCAGAGGCGCTCAGCTACAGCGGGTTGTTGTGCTGAAGCCACGCGGTTCTTACGAGGGGGGGCTGACGGTGCCTACTTTAGCTTCTGAGGTCGATGGGCTTCTACAGTACCTTGTCTGGTCAATGACGAGTAACGCAATTTGCCGTGATCCCGATTTTCCGACTTGCGACACATCGTGAGCTGATCCTCTCGCTCTCTTCGACTCCATCTCTCTCCCCTCTCGGACCTGTCATTGCATTGAGGTGGGAGACAAGAAGAGAGCGAGCGTCGGCAGCTGTCCTGGTGCTTCCCGCTGCTGGTGTGTCTTCCCGTCTTCGCATTGCCTTCCCTCGTGTTCCATCCAGCGTCTCTCTCTCTCTCTCGGTGTCTCGACACTAAACTGACGATACGAGCGCCAAAGTGTCAGCTCAATAAGGAGGCAAAAAAGGCAGAGGAGCACGAGAGAGTCACTCGCTTTCACGAACAGTCCTGCGAATTCTTCAACCGCCTCCCAGCCTTGCGTTTACCAGGTCTCGTCGTCATCGTTCTCGATATCTACCCGAGTTCCCCAACCCCCTCAAGCAAGGGCCGGCCTCTTCAGTTCTTTTCTGCTTCTGTCTCAGGTCTTGCAGATTGCAGCTCTCGGCTCTGCCTATCCGCATGCGCCTTGGAACTGTATGATCCTGCGCCGCTGCTTTCTGCGGACCCCTGTCGACTAGTTGTTGTGTTTTTCTTTGATCCATTCATCGATCGGCGTTGTTGGCCCGCCAGTAAGTCGTCTTTTTCTTCCTAATAAACAGATCGATCCCCCGGAGGGAATTCGATCCAAGCCCCGTCGCTGCGGGCAATTGCAGCGCAAACCTGGGCCAACCTGCGGCTTCTCTCTTCGATTGAGTCGCCAGCCAAAAAACCACGAGTCCACTGACGTTCTGTGTAGCCTCAGGCCGAAGCCCGTCATGCAGCGCTACGGTGACCACGGCGACTCTACCGAGAGAGAGCCTCTGGATGGCTACGGAACGCAGTCGCAACGAGGAGCTTCTCCCGACAGCCACGTCTACTCGCCGCACGAGTATCACGACCAGCACCAGCCGCCCCCGGTTCCCCAGCACCAGGGCCAGAACCACGACTATGATCAAAGCCAGGGCTACGACCACGGCTACGACCAGAATCAGAGCTATGGCTACGACCAAGGCTACGACCACGACTATCGTGACGACGCTCCTCCGCCGCCACAGCATCAACAGAATCAAAACCGCATGCAGAGTGACAGCGGCTACTTTGCCGGGGGCGGAGCACGCAATGACGGGTATGCGCAACCGAACAGAACCAACTCCCGCCGAGATTCCCAAAACATCGTGACCCCTGGCGCTGACAACTTCAGCGACATGGCCTCTGGAGGAATGGCCGGCATCGCCTACGGTGTAGCAGAGCGCAACGCCCGAGAGAGCGGCATGCAGGCGGCCCACGGCGGACTGCCGCCTCCCCCCTCGCACTATCAGGGCGGCTACGACTATCATCCAGACGGCGAACGAGGCTCGCGAGCCGCCTTCAACCCCCTGGGCATGCCGACGGCCGCCGCCGCCAGCTCGCGCTCGCCCTCCCGCAGCACGCGCGATCCCTATGCCGACGACTACTACCCGGCCATGTATGCGGCCAACTCGCGGAACAGCAACCCGATGCTGGGCATGGTCAACCCTAACGAGATTGTGGATGACGGCGACGACGGGCTGGACTATTCGCGACGCAGCCAGCGCAACTCGATGCTGAGCGCCTCCAACTCGGACCGAGCAGCCAAGGGAGCTGCTGCCGTGGCGGCCGTGGCGGTGGGAGGAGTGGGAGCTGCTGGCGCCATCAAGAGCGCCCTGGGACGCAGTGGTGAGTATATCTGTCATGATTTCCGTGTTCTTCTTTCTGTCTCCTATGCCCTTGGTCCCTTGACCCCTTGACCCCTTGACCGTTGAATTACCCAGCTCCACTCATGACTTTCTACTTGATGCTCGATCAAGCCTTATGTTGTATATCCGTCTTTGTTGTCCAACTGATACAAATGACGTGAACGACGCTGACGCGCCCACCTAGCTAAAGCAGCAACAACAACAACGGAAACAAATGCTGGTGAAGGTGGAGGCGAAGGGGGGGGAGGCGGAGCTGCAGGTGCAGGTGGAGGAGGCATATTCTTTGACAACGGTAGCACCGAGGAAAAGTCGGCCTGGATGGCCCAGCAAACGTCCAAGAGCAAGAAGTGGCGCTGGATCATCTCCATCCTCCTCGTCGTCATCATCGTCGGCGCTGTTGTTGGCGGCGTTGTCGGCAGCCGAGTCGCCAACAGCCACGGCAGCAAGTCTAGCAGCGGCAGCGGCGGTTCCAAGGGCGGTAGCGGCAGTGGAAGCGGCGGAGGCAGCGGAAGCGGAAACTCGGACGACGACGAGGGCGACCTCGACATCAACAGCCAGGAAATCAAAGACCTGCTCAACAACCCGGACCTGCACAAGGTCTTCCCCGGCGTCGACTACACCCCCCTCAACACGCAGTATCCCGACTGCCTGGACAACCCCCCTTCTCAGAACAACATCACCCGCGACGTGGCCGTTCTCAGCCAGCTCACCAACAAGATCCGCCTCTACGGCACCGACTGCAACCAGACGCAGATGGTCCTCCACGCCATCTCGCAGCTCCAGATGACCAGCGACATCAAGGTCTGGCTGGGCGTCTGGCAGGACAACAACGCCACGACCAACGCCCGCCAGCTCGAGGAGATGTGGAACATCCTCGACCAGTACGGCGACGATCCCTTCGAGGGCATTATTGTTGCCAACGAGGTGCTCTTCCGCCAGCAGTTCACCGTCGCCAGCCTGGGCGAGCTGCTCGACGACGTGCGCACCAACCTCACCAAGAAGAAGCTCAGCCTCCCCGTCGCTACGTCCGACCTGGGAGACGACTGGACGCAGGCTCTTGCCGACGACAGCGACTACATCATGGCCAACGTGCACCCCTTTTTTAGCGGAACAAAGGCAAGCGAGGCGGCCGCCTGGACGTACAGCTTCTGGAGCGAGCACGACGGCCCCTTTTGGAAGAAGGACAAGTCCAAGAACATCATCTCCGAGACGGGCTGGCCGACGGGGGGCGGCAAAGACTGCGGAGGCCCGTCGACGTGCCCGGATCCTGCCGTGGCGGGCATCGACGAGCTCAACACCTTTATGAACGACTGGGTGTGCCAGGCGCTGGAGAACGGCACCAACTACTTTTGGTTCGAGGCCTTTGACGAGCCGTGGAAGGTCATATACAACACCAAGGGCAAGGAGTGGGAGGACAAATGGGGCCTGATGGACGCCAACCGGAAGCTCAAGGACGGAGTCAAGATTCCCGACTGCGGCGGCAAGACTGTTTCTTGAGGCCGCCCGCGGCAGGTCCTTATTGTATGTATATACTCCATTTTGTTTCCTTTGGTCTTGTGATTTACGGGTTGATGAGGCATGATGGAAAGCGAAACGATGTTCTGTGCTGTTGTTTCATACATATCTACTCGCGGCAACCCTCTTCCACCCACCCTGCTGCTGCAGCAGCAGCAGCAGCAGCATCCCCTTTATTTCCCCCCGGGAGCTACAGGCCTCGAGTCTTTTGATCCCTGTTTATGGTTCTTCACTGTCTATCGCTAATCGCGTGCTGTTTTGTCACCTATTGTTTCTCCTTTTTTTCTTTTTTTTTCTTTTACCTTACTGCCCTATATTTATGCTAGATGATGGATCTGGCGAGACGAACATACGGAAGAGGCTATCGTCACTTACCCTGCGCTTTCTGCGCTTGCGTCTTGTTTTCTGTTTTCGCTGCGAAGAGGCACATCACATGAGGCGTTTGAGGATCAAGCATGCATAAGTGCTCATACCTATACGATTTAATAAACATAATTGAAGCCGATCACGGAATTGACACCCGATGAGAAGTGACACGACCTAGTCGAACCCAATTAAAAGGACTCGCTCGATCTGATGGAAGATGGTGAAAACCGATTTTTTCAATGTTATTTCTCTTTACTAGAGAACTTGCGTATCGTTGAACCTGATCACAGTAACTGAAACCGACTAGGGTAACAAACTCCATTCCTTGTGCGCCCAATGCTTAAACCCATCTCTCATTTCTGAACCCATCTCTCAGTGTGTCTGAACATCTTGCAGAGGTCAGCTCCCTAGACAGCCCGCTGATGAGCCAGAGGTGGACGGAGACAAATGTAGGTTCCATGGAAGGCGACGCCGCCCTCGACCTCGGGGAACTTGAATTGCTTGTACTCCTCAAAGATCTTCTTCAGGGGGGCAACCATGGTTGGAAACTCATCTGGCAGGAGATGGGTACTTTTAGGCAAGAAACTGGTTAGCACAAGGATCTAGGTAGGAATCATGGGAAGCAAGATGGGGAGAAAGGCATACTTCAAGTCCCAGGCGTCAGCGCTCGAGCCCACGTAAATGGACGGCAGCTCGCCCTTGAGGGCCTCGGCGTACAGATCGTAGTACAGGTGAGGGCCGTAGAAGAGCGTGTCGGGCTCGATGTGCTCGAGGCCCTCGGGAGACTCCACCACGGTGTGGCCAAGAGACTCGATGAAGGCGACATCGTTGACGTTGAAGGCGGGCTCCTGGAACATGATTTTGAACGGCTCTCTGCCCAAGCTCTCCGCTGCATTCGGGTCAAGATTTGCCAGGTCAGCAGGTGTTTGCCATTGCCAAGGAAGAGTGAAGTGAAGTGAATGTAGGTCATTGTGTGTGTTTTTTTCTTCTTTTTTTTTTCTAGTGTTTTATTCAAAAACAGCTTGTATGCAGGGTAATCTCAGGGAAGGAGGGCCATTAATCTTACAAACTTCATCCGCAATCACAAGCAGGGCCGCCAGCTGGCAGTAGGAAGTTCGCTTGGCCTGCCAGTTGCCCTCAGGGTGGTCGAAGCAGCCAATGCCGAAGCAGACAATCTTGGAAACCGGGTCCTGGACATAGTTGGGGAAAATGAGGATATGGTCCGCAAAGATCTTACGCAGCTCGGCCTCGGGGAAATAGGCCTCAAGGTCGGCCTGGATCGCCTGGAACTCCTTCTGGAGCTCGGCAACGACATCTGGGTCGACAGCCAGGGGTTTGTTGGCACCAGGGTCATTAGCCGCCTCGCCGTTGGCGGATCGAACACGGTTGGCCCACTTGCCATGCTTCACCTGGATCCAGCCGTCATTGTTGTCCGCCATGGTTGTCAGGCTAGCAGGTCAAGGGTTGTATGTAGAATAGAGGCCCCGGCTGATGGGGTAGAAAGAGGGTGTCCAGGGGGGGGGGTTATGTAGAAGGGTTGCTAGAAGAAGACGGCAACAGGCAGGGCGCTGGTGCTGGGGTGAATGGAGAAGAATGAGGCTGCGAAGCCGCGGGTTGGTGAAGAGGTGAATGTGGGAGTCTGGGGTTTGTGATTTGTGGGTTTGATTTTGTGGCGGGCTCGCTTGGCCCCGCAGGGTGCGAATCACGTGCATACACGTGCCAAACTTGCGCACTGCCCGTTTTCGCTCGCTAAAGGCTTATAGCGGTGCTCTAGGCGCTGAGGCGCTGTAGCATAGTGCTGTTGGCCATGCACAGACTACCGGACGGCTGCACCTCGAGATGCTGTTATTTTAACATTTCAAGAAGACTTGTAATGTTATAGTAAGCCTAAAGTAGGTCAAGGTACCAAAACACATAGGGTAAATCAGGTCTGATAATTTATGATGAAGTAAAACATTCCTGATTGAAACTGATTGAATCTGACCGAAGGAATTAGATCTGATTGAATCTGACTGACGGAATCAGATCTGATTGAGACTGACTGAGGGAATCCAATCTGATTACAGCCCCATGTATATATTCATATCTCCCATATACTAATCACTGGGACCATATCAAATCAAAGGAGGACCTGCTTTTGGTGGCTCCTTGAACCATATGCTAGAGCTCTTGAACCTTCTGTTTAGCTAGGTAAATATCTCCTGTCGTATTGCGCAAGCCCTCAGACTTGCCTCTCACGGTTACATGTATGTAGTAGTTATACGCACATTCTCCTCAGTGGCTCGGCAGATCGACGCTACCCCAACGCATGCCATCCATCTCCAAGCAACAAAATAGCCAGAATAAAGCTCCCCAAATCCCCAAGAGAACCAATCGAATCTTTCCATGCCTGAACAGCCTAATCATACCTTGACCTGCCGAGTCAATCACATGGCAGAATTTGGCGGTGAGTCCCACGGCAACTGTCTCAGACGACGAATTGCTTCACTCTGTTGGCTTACACCTGTCGTCATACCTGCAAGGCCGGAGCGGAGACCTCCTCTCGATCAGACGGCTATAAGTCCATTCTGCTGCTGGCCTTGCTGCCCAGATTGCTGCCCGCAATAAAGCTCACAGCTCGACTTGCATCCATCCATTTCATTTCAGCTGACTGATTCTCTCCTCTTTGTACAGCCTGGTTCGCAGTTCCAGCCTCGTCATCCTCGTCCTCCTCGGCATCACCATGGCTACTCAGCTCCACAGCCAGCTGCCGACATGCGAGCGCTCAGCTCCTGGATCAATCAATATTCGCCCAGCCGAATTTCCCAAATCTGCGTCTCCTCCGCCTGCAGATCTCGATCCCAACCAGACTGCCCAGAGATTGGTCTTGGCGTTGAATGAAGCACTTGCCAAGGGAGACTACGCAGCAGCCTCGAGGCTCTTTGCCGATCAAGGCTTCTGGCGAGACCACTTGGCCCTGACGTGGGAGTTTCGCACAGCTCAAGGACCCGAAGCTATTCAGGGTCTGTTGGAAACGAGTTCCCAGTCCAAAGATGGCTTTCGCCTGAAGGAAGTTGCTCTCGACACGAGCTCTGACGTGCGGTCACCTCGAGTTGCGCCTCTCGACGGAGAAGGCGAGGTTACTGGGATACAATTCTTCGTCAAGTTCACAACGGTTGTTGGATTTGGTGTAGGCGTGGCCCGGCTTGTGAACGACAATGGAACCTGGAAGTTCTTCTCCCTCTACACAGCACTTCAGGGGCTCACCGGTCACGAAGAGCGAATCAATGACAGACGACCGCACGGAGTTGAGCACGGCGCGAAACCAGGCCGGCAGAACTGGGCCCAAAGGAGAGAGAAAGAGATCCAGTATCGGGATGCTGATCCAGCCGTGTTGATCATAGGTGAGCACTGATAACCTTTCTCTACTCCAGTAGACCCCTGGATTATCCTGTCACGGAATCAAAACGAGCTTCTACTACATATCCATCACGGCTAACATCTTGCAGGTGCTGGTCAATCAGGACTGACAGCAGCGGCCAGACTCAAGATGATTGGCGTCGACGCCTTGATTATCGATCAACATGCCAGCGTCGGCGACAGTTGGAGGAAGCGATACGATCAGCTGGTCCTCCACGACCCTGTCTGGTACGACCACATGCCGTATCTCCCATTCCCACCGCATTGGCCCGTCTTCACGCCAAAGGACAAGCTGGCGCAGTTCTTCGAAGCCTATGTCAACTTGCTCGAGCTCAATGTGTGGACTAGCACTACACTTGAGGAGGCTTCTTGGGACGCCGCAAAGGGCAGTTGGTCTGTAAAGGTGGCCCGACGACTGGCAGATGGCTCGGTAGAGACTCGCACCCTGCATCCACGACACATTGTCCAAGCAACAGGCCATTCTGGCTTCAAGAACGTACCACAAATCAAGGGACTGGACACATTCCAAGGGGACCGCATCTGCCACTCTTCAGAGTTTCCAGGGGCTCGGGAGGAGAGCCGCGGCAAGAAGGCGGTCATAGTCGGATCATGCAACTCGGCCCACGACATTGCGCAAGACTTTGTCGAAAAGGGCTACGATGTCACAATGGTTCAACGCTCGAGCACCTTTGTCACCACCTCCAAATCCATCACTGACATTGTTCTGCGCGCCTACGCAGAGGACGGGCCCCCTGTGGAGGACGTTGATCTTATGATCCATAGTAACCCCATGGCTGTGCTAAAGACTCTCCAGATTTCCGTTGCACGAAGGCAGGCCGAAAACGACCGCGACATTCTCGAGGGCCTCCAGCGCGCTGGGTTCAATGTGGACTCTGGGCCAGGCGGAGCTGGCCTCTTCTTTAAGTACTTTCAGATGGGTGGAGGATATTACATCGACGTTGGGGCCTCTCAGCTCATCATCGACGGCAAGATCAAGATCAAGTCAGGTCAGGAAGTTGCCGAGATACTGCCTCATGGCTTGCGCCTCGCAGATGGCACTGAACTAGAGGCAGACGAGATCATCCTGGCAACAGGGTACGGGAACATGCGAGAGAAGACACGACAGATGTTTGGGGACGCGGTTGCAGACAAGACACAGGATGTCTGGGGGATCGGCCAGGGGGGTGAGCTTCGCAGTCTGTGGCAGCAGAGTGGACATCCTGGGTTCTGGTATCACGGGGGCAATCTAGCGCTGTGTCGGTACTACTCGAGGGCATTGGCGTTGCAGATCAAGGGGATAGAGGAAGGCTTATATCAGTATGGCGAGAAATAGAGTAGAGAGCGGCTCTGTCTTTCTTTGAAGCGTGTTTGCTTCGAAACTGGTGAATACCCAGGCGCATCGGATTCTGAATGCCACTCTCCTTCCAGCATCAAATACCTAGAGTTGCCTTCCCCTTGGGACTGTAATTATGGGCACATATCCTCGAGGAGATTGCAAGTGTTGAAGCGACTGCCCGTACCAGCATGGCGTGACGTACTTCTTGCTCGCAGTCAGGAGGCAAACTGTCCCTGGGCAGGCAAGCGTGTTCGAATTGTAGAAACTACCCGCTCAGGGGACGAGCAATCATCTTGCTGCTGCCACTTGCAAGTTGAGTTGTGTCCCGTTGTCGGCCCTGACACTTGTCATGGGAGTTAATGAAGGGGAGGGGCGCACACTCGGGCGTCTCTACCCGATGTAGCTGTCACTGCTTGCTTGTTGACTCTGGAGTGTCTTGCGCTTCGACCTTGAGGTTCCCTGGGCTGTTGCAACTCGTAATTGATGCTCGTCATGGCTTGTGCCTTCGCAAGTCTCACCCTTTGGCCTTCTCCTCTCACATGTGGAGAGATGAAGCCCTCTTGTTTGATCTTTCACCGCCGGATGATTGACTCCCCAAGCGAGACACCTTCTCTACCGTATCCGTTGATGCCTTGCCCTACGCTTTCCCTCGTGTCTTGTTTACTGAACGCTAGCTCTCCGGATTTTACTATAAATTCCCTCTCCTCTCCTCGATTCTCCTCTTTCAATCTCTTCTTTTCTTCATTCTCTTCAGTCTGTGAATTGCTCTGCCACGAGCATCACCGCCGCAGCCACCATCACCACCATCTCAACCGTCGTCTTCGTCTTCTTCTTCATCCTCGTCCTCGTCCTCGTCCTCGACTTCTTGTCGTTCATCAGCATCGAAATATACCGAGTTCACCATATCTCAGCCAGCAAAGCAACATTTGCATTTCTTCACATCATCCCTATTTTTTTTTCTTCTTCTACCATCTTTACATTTCTATCTTTATCCATCATTTTTCCATCAACATCTTTACCAGTCACTTTTACATCAAAGGGGGTCCAGCACTCCACTGCTTTAGCTGTGGCTCTGGGTTTGGCTGGTGAGTATTTGGGAAGCGGCTTTCTCATGGCATTGGTGCTGACGTCCTCCCTTTCAGGCATCTGCTCTCGTTTCTCCTTCTGCCAACGCCCCATGTCTTCCGACTCCCGTCGACCAGAGGCTGTTCGCCTTGGAGACCTGCTGCGGTTATGAGATACGACCTGGCGTGAGAATTTGCTCCTCCGCCTCCTCATCACAGAATCTTGGGGGCGCTGGCGGCCGGGACCAGCAACCGAATGGGTGCGAAACACAATTATTCAACATTCTTAAGCGGTATCCTTACTGCGATTATTTTGTCGAATATCCTCTTGTTTCAACAGCGATTATTGTTATGGCGGAAGAACTCGAAGCAATGATGATGGCATGGGAGGATCTATTGAGGCCTCAGGTCATATGGGCTCAGGCATGTGGTTGTGGGATTTGGTAGCTGAGGAAGACAGACAATACATTTTCGTGTTTGGCAATCTTTTGTTTCCAACCCATCTCTTGATTCACCCATGTGCTTTGTCGCCAATGGTTAACACTCGACAATCCGTCGCAGTAGCAAGGGCTCCAAGGCTTGCCTGTTTGTCGTTCAATGACCGTGACACACACACTTTGGAATAGCTGGGGGATCCCAGTCGAAGCTACGCTTCAAGCTTACACGGATGCTAGATCTCGGATCGCCACCGCGCCGATTCCCCCATTTCCCCCCCCTTCTCCTTGTCGCCACTCAGCTATTGTCGACTAAGTGAGCTAGATGCGCCTCTCCTCCCTCGCCGATCTAGCTAACCTCGGGCGGGATCTCGAAAGGACATGCACCCGCTGCAGTGGATGGTCATGATTACAATGTTCCATTAGCAATGACTTGATTGTCATGAGCATTGCGAAGCGTCATCACTCTCTCCCAGACTCGAGACGGACCAGACAGTCCGTCTTATAGTCAAGGTGTCAAGTTTACGATGCGATAACGTCACGACAGCATCAACATTTCAAATGGCTTCCATCTCATTGGTTGACCGAATAACACGAGCATCGTGTATCGTGTTCCAAAGAGATGCATGCTTGAAGACGAGATGAAGTATATATGTATATAATGGCATGAGTGTGCACAGTCTCAGCTTCTCCTCGCCATTCCCACCTCATCCTCGCTCATTCACCTTCCGCAAAGCCCCTTCCACAAAAGAATGTTAAGTGTGCGCACTGCTCCTCTCACGTTGCGCCAGTGCAGTAGATATTGTTCTCCCTCTTTCGCCCGTCGAACATTTGCCCAAGCCGTCAAGATGTCGAGCATTTCCGAGGCCATCAAGAAGGACCACCGCGAGCTGGAGCAGTACTACAATGAGGTGATCAACAACCAGGGCGATCATGACTACCAGGAGCGGTACGGCAACCAGTTCGTCTGGGAGCTTGCTCGTCACTCTGTCGGCGAGGAGCTGGTTGTGTATCCTGCGTTTGAAAAGTATCTGGGGAGCAAGGGCAAAGAAATGGCCGAGAGTGATCGAAAGGACCACCACGTTGTGAGTAGCCTGCTGTACCACTGCATACTATTATTCGTCATGACTACAAGATTACTGATAGTATGACTCGAACCAAAACAGGTCAAGGAAATGCTCAAGACCTTCCAAAACCTAAAGCCCTCGGATCCAGACTACGTCAGCAAGCTCAAGGAGCTCTGGGCCCCTCTCTCGGAGCACATCAAGGAGGAGGAGGAGCGAGACCTGCCGACCCTAGAACAGAAGCTCCAGGAGGTGGAGGGCGAGTCTGCGTCCATGGCCAGGTCCTTTGGCCGCACCAAGGCCTTTGTGACCTCGCGCAGCCATCCCAGCGCCGGCGAGCACCCGCCATTTGAGACTGCCATGGGCCTGCTTGCTGCGCCGATTGATCATATCGCGGATCTGTTCAGGAAGTTTCCCGATAACACGGTATCTCCCAACCCTTCGACCAAATAGAAGGACTTGGTCATGTTTTTTCCTTTCACAACCATGTATTAGTTGCGAGATCTGAAGAATGTCTCTTCGAATATGTATGATTAGTAGTATACGACTTATGAAAAGTGTCTATTCGCATATGCCTAAGTAGTCGAAGAGTACCATTTGTGAAGACGGTCTATCCGAATTTGTATGGTGTCAAAGTGCTCATAACTCGTCATCGCCTTGCTTTTCGACCTTGTATCATTCTTCCATGTGCTCATAACTCATAATCATCCTCTTCTTCTTGACTCCTTTGTACATGAACTCTTGCTGTTTCTGTTGATATAAATGCATGCTTCTTTCTGCGAGTGCCCCTAGCTACCTCTATTTTGTCCCCATGTGCCTACTCTATGACTTTGACAGAAGCTCCTCGTTGCGAAAGCTGCCGCTATCACCAAGCTTGAGCACGTCAATCAGCCTCTTCAGCATGCTGCTCACGCAAAGCTGCACATTTCCTTGGACGACCCGCTGGTACAGGGCCTTGTGCATCTGATTCCGTTCTTTGGGCGACATGGTCAAGGCGTGATGGATCTCATCGGCCACCTGACTCACGTCCCAGGGGTTGATCCGGATCGCCTCTTCCAAGCTGCTCGCCGTTCCGCTGAACTCGGAGATGATGAGCGGCCCATGAGTATCGCGCTGGCACGCGACATACTCCAGACTCGTCGTGCTCATTCCCTCTCGCACGCAGGTGTTCACTGCCACATCTCCAAGGCGCAGAACGGCAAAGTACTCGTCCTGAGACAGTCTCTGGTTGTGTATCTGAACCGGCGTGAAATCGAGGGAGCCGTAGGCCTGGTTGATGGAGCTGGCCAAGTCGTTGACCTGACGGGCATAGACGATGTTATCGCCGTCGTCGTCAGCCATGGTTGCCGGGCTCGTAATTTGCACCAAGACAACGTGATGTTGCCACTCTGGATATTTATCGAGGAAGCGCTTGAAGCCCTGGAGCTTCTTCTCCACGCCTCCAAAACGGCTCAGGGGGTCGCTGCCAATGATGACCTTCTTGCCCTTGTATAGCTTGAGCAGTTCGGCGTATGTCTTGTCGACTGAAGGGGCGTAAGCCAGAGATGTTATCTTGGCAACGTTGATCCCAGACGGAAGCACGGTCAGATGGACTCGTGCTTTGGTCTCGTCCGCTTCCACCCATTCACTTGTGGCCTTGCAGCGAAGGATTCTGGAGCACGAGTTTGCAAAGTGCTGCAGATAGTGGAAGGCCTGGAAGCAGACGAGATCAGAGGCAAGGACTCCCTTCAGTATCTCCTCTCGTCGATGCAGACAGCGGATGAGCTCGCTGGTAGGAAAGGGAGACTCGAGGAAGAAGACGATGTGCATTCCGGGGTGGCGTTTCCGGAGAAGTTCTGGGACGAGCATCAGGTAATGGTCGTGGACGACGACAATGTCTCCCGGCTTGTAGGCTTCGCAGACACGCTCAGCGAATGCTTCGTTCATTCGGCGGTAGTCGTTCCATCGCACAATTGCCTCATGGCCGTCTGTTGGGGCGCGTTGCTTGTAGTGAAACAATGCGCAGAGATCGTGTTCGGCATACCGCCTCCATCTCGACTGGCCCTTCAGCTTGATTCCGGCGTCCGTGATGTCGCGTTCATCGGCCAGCCAGACGGGCACGGTTCGTATGTGGTCGTTGTACAGCTTCTCTTCGAGAAGCGCCTTGCTTTTGCGGGAGATGAACGTTTCTCCAGATCCCACATCCTCGTCTCCAGGGGCATGTCCGCCGAGCGAGGTGGTTGTCGAAGCCGGGACCGATTCCTGAAGCTGTTCCTGCGAGGCGGATGCGCTTTCGTTGTCTGTTACGTTGTATATCTCCCCCGTCCATGCGACCACGGTGTGTTGCCACGGGCTCTCGGGCGAAGAGAGGTAGGTGAGGGAGTCCAGGTGGGCAGAACAGTGGTACTTGTGCTCCAGCTCCTGTCAAGCTGTTAGCTGTCTTCTTCACTCAAGTTGAAGCTGTTTGATATCAATTTCGGGCTTGGAGACTGACCCATTTCCTTCCTCTCCGAAACCGCAGGAGCTGAGGCAGAGTGAACGTGACGGACAGAATGTTGCCGCTCAGGGGAATCTCGCCTCGTCTCGCTGCCAGCGTGATCTCGTTCAAGGGTGACACAGCAGGTGGCTGAGCCGGCACCGTATGAGCCGTTCGTCGAGGAAAGTAGTCTTGTTTGTCTTGTTGAGGCCGTCTCGAGCTGGGGAATCCATTGGGGCGTTCGAGGCCGTAGGTTCCCTGAGAGATTCCTGGCGTCACTGGAATGCTGGTGATGGCTTCGGATTCATGGGGCGGCAGCTGCGTATCATTTCGCTGCGGCACGGCTGGCCGAGTCGGAAGAGCTCCTTGCGGAGTGAGTCTGTTGGCCATCTTGAGAGATGGGGGGGTTTGCAGCCGCAGTTGATTGATTGATAGCAACACAGTAGGTCGGATAGGATCAACAATGGAACAATGAGGGTTGTAACCGGGTTTCAGTTATTGAATCACAGGACAGCGATATCAAAAGGCCACAGAAGTCTGAACAGATACGCCCGAGCGCTAGTATTTGTCTCTTTTGTTCTATCAAGGTCGGAAATGCACGGTCCAGGATCGGCTCCAACAGCGCCTCGCCCCTCGACAGATCTGACGGTTCTACTTGCCTCTGGCGAACCGCATCTTCAGAAGGGACAATGCTGATAGGCTCAAAGCATAGGCTTGGCAACGGATCTGTACGATTCAAGAGACTGTTTTTTTGCCTTGTCTTACCTTGTTTTTTTCTCCGGAGCACTTGCGCCGAAAAGATCTTCATTGACGTCAATCGCCGGTCATTGATTGATGCTCTCGTGAGCGCATCGCCAACGCCTCTGAAGCTGCGACACGGAGAATTGCATGCAATCACAGTACCCTAGAGCCTAGTGTAGACAAGGCTGCTGTTAAACGTTAATCGAAGCGAGCTTATTAAAAGTCGTCAATAAGGATATTATTGTAGTGCAACATCCTGTACTCGAGGCGGTATTCCCAAAGTTGTTGTGTTGTTGGGGGATAGTAATGAGGGCACCATGACAGGTCCCATTTCACCAAGAGATTCTACACCATGCATTGATAACAAACCCGACGGGGATTCATTTGCAGTCCATCACAAGATGGAAGACAAGAGATTGATGTCAATCTGGCCAATGGTCTGTGAGGTTTGTCGTCATGCAGAGACAACACAACTTGAAGAAAATCGTTTGTACAAAGGTCTAGCCTGCTCTATTCTACAGATTCGATTCCATTATTCATTCAATCATCATCAAGATGCCCTTTACCACGCCGTGTGCCCACCGTCGATAATCAAGTTGCTTCCCGTCATAAACGTGCTGGCATTGCTCATCAAGAACAGCGCCGCCCCCTTGAACTCGCTCGTCTCGGCCAGCCGCCCCATCATGTTGGCCTGACTCCACGTCTCTCTCAAGCCCGGCACCTCCTCAAAGTTCTTGAGCACCATGGGCGTGACAATATGTCCCGGGCTCAGCGAGTTGACGCGGATGCCGCCCTCGCCGTTCTCCTTGACCGAGCTCCACTCCATGGCCAGGTTGCGCGACAGCTGAATCACGGCCGCCTTTGACGAGTTGTAGGCCGCAGAGAGCAGGCCCTTGTTTGCGATGGTGCCAGACATGCTGGCGACAAAGCAGATGCTGCCGCGGTTCTTGTACTTGAACATCTGCCTAGCCGCTGCTTGCGCCGTCATGAAGACGCCCGTATAGTTGGTCTGTAGCATCTTGTTGACGTCCTCCGCCGTGTAGTCGATCGCGGGAGTGAGTTGCTGGATGCCAGCAGCCGCGATAACGCCCTGGATCCCCTCATTCTCCGCTGCAATGTCTTCCATCAACCTGTTGAGTGCTGCTGTGTCGTTGACATCCAGCTGCTTATACTGGAGTGAGCCTCCCCATTCGGGAACAACTCGTTCCAGGGCCCTCTGATACTCGTCGTCGGGGCTTGGTAACCGATCAAGGCAGTAGACTATGCAACAGTCAGACACACGAATGTCACACTATGGGAAATGGATCGTGGGAGATGTTCCGGGTAGGAGTCGTCCATACCTTTACCACCAGCCTCGACAAGTGCTTCTGCCATGGCCAGCCCCAGCCCTCGAGCACCGCCTGTGACAACAAATGCTTTGCCGGCCAGGTCAAAGTCGGCAAATCTCTTGGTGCCAACTGCAGTCCCCTTTGGCAGCCCGGTGACGTTCGTCCCCGTTTCCCGGGATGTTGCAAAGTGTCGTCGATTGTGATGAGAGGTTGTGGTAGGGTTGCATGACGCCGCCAGGGGGGCTTTGCTGATAGGAGCCGCCTGCCATCTCGTTGGGGTCGCAATTGGCACCTTGCACCGACCCATTGGGTTGCGGCATCGAGCAACTAGTCTTGCAGACATGGCTTTGGTTGGTTATCTTTGTCTTTCTTTTTGTACCGGCTTCGTCTGTGTCTTGTTATCGTCGAACCAGCAACTGGCAATGTAAACTGAAAGAATTGAGTCGCACAACACACGAGATAGTTGAACTTGTCGAACGTTGCAATGCCATTCTTTAAGCTCAAATATTCTGAGATCGCGAATCTGAAGAACCGGATCGTTATGCATCCTCGACGTCATGATCTGCGGCTGCCCGTTGCTAGTCCGTCCCTGAAAGTGGCAAAAGCTGACCCATCGAGGCGCAGAAACCGTATCACCACGACTCGGAGCTTTGGCTCCGAATATAGATGGTGAGATCTAACGGCTGTTTTGACATAGGCAACAGTTTTTCGTCCGATTTACCAAGGATTTAGCTATGCCAAAGTTCCATATATGCTCCACAGCATTGACGTCGGATTCTCTTGGTGCAATCGCACACAAACGTTAAGAGACCAGCTAGTGACGATGTTATGAAGGCAGTCTTACATGTAAGCTGTGGATCAAGAGGCGTCAAGGTCGAGGCACTTCCGCGGCATATGCCCGAAGGTGCCAAACGACTGGCATGGACTGACCTGATTTGAACACGATATTGGATAGAGCGTCAACATGCACTGCAGATCACATTCACCTGAAAGCCAATAGATATGATATCAACGTTCCGTATTGATGAGTCTGTATAGGGCTCTGCTTGCCTGCCAAGGTTGTGATTTCATGGTGTAGCAGAGAATTTTGACCTCAAGATGTCATCCCGCCGCGCTTTTGGGCTGGCCAAGAGCGTCTGTGGCCATCTCGATCCATCATTGCGGCAATTTCGAATTAGTCGAGTATTAGCGACTGCGTTATCGCGGCAACATCAACCGTTGATAAATCAATTGACTGGAACTTGGAGTTTTTGGAAAGCTTCTGGAAGCAGATGGCGATGTCAAGGCGTCGAAGCACTACGTTCAAACCGAGGTCAAGACCTGAACATGCCTCTGTTCAAGATTATATCGAGACGCCCAGATGGCTACCCATCGCACAACAAAGAACACATTTCTTCTGACTGTTCAATCCGTGACTGTCCTACCAAGCCATGCGTGTTGAACTATGGTGTGTAGACTCCTTCCAAACAGTTGATCGATGGGGTTGGGCGAGCTTGTTTCAGTCCATGCGCTGAAATTCAAGTGTCTTGCGAATGTGAAACTTCGAAAGGATGTTGCTATATGCACTGGCAAACTACTGACCTACCAAGGCATGACGAGAGCTCTGACATTTCCTGCTTAAACAGCCCAAGTAGTAGGAAAAGCAGCAGAGAGGCCAAGTTCGAGACGGAATCCCTCTACTGCACCGGAGAGAGATATCATGCGTCTGTTCTGCAGCCCTACAGCTGTATACTGAAGATCCAACGGCCTGCTACAGCTGCCTGCACGAGCTGCGGCATCCAGCATCAAGCAAAGAGCTTCATCGCCATTGCCGATTCTTTTTCCCAGCAATTCGAAAGTAGAGCATCCAGCTTATTTTCTTCCAAGTACTATTACCTACCAACTCCCGAGCGGAGGCACTGTTGAAGCGCATCTTCACCGTCATCCATGCCGGAATTACCTCCGCAACACCAGCAGATGCACCTCCCTCTTGGAGGGGAACGTAGCTTCCAGACACGATGAGGCAGATACGTAAGTGATTCTTGCTCCTTCCCAACAGCCTACCGAGATGACGTGGCAGGTCAGCCGATTGTGAGCAAGTGGTGAGTCTTAAGCAAGGCGTGTAGTCCATGCAAAGCTCCTGCCCTTGAAAAAAGCTCCGTCACTTTTGACTGACACTCTCACCGCCCCCCCAGAATTGCCGTATAAAAGGTTTGTCTCCTTCGACTCTCTTCTCTCTTTTTCTTTTCTTCTTTCTCTCCCCATAATTTTTTGCTCTGCCACGAGCACCCCCAGCTCTTCTTCTTATTCTTGCCCTTCCATCACCTCCCCCCCGTCGTCTTCACTCACCAGCCTGGAGGGGGGAGGTGATGGAGACTGTCAAAATGAAGTGTCCTTCCCCTTCCTCCAAACCAGGTATGCTCTCCGGCCACTTCGTCCCCTTTGTTGACCGATGGACACTGACGCTCGCACTCGGACACAGGGCATCTCTCCCTCTTCGCTTCATTCTGCTGCCGGTGGGCCGGACCCCACGAAGCCAAATTCATCTCGGCCCGCCGGCAGCTCCAGACACCACCAGGAGCATACGGTATGTCGAGTGTCCATTCCTGATGATGCTGCATGAACTGACAGCGATGACGGCGGCAGCAGCAGCAGCAGCAGCAACAACGACAACAAGAACAACACCAACACCAACACCAACACCAACGCCATCGCCGTCACCATCGCCGTCGCCACCACACGAGAACCACCACACGAGAACCACCACATGGCAACGCCCTTGACCTGATATCGACACTGCTACATTGGGAAACACTTAGTACCTAGGGGTCTTGTTGGACTGCAACCCGGCTAGGATAGTTCACGCTTACAATTTGGGAGGACACTAAACTCCGGGGTCAGATTAGAGTGACAGGTCTAAATGCAAACTACAAGTTTTCACCCTCTTTTTGATATGCCAATGTCTCTTGTGGTGACCACGTAGTCAGCCATTGTACGATAATACTCACTACATTATCAAACATTCCAATATTGATGTCCAAACAACGTTTGCTGTCGCCTCAACCCCAATTGCGCCATTTGCAAGATTAATCTTGGAGTCGTCTTTCGTTACTAAGGTATGCAGTCCATTAGGTGTGTTTTGTCACTTGAACCATTGAGGCCTACAGGATTGATCCGCTCCGCAACTACTTCTCCTTTTCCAACTACAGCCATATCGCCTACCGAATCAACCAGACGCAGCCAGACGATTCGAATTGACAAATTCAGCGACGGGAACGAAGTCATTTACAGATCTACGAGTAAGCATCTCTGACTTGATTGCAAACCCCCACTTGCGACTGTGGAATGTCCACTGCTGCTGCTACTAACACACCTGGTCCACGGGTAGCAAGCCGACTAGCAACTCGCATATCGGTCGATCGACAGTTCGGGAGAAATTTCAACGCATGAGCCAGACCTCCAAGTCCACGCCGTCCGTCAATTTTGCCGGAATGAGCCTGAAGGGCGCGAGCAACAGGTCGAATCCCTGAAGCAGCTCGGCTCGACCCCGAAAGGGCAAAGAAACCAGTCAACAGGCCGAACACTCGTTCGATAAATGCGGGAACTATCGTCGACAGCGAGCCGTGAGCCGTGGAGGATCGAGACATCACCAACATCGTTCCATCGCATCACTGTCGATATGCACCGGCGCTGGATTGGCACCAACCATCACCGGCAAATCATACCCGCAGGGGGCAGTTTGGACAGGAACCGCTACTACTAGTAGTACTATTACTGCATGTACTTTGCATGTACTCGTATGGGCATCTTCTGCAGCAAGATACCATATCGATCCACAGACGCAGCAGCTTTGTTCGAGTCTGTCCAGCTCGCCGCCTGCCATGGCCAACCAGGACCCTGCATCGTCACAGTGCGACAGCTGCGAACAAGGCACACATCTCGCAAACTCCAGGACCAAGGCTCGAATCGGCCGAGGCGATTGGCTCAAGATGCGTTCTCCGCAGCCACCGCACGCGAGACCAGGGTCGTGGGCGCTTAGAGTCCAGCCGGTCGGCCAACCACGAGCGATTCTCACATCAGCATTGTCACGCCTCCGAGGGCGCCACAAGCCGCCTATTGGCCTGCCGGCACAACTGGAACGCAGTCCGCCTCGGTTTCTTTTGCTAAAGTCCAGAGGAACTTGTCCTGTCGAGGTAACTGTGCGTTGTTGTCCCGCAATTTGGAGAGAACCTGTACGAGGTCTGTACGAATGCTCGACCTCTGTGCTACCCAAGCTAACGTTCAGACAGCTCGACTAGACTCCGGATTACAGATATTACTCCTCTGTCGGCCATCGCGAAATGTCTGCTGTTTGTGGCTTCGAATAAGCGTGGCGTTTGCTGGGATAAATCAAACAAACACGAGAAAACTGCCAAAATCTCAGCTAGCATTCCTGCTAAGGAACAGCTATCTGACCAGCCAAAATGTCGTTACCAAAGATGCTGCCGTGCTCAGCTCGTAAACTGCAGGCAAAAAGCAGACACCCGCCTCTGTGGAACTACCAGTGGGAGACCAGAATCGGAGGTATTCGCATACTATGTATGTATGTACAAGGATCGCCCATCTGCAGCCCAGGGCCGGGGTCCCTGATTGGGCCAGCCAGCGCCAAAAGAGCTGCTCGAATCACAGCGGGGAACAAGAGACAGGACCAGCGGTTCAACATCTCTTGGCCACTCAGCTTCCTTCGCCTATTCTCCTGCTTCTCCGCTAGCCTGGTCCCCGTCTCGGGTGGCGTCTGCCCTTGTCCTTGTCGAGGGAGGGGGGAGGAAGGAAAAGAAGCAGTTGGGCGGCTGCAATGGGGCCGCTGTTGGTCGATAGAGTGTGCATACTACTTGGTGCCAGGGCGGGCCTTTTGTCGTCTTTTCGGCCCCCAGAGACCATCTTTAAGACCTGCTGGTTGCGCACGCTCCTCTTTTCCATCTCTTCTTTTCGCTCTTTCGACTTGCTGGTTGTCTTTGAACTCTGTCGACGACAACCGAACACCGGTGGCTGCTGTCTCAAAGGAAGCCTCCTCGACACTCTGTCTATCTGGCCAAGAGCTGAACTTGAGCTCGCGATCCGAGCATCTTGAAGCAGCCGAACATCGAGTACAGGAGAGAGAGAGCGACTGGTCGGGCATCTGGTAGCTGCCCCACACGGAAAGTGATCAAAGGCAAACCTACAAAAAGGTCAAATCGAGACGACATCCAAATCGACGTTGCAGCCGACCTTCGATATTCGAGTATATACGCACGCAATTGCCGAACTTGATCCCTCTTCTCAGCCCGAATAGATTCTCGAATTCGTCAAATTCGAGCTGCATATAGAAAGACGGGAGAAATCAAATTGGTCTGGACCAGGGCAGCGATACAATCCGCCAAGCCCGACGACGAAAATACACCCGCTCGAGGCGTTACACAGATATCCATACACACCTGCACGCAGACAACACCGACATCATGCGGCTTTCATTACTCGTTACGCTCGCCCTGACGGCCCTCATCGAGGCCCACACCGTCATGGTATACCCGGGATGGCGCGGCAACAACCTCATTACCAACGAGACGTTTCCCTACGGCATGCAGTGGATGTATCCATGTCAGTAGCAACCCCAGACTCTTCTCGCCGCTGCCATGGAAACCTTTCAAACCAAAAAGCATCGTCACTAACATGCAAGAATAGGCGGCGGCATGGGAACGAGCAGAAACCGAACGTACTGGCCCACCACCGGCGGCGCCGTCTCCTTCCAGCCCGGCTGGTTCCGCGGCCATCTCCAAGCCCAGCTGCAGATCAACCTCGGATACGGCACCGACGGCCCCGACGGCGGACCCCCGAACATGTCCAACATCATGGTCAAGCCGTTTATGCTCCTCGGTCCAACGAACAATCCCTACCCGGGGACGGTCTGCTTGCCGCAGGTCCCTCTGCCTGCTGGCGCAAACGTCTCGGCTGGAGATAGGGCGACGATTCAGGTTGTCGAACAGGCTCAGCACGGCGCATCTCTGTACTCTGTAAGCTACTCCCTGATGGATGAGACGATGTATCTTATTACTGAAGCTAATCGATCTCGAAATCAAACAGTGCGTCGACATCATCTTTGCCGAGCCAGGCGACCCCCGCATCCCCATCGTCAACGAGACAAACTGCTTCAACTCGACGCAATTCGGCTTCGCCCAAATCTACACCGTCACCACGCAGGAACCCTCCCTCGACGTCATCGCCTCCACGACGACCGGGTCGGCCCCGAGATACTACAGCTGGGCCGGCTGGCTGCCGCTCGTTGCCGGAGCGATATGGATGGCTTTGTGATGGAAGAATCAGGAGACACAGTCACATCTCCCTTCTGATGTCTTTTCCCTCTCTCATTCTTTGCCTGATAATCCTCCCCTGTTCCTTTTTTCTTTGCGTATGTATGTGTGTGTGTGGCATTCGCGTAATTCTTCCAAGATATACCCCTGGATCTTACTCTGTCGACGAGAGTTGGTACCCTCCCCCTTTTTGAAGCTATACTTTCTTCCTCTTGTTGTCCAGCGTAGCAAGCAGGACATGGCGTTGTCGGCGTTTTACGAAAACCAAAGGGCGAGGCCACGTTTGATTATTCACAGCCTGTATATCTCACAAATGTTACTTTCAGATGCTCAAGCTCGAAGATGATAGTTTTCTACGAAGCGAAACCTTGTATATAGAGCGTGGTTTATATACTCACGTACTAGAGAGCAATGCGATCTCTCTCTCGTGCTAGACTGCCTTTGTTCATTATGCATATGCTCCCATAATCATCTGGAGCGTCTTGTTTATCGCCTGTCCTTATTCCTTCACTTCCATCATCTGTTATCCTCCCCCATCCTTCCAGAGATTACCGAGGGATCAGATTCAGACATTCAGTCGCCACGCCCTTGATCCTCTCTTCGGAGCTCTTGTTCGCCGCTCCTTGAACCCATGCCGCCACGCCAAGGCTCTTTGCTTCGTCCTTGGATGTCGACAAGATGGTGCCGAGCGCAACGAGAGCTCGATACAGCGTCTCCGAGTCCGTCTGATCCTTGAGAACAACCCCAAGCACAGCAACCAGGCGTCGCCGTTGCTCCGGAGACAACAGCTTCTCCTTGTTAACAAGGACGGAATAGTTGATCGCCACCGTTGTCACCGCTACGAGGACATTGCGGTTGAGTTTGCCAATGGGCTCGCCTCCTTTGATGCCCGTGATACGTTCCAAGAACGAAATAGCCTTGTCCGCCTGTGAGCTCATGAGGCTTCGACCGTCGGCTGATCCAAAGAGATTCGCCAATGTCCGAGCACCCATCATGGCCGCGTGTTCGTTAGGTGGAACATCATCGGGAATCGACGAGGCAGTGGCTATGTCCACAAGGGTTTCGCCCAAGGGGCCCTTAAACTGCGCTGCTATGGGGAATCTGGCCACGCAGCGCAGCAGGTCAAGACCAGCCAGTCGATCAGAATAAGGCCACTCGGTGACAATCTTCAGGATCACATTGAGCTCAGGGACTGCGATGGCCTTTGAAGAGTCCAGCGCTGCCTTGACTGATAGCAGTGTGCTCTCTTCTCCTGGATTCAGGGCCACATCTTTTCGACCAGAAGAAATCATAGTCTTATTAACGTTTGAGACCTTGTTTAAGATGGCTATTAGATGTTAGCATATAAATCTTATATTATGTTGGCGTAAAAGGCAACCCACCATCGAGTTTTGCCGCAGAGATGCTGATATATTCCTTCTGCGGCAATACCTTTGCTGGACGTGACTGAGAGTCCTCGCCGGGCCGGTATCGTGACTCAGTGCCATATGGATCAGGTCCAGAAGAAGGGCCAGATTTTCCAAGAGTAGCTCCCTTGGTGTTTTCAGTGATAAAGTTGGCCACATTGTCCAGATAGGACAGCGGCAGCTCATTGTCGTTAAGGAACTTGGTCGCTCGCTCGTAAGGGTTCTCAGAGAGATTGTAGGGTAGCTTCAGCGGTGGTTTTCCGTCCTCAATGTCGACGTCGAACACGTAATCGTACGATTGTCCGTTGTATTCGACCTTCTTGCCAGTGCTGCCAACAGCATCCACCACGGTACCAACGTTGATCCATTGCTGCTGTGCCATGGACCACGTATGAGCCGTGACGTTGCCGTTGCTCTCCTTGATCATCTGGACCTGGCCCTCCTTGGTGCCTGCCTTGGAAGTCAGAAACTCTGGGCCTGGCAGTTTTTCCTTGTTGATGCCCCCAAGCTGCTGCTGAGGGATGGCCGAGGCCTTGACGGAGTCTTGGAACTCTTTGAGAGTTGCATCATCTGCCATTGCTTCCGATCGCCTGGTGAAAATTCGCGCTATGCCGTCACTGGCGCCAGTAATGATATCTCCCGTCTCAGCGTTGACAGCAACCGTCCACACCGATATGGCCGGGTGCGTGATGGTCTGGATGCACTCGGACCCCTTCCATATTCTGACGGTTCGATCCTCGCCGGAGCTGACAAGCTCGCCAGATGGCAAACTGGCCAAGCTATACACAAAGCTCTCGTGGCCATGGAGCTCGCTCACCTGCTGGCCGTTGAGCTTCCACAGCCGCAGGGTCCCGTCGTTGCTCGCACTGGCAATATCCGCGCCGCTGGGGTGGCCCTTGGGAACCTTGCACAGCGCCCGAACAACATCAGGAGTGTAGATGGTGGCTGCGGGCATGACCTCGCCGCCTTTGCCCTGCGTCAGATCGAACACGCGGATGCTCTTGTCTGCGCAGCCCGTCACCACCGTTGTCTCGTCAAGAGCAACAACGCTCCAGACAGCCATGCCCTCATGGCCACCGAGCATCAGCTCAGTCTCCCACTTGCTCAGATTCCACACGCGAGCCTGGCCGTCCCAGCCGCCCGACACGAGGTATGTTCCCTTGGGGGAGACATCCAGCGTACAGACATTGTGCGCATGGCCAATGAGAAGGCGCTCGGCGTTGTCTGTTGCCAACGAGTTGGGCGATTTGACCTCGATAATAGTATCCTTGCCTCCCGACACCACGAGGCCGTTGGGGTGTTCTTGGTTCGGAGGGAAGAAGGCTACCGTGTTGACGTATTCGGAGCCGCGGCTGATGAGCGTTCCCTCAAAGGCTGGCGGGCTTGTTTGTGTGCGCCGCCATATCCTGACGGTGCAGTCTCTGGAGGCCGAGAGGGCGAAATCGGGCGAGGGAAAGCTGACGGCGCGAACCTGCGGCAGGAAGAGCAGTCAGCAAAGTAGTACATCGTGAGTAGAGGACCCTGGGGGGGTTCGTACGTCAGCCTCGTGGCCGAGAAGCTGCGCTGAGAGCTTGAATTCGGCCATGCTTCTGGCAGGCTGTGGTGGGGTTTGTGTTTCGAGTGACGATGACGACGGAGGAGACGGCAGATGAAGAGAAAAGAGAGAAGTAAGGACAAAGCAGTAGCTCTTCCTTGAAGTTGGCTCGACGTGGCCTAGAGGTAGCAGCGGAATTGCTTTGTCAGGCGATCTGGGCGTTTGCAGAGGGAGTGGATGACGATGGAAGCTTGGAGATGGCGGAGGTGATTGTTTGGTGCAGCTGTTTCCAGTTGGTCATCGAGGGAGCATTCAGTACGTACCCCGGCTGTTGACTGCTGCGAGGCCCCACCAGCCACAGCACAGCACAGGCACAGGCTTCAGTGGGTATTTTAGCGGGCAGCTCCAGCGAGGGGTCCTGGAGCTTTGGTAAGCGGCCGAATGTGGCTTGCGCCCTGCACCTCGGGTGGCCTTGGAACCGCGGATAGTCGAGGGGCTTTTGAAGCTTCGGATGATACTCTAGAATTTTTTTTCTTGAGCAGATGATCAACATTGCAAGAAAACAATCAAGAGTTATCAAGACTATACCAGGATTCAATTCTATTGCCTTCGGCCTGGGAACAGCTGCTACACCAAGCAAAGAGCCATCCTCGCCACACCAAGTAAGGTAAGGTAGGTGTACCTTATCTGCAACCCCTCCTTTTGTGGCGGTGTCAGAGCCCAAAGTACAGCACTTGCCATAGCGCCGCTCTCCCGCTAAACGGTCAACAGGGCAGTCGACAGTCAACAGCTACTGTTAGTAGTAGCACCTGCCTAGTGCCAGTTGCCCAACTGCCCCGCCTTCCCCAGCAGCCGACAGAAATCATCATCCAGATCGCTCTACGTCTCCAAATCTTAAATCCTCAATCCCATCAAAGGGGCTGCCGGTGATCGCCTCTCTGCCCTGCCTTGCCTTACCACTTCTCCCCCCAGACAACCCCCCCGAGACGCCGGGCACAGACACTCTCTGGCATCCTGTCCTTCCGCTTATTGGCCCTGTTTCTCCCGCCGCAAGCCGCCCCAACACCCTGCATAGCAGGTTCGAGACCACTGCCCTCGACGCGATCCGATCACTGCAAGCTGGACACCCTCGTCTCTGTCCACGTCGGCTACTTTATACTCCTCGCGCTTTTCTCTTCTTCCGTCTTCTCTTCTGTCCTCGAGTTCCAGCATTGCAGCCTCTCCTTCACCAGAGCCGGGCCTGTCTGCGTTGCCTAGAGCGTGCTGCCCCCTGATCCCAATTCTACACGTCTTTGAATTTGAAACACTTCATCCAGTCCTTCCTATTTTCCGGCCGCTTTAAACTCCCAATCTCGATCTCTATCTACTACACGCAGACAACGATAGTCTGTCAGTCTCTACTACAACATCCGCGATATACCCTACGACCATCATGTCGTCCGAGGCTCAGCGCCAGTACGTCCCATTGACGTGCCACGGTCACTCGCGACCCGTTCCGCACATTAGCTTCTCTCGACTTGAAAAGGAAGACAGCTACTACATGATTTCGGCCTGCAAAGGTGAGCAGCCCTCAATTCTAGCCATACGTTATGCAACCCTTTGACCCAACCCTAACCTTGGCATTTACAGATGGCAATCCGATGCTCCGCGACGGTGTGACGGGCGACTGGTATAATTTCCTCTTGTGCAACCCTGCGATATAGACGGCATCCAAGCTGACCTTGTGCGTCAGGATCGGCACTTTCATCGGCCACAAGGGCGCTGTCTGGCAGGCTAGACTGAGCCCCGACACCTCCACGGCCGCCACCGCGTCTGCCGACTTTACTGCGTACGTGACACTTGAGATGTCTCTCCCAGTCCTACCTTACCTCTGCCCCAAGTGTAAAGACTGCGCGTGCCTAACACGTCTCTATAGCAAAATTTGGGACACTCACACTGGTGAGCTTCTGTACACGCTGCAGCATGAGCATATTGTCCGCGCTGTCGCGTATCCGCCTGACAACGCCGATCTTGTGGCCACTGGCGGCATGGAGAAGAAGCTGCGTGTCTTTGATTTGTCTGACGTCCCCGGTGCTGGACGTGGCGATGCCATTACCATCCCCGCCACAGCTGGCTTTGAAATTGGCGAAGGCATCCACGAGGGCTCCATCAAGTTCATCTGCTGGACTCAGGACCCCAACGTCATCGTTACGGCCTCGGACAAGACTATTCGCTGGCTGGATCTTCCCACCCGTGCCTGCATCCGCCAGGAAGTGCTGGACGGCGAGATCCGCTCTTGTGAGATGGTGTCTCTCGCTCCTGAGTACGCCTCTGTCACGGACATTGGCGGTGGTAAGCCCGTGCTCGCCGTTTCCGCCGGCAAGACTGCCTATTTCTGGGGCGGTCCTCGCGCGATGGAGGAGCTGAAGCGCATCGTGCTTCCCTACACCATTGCCAGTGTGGGCCTCGACGTCAAGGGCCGCAAGCTGGTGGTCGGCGAAGAGCCCGGAACCTGGGCCAAGGTCATCAGCTACGACACCGAGGCGGAGCTGGACGTTCACAAGGGCCACCACGGTCCGATTTGGTCCATTGCCTTCTCGCCCGACGGCAAGCTATACGCGACGGCCTCGGAGGACGGAACCATCAAGATGTGGAAGAACTGCGACGGCTTCTACGGCCTGTGGCGAGGCGGACCTGAGCGATCTACGGACTAGAGAGAAGTCGATCGCAGCTTCACCTCCTCCTCGGACGCGGCGCGCACCTCGAGTCGATGCTTCACGCCCAACAGCAGCCGCGACCTCGACGACGTGTCTGTCGGCTCGTCTCTGGCGCAACTGAGCGAGAGCTCGTCTGCTCGCCAGAACCTAAACTCTGCTGACGAGGCGTCCAGCTGCAGCCGCGGTTCACGACGCCGAAGCCCCTTCCCATTCAAGTACTAGATGCTGCTTTGAGAAGCAAGCATAGGGCTGGAACGGCAGGAATGGGACACTCGTCGGGGCCGCCGTCCTTGTCATCGCCGCCGCCGCGATGCCTGGTTCCATGTGTTCTTATATACATGCTTATGTGAACAGCATGTAGTTCCACACATATTTTGAGACAGCTCCATTTTTGAGCCATACAATCAGTAGCTTATTTGATGGCATATCAAATGGAAGAATAAAGACAAATCAGTCACCTTTCCATTATGTTCCTCTAATGCTGTAGGTCCCCAGCGTATTCGATGCTCCAAAGTATGCAATCTTCTACCTACCTACCTTCCTTGCCTAGTAGTACCTATGTATTCCTCTGTGGTTGTGTGATTTATACCTGGGTTGGCTTCAAATTGGAATGAAGATACCTACTACTAGTACCTAGACCACATACATGTTGCCCTTATTGCGGCCTATGTTTTCGTTACCTCGCCTATTCTAGGACTTGATAAAGCATCTTGTTGTCTCCCTGCAACGCTTCTCATCATTCCTTTCCCCCCACAATTGTTCTTTCTTAATTGCTCTCTCTTCATCTGATTGCAATCATTAATTCCACGAGAGGCTTACGGCACGCGAGTTGTTGGCGACCTCAATCTATCGTCCTTATGTACCTACCTATAGGGTACGCAATGTCCATCGTGCTCCTCCCATTACCATGTGCATACTACTAGGTACCTAGTAGGTACTGTAGGTAGGTACCTACCTAGGCCCGCGCCAGGTACAGAGTGCTCCGTGACCCCTCCGCAAATCGCCCAGCGGCCGGAAAAACGTTGTTGCAACACGCCCGCACTCTGCCCCTCCCCCTCCATTTGCCCAGCCAAAAGATTGAGTCACCTCGGAGAGGCGCCGATTTCGACCAAAAAAAGAGGCTGCGCCAAAACCATCGTCAAGTCCAGCGTCTCGAAAGACGACAAACACAAGCACGACCGCAGCATCATGGCTCCCGTATCCGCTGACTCAGCCGGCGACCTCGCCCACGAGGTCCTCCAGGCATTGGCCAACACCGACCAGATCCTCTCGACCGAGGCCTTCCCGAACGTGCCCTTTGAGACGCTCAAGGCCGCCCTCGATCGCCTCTCCTCACGGTCCATGGTCGTCTACGAGCAGATTGAGCGACAAGAAGCCATCCTGGAGCCCGAAGCCGAGCAGATTGTCGAGCATGGAAGCCACGAGGCTCGCGTTTTTGAAGCCGTTCACAAGGCCCTTGGCGGTCTCTCGATCCAGGACCTGGAGACGACGATTGGCGACAAGAACGTGACCAAGGTTGGTCAAGGAAAGGCCTTCAGGGAGAAGTGGATCAAGAAGGAGGACAACAAGCTTGTTGCGCTGGTTAGTCTTGGCTTGAGATGACTGACGGGGAACGGGAATCTAACCTGGAGTCACTTCCCTCTCTAGGTCGACTCGATCGAGGACGTAACGAGGTCGCAACTCCGTGTCATCAAGGAGACCAAGTCGCACGAGCCCAAGGTCATTGCCGATCTGAAGAAGCGAAAGCTGCTCAACACCGCAAAAGTCATCTCCTTCAAGATCTCCAAGGGCCCCAAGTTTGCGCTCGAGATAGTCAAGGAGGAGACGGACCTGACGGCCGACATGCTGGCGTCTGGATCATGGAAGACGGCAAACTTCAGTGGGTGCCAATGAGAGGATGGCTACCTATGGAATGTCACTTGCTAACAGGCGTCGCCGCACACAGAGCCGTACAACTTCAAGGCCTTGGGCGGGCACCAGGTCGCTGGAGCTCTTCACCCCCTCAACAAGATGCGACACGAGTTCCGGTCAGTCGAATAGCTGAAGAACTATACCTCAGAGAGCTGGCATGCACTGGGATTCTAACACGTCTTTCCCGGCAGACAAATTTTCTTCGAGACTGGCTTCACGGAAATGCCCACCAACCAGTACATCGAGTCTGGCTTCTGGGTATGTATCGATCTACACAGCCCTCGCTTCCGGCTCTTTCGAAATCGAGAGAGGATAAAGAATGCTAATGTTTGAACTGTATAGAACTTTGACGCTCTTTTCGTTCCTCAGGTAAACATACACTTGATTGTTCAGCACCCCTGAAGCACCACTAACAGTAGAATAGCAACACCCTGCCCGAGACTTGCAGGATACCTTTTACATCTCCGACCCCAAGACGGCTGGCCGGCCAGGTCCTACCTCTGCAGACGACAAGCAGAACTATGACGAGTACTTTGAGAACGTAAAGCAGGTGCACGAGAATGGAAAGTACGGCTCCATCGGCTACCGATACCCCTGGGCCGAAGAGGAGTCATTAAGGTAGGTCTTTCTAAGCGCAGTCATTCCCATGGACCCCTGGGCTAACTGGAGATAGACTTGTCCTTCGCACTCACACAACCTCTGTTTCAGCAGCCATGCTGTACAAGTTGGCGGCGAAGAAGGGCCCGGACGGCCGTGTGCCTCCCGTCCGTTATTTCTCCATTGACCGCGTTTTCAGGTAACAATCAATGCTTTCAATTCACACGTGTCAAATATCTAACAAAGTGCCCAGAAACGAGGCTGTGGATGCGACACATTTGTGCGAGTTCCATCAGGTAGAAGGTATGATACGCTGGACAGAAGGATACTTTGGTATCTGAGATAGAAGCTGACAATGACATAGGTGTTATTGCCGACTACGGACTGACCCTTGGAGGTCTGATGGAGTTCTTTGAGACATTCTTTGCCAAGATGGGTCTGACAGAGTGAGTGAACCCCTTCCAAATCAGTCCAGTGTGTGACCTTATACTAATATGCTACTATAGCCTCAAATTCAAGCCAGCGTAAGAGACGATTTAGTTTCGCAGGATACTTATGGGAGATTGCTAACAACTTGCACAGCTTCAACCCCTACACAGAGCCTAGTATGGAGCTTTTCAGCTACCACAAGGGCCTCAAGAAGCTCGTAGAGGTAGGGCAAAACCTAAGTATGACAGGAGTGGTTTGAAAGCTAACGGCGAGTCCGAGTTTAGATTGGCAACAGTGGCATGTTCCGACCGGAAATGCTCGAGGCCATGGGCCTGCCCAAGGACCTGAGAGTCTACGGCTTCGGTCTCAGCTTGGAGAGACCGACGATGATCAAGTATGCTATTTCAAATATCCGCGAGCTGCTGGGTCACCAGGTAGATCTCAACTTCATCGAGAGGAACGCTGCTGTACGATTGGACAAGGACTAGAAACTTGGTCAAGACGATGATGATGATGCAGAGGGAGTATAGACGAGGACGATGAATCAGCCAATGTGAAAGACACGGCTCATCAGGAAAAGCGATGAAAGCGAAGAAGAGGGAAGAGGAAGAAAAGAGAAGCAAAATAAACAATGACGGAAGCCCGGACAATTCTGGAGCGTCCCATGATCTTGTCACGATATTTCCATCAGACAGAAGCAGCGATGTAACGACTTGCTTAGTCGCAGAATGCAAAAGCAAAACACCTTTATGCACTATTCTTTGGAATCCGAAGACCCAAGACTGCTGCACTGCTATTGCGTTTCATGATTTCTAGTCTCCTCTCTGCTACTAGATCGAGCGCGGCGTCGCCTTGTCTCTCGGTTATATGCGTGTGGTGGAGTAGTGGCATGACGCCAGTACCCCCCCTGGCATCTGGAAAAAGTTGCCTACCTTCAAGTCATCGCGACTCGAACCAGCGGAGCTTATGAATCCAAAGCCTCAATTCCGATATCTCCGCTTCAGGCTTGTGTGGTGGAGTTTTCGCTGGATAGCTCTCGGAGACATTTTGATGAGGCTTGCGGCTTTCTCTTCGCCAGGGGCTGGTCATTGGAGAAGTGATGTGTCCGACAATATGAAGAAAAAAAGAGAATCTGAAGCAGTATAAATCAATCGATTTCCTCGGGACTGACTGACTTCTGCATTCGATCGAAGACTAGTATTCCATCATCAGTCGGTTTCCGATTCCTCCTGTGTTAAGCATATCGTCAACGATCAAACCGTCTCAACATGACTTCTTGGGCCATCGTCGGAGCCGCTCGCGGCATCGGAGTGAGTGACGAGAGGCCGGTATTGATGCTTCGGCTTTGTTTCATACAGCTGACTGGTGGAAATAGTTTGAATATGTAAAGCAACTGGTGCGTGGAAGATGGCTTCTGCCTATTGTTATTTGAATATCTTCTGGCATCGTTTGCACGACATGAGTACTCACCTACTCGGCAGTCTGCCAACCCAAACAACACCGTGTTTGCCTTGATTCGAAGCCAGGCAACAGCTGGTCCAGTGAACGAGCTGGCCGCCAAGCGCAGCAACATCAAGGTGATCGAAACGGATGTTTCCAGCCTCGACAAGCTGAACCAAACAGCGGAGAGCATCAGCGAGGTCACGTCAGGCAAGCTGGACGTCCTGATCTATAACGCCTACTCTGCTGGTACCGACGAAGGAAAGCTTCTGCCCCCTACTGCTTTGTGAGTATTCGACAGTTTCGCCCGCGGTAAATGAGAGGCATCAGAGGCTTACTTCGTCAAGTCATGGAAAAGAGGACCTCTTCAAGCGAGAGGTCAACGAATCGGCAAGTCATCTTTGTCCTGCGGAGACCTTTATGAGCGTGTATTGACTTGCTTCTCCTTGATAGTTGAGCGTGAACCTCTTCCAAGTCGTCAACACGGTCAGCGCCTTTCTCCCTCTCATTGAAAAGGGTCAGCAGAAGAAGATCATCTACATCTCGTCGGGAATCGGGGATATTCCCACCACCCGCGCCACCGAATTGCCAAACCTTCTTGGCTATGCCATCAGCAAGGCAGCCGGCAACATTCTCATGGCAAAGTACGCCGTGGATCTGAAGGCCAAGGGCATCCTCACACTCTCGCTAAGCCCTGGCTGGGTGGAAACCGACGCTTGTGAGTCCCTGTCGATGGCGAGGGGGCCGTCTCGACTGGCGTTGAAACTGACATATTGCAACTCTAGCTCGAGAACTCTCCAACTCGCCCGAGGTCTTCCAGTGGATGCTCTCATCGTTCCAAAAACTGGATCCCACAGTCAAGGGCATGATCTCGACCGAAGAATCCGTCAGCGCTCAGTTGTCTGTTATAGATTCGCTCGACGAGAAGCTCAGCGGGGCTTTCGTATCTCACCGGGGCAACGACCGCGATTGGTTCTAGATTCATTTCTTCAGCTTCCAAGTCTAGTGCAATCCGTAGAGATCGGGAGCATTGTGGACGACTACTTACATATTGAAATACAAGCAGTATAGCGAGGAAAGAGAATGATTACCATATTATGTGGGAAAAGCTTGACTGGCCAAGTTCAGCCTTTCTGCTTACCATCTGAATCCGTACTCGGAGATGTTGGTTTCCTATCAGTGCCCTCGTCCGACAATCTATCCAGGCTCTTCATCGATGGTGCCAATCAGTTGCCTCGAAGCTGTCCAGCGAATGTACGTAGTAGGTTCAGGGGTGTGATGGCCAACCTGACGCTTGGTGAATGCTCCAACGGTCATTCATCGGAAGCACCCATCCAAGTATCACTTCGACCATCCCATCCCTTTACCCCAGACTGTAAGGGACCCCTACATTGTTCGCCTCCACCTTGCAAATTTCCCCATGCGTCATGCGTAAGTTGGAGCGTACAACTGGGGCTGGCTAGGACGCAATAGTCAGAGCGCTGGAAGATCTTTCGGAAGAAGATTTGAATTCCTCTGTTATTATGATTCTCTCGACACGCCTGCTATCCGAAATTGCCTGGAATCGAACTAGTAAGCCCAATGTGAGAAGCCAACGTCGCGACATAGCGCTATGGGCGGTTGTCAATGGATTGCAAACTCTGTCAGCAACATTTCAAGTGATCATTCCATGAAGATTAAGAAGGGAGGTAGATGGAGCATACCTGGACATAGCACTGTTCAATGCTGAAGGCTGTCTGAGGAGCCTCAGATCATCGGTCCTGACTGCTGGATGGAGGCCAACTGCCCGAAGTCCGCTGGATTGCTGGATTGCTGAAGAGGCCTCTCTAAAGAATTGGCAGTCCGCTTGACGTGGGACCGTGGACAAGAGGTGGTGGTGGAGTTACCGCAATGTACTGATATTCATACTCACCCTGTTTACAGTTTGACAGACAGTGAACCAGCAAAAGCCTCCATCAGTCTGACCAATCGCTGGGCGTCGGATCACTGAAGTATATATGTCATGATTCCATGGAGTGGTTGATAAATGTCATGTACCAGTCGATGTTGGGCCGGTTGAAAAATACCGGTCATTGCAGGGGTTCGATAGAGTTGGAGACTTCTGCAGATGATCTGCCCCTTGTCTGTGTCTTCGGGTAAAATTGATTTTCGGTTGCAACAGGGTCTATCGTCGAACATTTTGGTATGACTGGAGTCGATAGTTCGTTTGTGCTGACCGTGAGAGCAGTTTAGGAGCCGTGTTCTGTTGATACATGCATACTATCATGAACTGAACATGATCAAATCGTGTCTCGATCGTGATCTCGCGGTGCGTTCGCTGTTCGGCAGGGGTACTTTTCGTAGAATTTCTGGTCTATATTTGCGGCGTCGTTTTGGAGAACTGTTGGATTATTCAGAAGTCAGATGCGAACAGGATCATTCTAAGAGTAAAATCCGTCTCCAGAAAGCTGACATGCATGCTTCTTACCAAATGAAATTCAGATAGGTGTGATTGCAGTATGGCACGAGGAAAACCCCCCCAGCGAATGGGCCAGGCTGCAGTGTAGAAGCTGTGATGTTTCAATGGAGCAGATGCATTGAGGCCTGATATAATGCAACCGTGAGTTGTGACTGGTGCTGGAAAGGGCAAGTTGGCAGCTTGATCAGGCGAGATAATGCGAGCCATGCGAGGGACACCTCACGGCACCTTCAATGGCAGAGGAGGCGGGGAGAAGAGGGAGACGAGACAGAGGCAACGTGAAGAGATCAGTTGAGACGGTCCAGGGTGAGGCACCTGGTCAATCCTAGGTACCTTGGGTAAGTATATCTGAGCGTCTCTCTCCAAGCAATGGACGTCGGATATCGGTGGGTACCTGTATATCTTATATCCTATGGATATACAACACATAGACATCGTAATGGCACCGCGCCGTCTACCTAGGCGCTCTGTGGCTACTAGTTCCTGTAGGCATGAGAGTCTGAGCACCCGACACTCCGCCAAATTGACGAACCAAAGGGTCATTGCTCGAGCAAGAATTGAATTTCCGGAGACGCCTATGCGGCGTCAATATCTGAAGGTGATGTACTTTAGGTAGGGCAATCTGTAAAGACCAAGGTAGTAGTCTGGTTGGGTCATAATTGGAAGGCTTGGTAGTGTGAGTGTCGAGGCCCTGTACTGCAATCGTTCTCCCCCACCCCTCCCCCCTGTAAATGTTCACCAGCATACAGGCACCCAGCAGCTTCAGTGAATTGGCCTCCCTCTACTTGCTACCTACATACAACATAAGGCAACAAGGCAAATGCGAACCACTCGCAGTTCGCAACTCCAACTTGGGTACTACCGCATCCGATCGACCCAATACCTACATACCTACCGCACTGCAGGGAGCGACACGCATGGAGGTGTTCAGCGGGCAAGTATAAATACCTGCCTGATTCCCCATCCATCTCCTCTCGGCCTCTGTCCCAACCATCGTCTCTCACATTCTCTGCTTCATCCATCAACCTTACTGAGCATCGAAACGCTGGGCCAGAATGTGGCAGCATCCACCTCCTCGGCCCATCATGCCCAGCTGCGGCATCTTCTGCGTCGACAACGGCATCAAGTTTCTCCCCATCGTCTCTCTTGATGTGCACACTTCCATCGTTGCGTCAACCTCTCGCACAGTCCTCAGGCAGACGTTTGCAACCACCGGCCGCCCCTTCAGGAACGTGCGGTATGCCTTTCCTCTCTATGATGGCTCATCGGTCGTCGGGTTCCAATGCACCATCGGATCACGCACCATCAAGGGCGTCGTCCAGGAGCGGGACGAGGCCAAGCAGGCGTACAACGCCGCAGTTGGGCGGGGAAACACGGCTGCTCTGATGGAGCAGTCGCTGGAGGCTTCTGACGCCTTCGTCACCTCTCTGGGAAACATCCCCCGCCGCTGCGAGAGCGTCGATGTTGAAGTCACGTACCTCGGAGAGTTGAAGCATGATGCCCAAGTGGATGGACTGCGCTTCACCGTCCCCACGAGCTTGGCCCAGCGATATGGACAGCATTCCATCACCGGCAGCGACGCCATTACCTTCCAGGGCGGCAAACACATCAAGATCACGGTGGACGTCGATGCCTCTAGCGGTTCGGTCATCAAGAACATCCAGTCACCGTCGCACCCAATCGCTGTCAGCATTGGCACTCTGTCCACGGCCGCATCTGATCCGCCATCTCTGCAAAGGGCCCATGCTACTCTGGCTCAGGACGCGGTCGTGCTGGGCAGTGACTTTGTCCTTCAGGTTGTCGCCACCGGTCTTGGTGACCCAATGGCTGTTCTCGAAAACCATCCTACAATCCCAAACCAGAGAGCGCTCATGACGACGCTCGTCCCAAGATTCAACCTGCCGATGGAGATGGCCGAGGTTGTCTTCATGTGTGATAGGAGCGGTAGCATGGCAGACGGAAACAAGATGGGCAACGTCATTGAAGCCCTGAACATCTTTCTGAAATCTTTGCCCGTCGGCGTCAAGTTCAACATCTGCAGCTTCGGCTCGAGCTATTCGTTCTTGTGGGAGAGGTCAATGACCTACGACGAGGCCACCTTGGATGCTGCCACACGCCACGTTGTCGGGTTTGGGGCCGATCTTGGCGGTACGGAAATGTTCAAGCCATTTCAGGAGATATTCCAGAGACGCTACAAAGACTTGAACCTCGAGGTGATTCTGCTCACCGACGGAGGGATCTGGGACCAGAAAGAGCTGTTCCAGCTCGTTGATACCCATGTGGTCGAGAGCAAGGGAGCCATCCGAGTCTTCGCCTTGGGCGTGGGAAGAGACGTCAGCCATGCTCTGATTGAAGGCGTCGCGCGAGCGGGCAATGGCTTCTCCCAGGCAGTGGCAGAAGACGAAAAGATGGACAAGATGCTGGTGAGGATGCTCAAGGGGGCGCTTACTCCGCATATTACCGATTATTCTCTCGAAATCAAGTATGGGAGCAGGGACGCCGCCCCGTATGGAGAGACTGCCGACGATGACTTTGTCGTCATTGAAAGAGTTATGGACTCACTGACGTTGGACATCTCACCCTCCTCGGATACAACATCAGAGCCCCCTCCGCAACCCATGTCACTCTTTGACCAAAGCGTCCAGGACTCGGACTTGGAAATACCCACAAGTTCCAACTCCGTGACCACGAAGCTCCCGTCCGTGACGGTTCCGCAATATCTTCAAGCTCCCTTCCAGATACCGTCGCTTTTCCCATTCAGCCGCACGACTGTCTACGTCTTGCTTTCCGACGCAACGCCAGACTGCCAGCCCAAGAGCGTCATCCTCAAGGGCTCCTCCACTTACGGGCCAGTTGAACTGGAAATTCCTGTCAGGGTCCTCACCGAAAAGGGCACTACCATTCACCAGCTGGCGGCACGCAAGGCTGTCCGCGAACTCGAGGACGGCCGCGGATGGATCTTTCACGCCAAGGACAGAGATGGCAAGCTCTTGCAAGAGCAGTTTGAGGGCCAGTTCAGCGATATGGTGAAACAAGAGGCAGTCCGCCTGGGGAAGCAATATCAGGTTAGCGGCAGGTGGTGCTCCTTTGTTGCCATTCAAGATGATGATGTGGACGACGACGCCAAGATGAAGCAACATAAGACAGAGGAGGCAGACGAAAACGGAGAAGGCAATGCTGGTGGTGACGACGAGGACATTCCGTTTGACGTGACCGCACAACAACAAGCCTCAGCTCGTGGCTCCCCGCCGTCAGCCTCTTGCAGGATGGGGAAGCGCAAGCATGCGCAATCCTTCGAAGCACTCGAGGTTGAGCCCCCTTCGACTCAGCAGCCGCCCATGTTACAAGGCGCTGGTCAGCCAAAAAGTCAAATTCGTTACCTTACCGGCGTTATACACAACCATCAAGGCACGCTTACGCAGGTTGCTACGCCAGCTAACCAGTTTCAAGCCATGGCAATGCGGGCTAATATAATAGCTGCCCAGCAGGCTGCTCATCAGCAGGCTATTCGACAGCAAGCTGTTCAACAGCAGGGTGCTCAACAGCGAGCTGGCCAGGGTCATGGCATTTCTATGTCAGCCCCTCAAGGCGCCAATATGATAGCTGCCCAGCAGGCTCAACAGCAAGCCGCCCAGCAGGCTGCTCAGCAGCGAACCTTCCAGGGCCAAGCCATGCCTACGTCGGCTAACCAGATGACGCCTCAGATGTTAGCTTTCCTGCAGGCTAACCAGCAGGCTGCCCATCAGGCTGCCCAGCAGGCTGCTTACCAGCCTCAAGGCATGTCTGGCGGACCATATATAAGACAGACGGTCAGGAGAAGCATAACGGTGGTCCAACAGCAGGCGTCCTCACCAGAAGATGTTCAACAGCAGCTTGCTGCTGCTGAGCAGATAATACGCCAGCATCAAGCAACAGCCGCCGCCGGCGCAATGACTGAGATCAATGGGGCGAATGATGACCAGACGGCCAATCTCCGAGCAACTCTGGCTGCCCAGAGAGCTGCCGCGGCCCAGCGCGCTGCGAGCTTGCAGCTCCATCAACAGTATCAGCACTATCAGCAGATGCATGCGACGCAGCAGCAGCAGTATATGCAGCAGGGGCCTGCTCCGCTTGTCCTGAACCACCCAATGGGCGTGGCTCCCGCTCCTGGATACATCACCTACCCGACTCCCAATCCCCTCTTTGGCGGCGATGGTAACTCTCCCTTACTGACCCTGACTACTCTGCAGAACTTTGCTGGCAATTGGCAATGGGACGTGAGGCTGGAAGCTGTTTTGGGGATCACAGAGGAGCTTGCCGCGGACAGGGTTCAGCTGCCTGGTGATCAGAGTCCGCAGGAGACGGACGTGCTGGCAACGCTCTGCGTCGTGGTGTTCTTGAAGAAGAAGCTGGCGTCTGAACAGGAAACCTGGGAGCTCCTTGTTCAAAAGGCAGAGGATTGGCTGGAGCGCCAAAGGGGAGCGGATGTCTTCGAGTGGGAGAGGATTGTGGAGGATCAGCTCTTTACGGAATAGGGCAACTCGTGGGAGGACAAGCCCGGAAAGCAGGAGATGCCGGGGAATTTGATTGTGGTGTTGTCTTGAAAGCTGCAAAGGGCAATGGTATCAAGGACATTTCGGAACGACTTAGTAGTGTCAAGGTGCAGATTCTCTAGTCCTGCCAATTGCTCTTTTTTATTGAAACGTAACGAATAATGATGAACGGCTCTCTATTTGTATCTACAGTACAACTCCAAGGTTATTCAACCCCTTGCTTTCTGAATGGCAAGCTCTCCCAGTCTGGCAGGCTCCTGTGAAAAAGCATCTAGGAACTTGAGATGTGTCAATTCCGCCATTGTTAGCTTTCGTATTGGGATATCCCTAAACAGCGTAGGGGCGCTTTTGAGGATCTCGAGGTCCCCGGCGGTCGACTCGTCGAGAGGATTAGAGATCATGTTGGAGAAGAGGGCGAGGATGGCGGTGATGGGATAGAAGATGACGATCCTGGGGCGAATCACAGACCATTAGCAATTCTTGTCCATGATGGGTGGCTGCGTGGACACGGAGAAAGGATGGCTCTCACCAGAAGCAATCGTCTGTTATGACGTGAAGGGCAACACGCAAATACCTGACCGTCGACCTGCAAGCGTCAAGAGAGATATTGAAGCTAGATTGAACGCCTTCGTGGTGCGTTTCCGGTGACCGAGTCTCGCATCTTCCACTAGCCCGATGGACTATCGCGACGAAGTGGTAGTAGGCCAGCCGAATCATGGACGATTGCATGCTCACGTCTGCGCTCACGGGCGTCGTTTCACCAAACGTGAGTGTCGGACGGATATCCGGCGGAATGGACAAGCGCCACTGCTCGAGGGACTTGTCGAGAGTGCGGATGCTCTCGAGCAGCTCGGACTGCGTCTTGCAATGGGCCATGGGCGAATAGAGGGCGTCGTATGCGCGGGACTTAAGCTGAGAGAGACGGAGATCCCAGGGGTACATGGGGACAGTGTTGTTGCCGAGACCTGGAATGATAGGGCTCTGGATGTGACGGCTCTGCATCACAGAGTAGTCAGGAGGCAGCGTAAGATCGCAGTGCAGGTCTAGGAGACAAGAAGGCTGTCCAGTACGGATGCATAGGTCTTTGTCAATGGCGTAGCAGGTCCAAAAGAGGTCGCGAAGATGATGAGCCAGGTTGCTCTTATCGTAGAGTTGCGAGGAAGTCGGCGATCCGTGGCTGGATGTCGATGACGAAGGACATCTCGGTGTAGTGGTGTAGTCGGGATTGGAGTGAGCATTGAGGGCGAAGATGAGCCGTGTAGCGATGGAGATGAAGAGGCCAGTGGACTGAAGATCTCCTAGGAAGTAATAGACTATGGCCTGTTGATCGAGTACACATCCATTAGTGAGTATTACAACCCAATTCTAACATGCTTGACGATTGAAGAGATAGTCAATAATTCTAGCATAAGGTAGAGAGTTGGAGGGATCAGGGGTACTATTGATGGATGTAGGACATACCATTGTGACGACCGTTTGAAGCCCATCCCCCGTCATGTCTTGCATAACCTGGGGTATCATCGATGTAGCAGCGGCCACATATGATTCGCACGCCATTGTTGCAGTGGAACCATCCTCAAACCTCAAGATGGATATCAAGGCAAGAAATGAATACACACAAGCTCTAGAAGAAGCAGCAGAATGAGAGTTGTGTGACTGGTAAGCCGAACAGAGAGTCCTGCTAAACAGACATTTGCTCAAGACGGGGAAGACGAGGCAGACAAACGAAGAGCAATACGTGGCAGCATGCCGTTCGACTGTCGCCCTCGGAGGAAGCTCACAAGGCCGTTTGTCGTTCATAGCTGTGTCCAAATCCAGATACAGACGTCTCGGGTTGTGCCACTGGCGGCCGAACGAGCACAGCGTCCGCGGTGTCATGCAACTGCCGGTACGGGATTCGATCCATGCCCGGCCCCTTTCGGAAAAGAGTGGGATGCCAGTGAAGGACGTGACATTGCGTAGATGAGGATGGAAGGAGTCCAAGTATTCTGTCTGAGCGTCTAGCGAAATGTTAGAGAGGAATCATGAGCACATGTAGACAGATCGAGGATGTATAAGCGAAGGAAGATGGAACTGGCACTTCGAGGGCATCGTGAGGCCAGATTCGAGAGATGAGAATGCAAATGGAATCAAGAGCCTACCATCGTCATGCTGGGATAGCCGTTGAGTCAAGATGGCCTCCATGCGGGTGACGGAGTCCGGCTGGGAGTTCCTGTCTGGGCTTTTTGACACATGTCAGTGAACAAGGCTCTGCCAAAAGGCAGACTTACCCGAGCTCTCTGCCGAAATCGGGTACGAGATTCAAACGAGGGAACAAAACAAGGATAACTTCACCTCTTCCTGTTCCGTTTCTTGTTGGGTTTGCCCACTAATCGACTGTATGTGCAGGCTAGATCATGGTGTCTGCACCAGTTGCATTGCGGAACCTCGGCATCGCATTGGATCTGGTGCGTCCCTCAGTCAATTTTTCTTTTTTCGTAGATTAGGACTCTCAGGAAGCTCGCAGCCCAATGCCCATGTCTGTTGGACCACCTGGAGATGGAACCAAAGTGGTGGAATCACACCTTTCTCCTCGAGCACGAATCACACGCCTTCGCACGGCGTCCCCTGTTGGAGCTGCGAGGGGGTCCAGCCGCCATTGCTTGCATCATCGCCAGGCACGGCTTTATTTCGCAAGTCCTCGATATAGATCCGTCGAGGTACAAGGCGCACAAGGATTGTAAGATAGGTAGTTTGGCGGGAATGGTGAGGTAGCGGAAGATCGAAGACTCGGGATTGACAAGACGCGGAATCTGGAGAGGCTCTGGATATTTGACCGCTGAGTCAGCGGGCTTCGGGTCAGCCCCGACTTGCCCCCTTGCGAGAAACATCGTAGTCCATCCCTCCTCTACTGAGGGGAGAGACAGTACGTGAGCCAAGGCCGTCAATATCATGCTACTATGGCATTTGTACATATCTTCTCAGTTCAAAGAAGCAACGAGGTCAATGATTGTTCCCCAGAAGGGTTTCCTTGCATATGGGCAGGACTCTCTCAAGAAAATCACAGGGGAATTGGTACGTCACCATCTTTGTTCTTCTACCATCTTCAGTACCTACTTAAGCATTCACTGAGAGAAAGTACCTGGCATCGACACCTTGAGCTGCTTGACTACCTACTGTCTCACTGTTCTTCAGATACCTGACTCTTCCTTAGCTTGTCCTCCGCTGACGATCCCACCCAATTTCCTGGGAGCCATTGCCCCCATTTTTCGCTCCTGGAGAGCCTCTCGAGATATCCTACCGATCAGGGACTGCAACAAAACTAGATCGCTATGTCTGGTGGAGATGAGCATCCCACATGTATGGCCACCTTTCTCCCGTCCAGTCAGTGCTCACCACCGAGATGGCCCGTCTCCCGATTCAATCTTGGCCATCAGCTCGTCCTTGTGCTCCCGGATGAACTCGTCCCACGTCTTCAACGACAGGCCAGGGATCTAAAGCGGCTTTCCGTCAGCATTCCACGGCGGCTACGCACTTCTACCTAGGCAAGTGGATGCTCACCTCCCTAGCCTGGACAAGGTCGTGGCTCGCATACACGTTCCCGAAATACTCGAACATCAAAAGCTGTTCGGTAAAGTCTAGAGCAGTCTCTGGTGCCAGGCCAGCTGCCTCCAGTTCTTGTTGGAACTGCTCTGGGGTTGACTTCTTGTACTCGAACGGAATCACGAGTTCTAACAGTGTCCTTGTCAGCTCTCGTGGTTCCTCACCAATGACAACCTGCATCACGGCAACCTACCGCTCCCAAGCCTAGATAGCTTTTCGCCCTCCGATAGTCCCTGTGACCAGAATGCAATGGTCCTCCCGAAATACTTCGTTTTGTCCTCCACGACGGCCCGAACGAGCTTTCCGGTGTCGGTAATGGCGACGTTCGGCAAAATCGTGTCCGCGGAGAGGGGAAACTCGCGTACAAGTTTTCCCGAGATCTGCTCCCAAACAGAAGATCAGTCTGACTTCGTCTGTGGTACTCTGGAGAAATGAACAAGGCTTACCTGACGAGGCAAATACCGCTGGGGATAAGTCAAACAATTCTCGAAGTAGTTGGGAAACAGAATCGTCGTCGTCTTCTCCCACAGCTCGGGCTTCTGCGTCTTGATGTATTCCGTCACGTCTGCCTTGCTCTTCCAGTGGTGCACGTGGTACAATCTCCCTCGAGAGAGCTCCATCGGGTCAGGAAGAGCGCTCCATACAAAGTGCTCCAGCGTGGGGATCCTGGCAGCGGCATCGGCCAGGGCCTTCCCCTGAGCGACTTCCACGACCTTGGATCTCGAGGCCCAAAAGTCTGTCAGGGCAAAGATAATGTTCGCCCCGGCAAAGACCTTTTGCAGAGCTTCGTGGCCGAGATCGAGGTCTGCGGCCTGAACATCGACTCCTTTTGCGGAGAGAGCCAGGGCGGCCGGCTTGGAGACATTGCGAGTGAGGCCTCTAACCCGATACTGGTCGGGATACTTGAGGAACTCATCGACAACAGAGCCTCCCTATTTTGCACCAAGTTAGACAATACGTTAGCGGCAACTTCTGGAGATTAAAGGTACGAACCTGCAGGCCAGTGGCTCCAACGACGACGATGGTTCTGGGGGACATTTTCAGGACTTCCTGCTTTTCAGTGCGTGATAGATGAAAGTGCTTTGAGCTGCTGACCCAAAAGGTTTCCATCAGGTGGAAGACGACATCCTTATATAACCCAACGCCACCCCTGACCGGCACCGTGGGGGTTCTCGACAATTACTTCGATTGATCAAGTCAGCGGAGATTGTACATCTTCGCTTTGCCGAAGACTCATTGTCCGGACTCCTCACGAGGTCCACTTTCTTCGGACATGCCTTATCCATCCTTTGCCTCAAAGAAAAGAATAACAGGCCAGTCCCTAATCTTTGAGTTACAACCCCTGAGGTCACATCAGGCTCTTGAAGCGCCGGCTGCAGATTTCTAGCTTATGCTAGATAATTGTGCCAAATCTCCTAGGCTCAGGGGCGACTACCCGGCCACATTGACTACCCTCTTCGCCCCTTGGCATACGAACTACTGGCGTCTACGGAGGGTCTGTGGACATCCTTTTGCAAGGATACTTTGTTTGGCATCGGGTATTTTGTTGGTCTATCATCGGCCTCGGAATTCAATATCCTGCGAGGGTCCATTACCATCGTCAAAGGGATCGCACAAACCGCCAATGCACTCCATCGTCAAAGTTACATGCAACACAACTATTCAATCAGGCTTTCAAGTACTCAGCAACCTCCGCTGTCTGGTGAACGGCACATGGTATTTTTCTTTCCCCAATATCCCCTCATGCTTCTACCCCCTTGATTCTCTAAACAACTGGCGAGGGTGGCACTATGTATCGTACGCAGCCAACTCTTCCGGCGTTACCAAGGAATTTCTCCGCCCTCTGCACTCAGGAACCTTCCAGTAACCTCCTTCGATGCTGAGTCAATTGTCTTGATCAACCTATACGTACACTCCTCGACAGTCACGGGTGCCTTCTCCAGCCCATGGGCCTTGGCGCCGCGATTCCCCATGTCCGTCTGTACAAACCTGGAGCCTTGTGAGAAACCCAAGCACAGCATGGCAAAAGAAATCCGGCATGTATCTTACCCAGGGCTAATAGCAAACACGGTCCAGTTGCTATGCTCGATGCTAATCATCCTCATCAGAAAATTGCCCGCAATCTTCGATATCCCATACTCGGTCGTGATGGACTCGCTGCTGAGTTGACTGATGCTTGCCACATCGGTAGACATGTACACAAGCTTTGGCTCGTCCGCAACGTCCAACAATGAAACTACTGCCTTGTACAGGCGGAGGAAGCCCAGGGTGTTGACCTCGATGTGCGACAGAAGCTCAACCTCGGACATGTCAGCCACCGGACCCCACGAGTCGCAGATGCCGGCATTGGCAATGACAAGGTCCAGGGAGTGAACGCCATGCTCCGCTTCGAGCCGAGCGACACTATCCGCGGCGCTCGAAGCTTTCTTCATGTCAAGGGCGAGGAGGATGAGCTCTGATCCCTGCCCACGAGGGAGAGAATGGAGTCTCTGCTCATGCTCCGCCGTGAGGTTTCGAACCGTGGCAATCACCGTCGTGCTTGGACGGTAGAGGTACTTGGCTGCTAGAGAGGCCCCAATGCCTGGCCCAACGTCCATATTGTTAGACACTCTCCCGTTCTGCGTAGGAGGAGTGCATACATACCTCTGCTGGCACCAGTGATGAGTACGGTGTATTGGGCCATGATATATCACACTCAGGCGTTGTGTAGGTATTCTCAAAGAAGAGGTCTTCGATGAGAAGAAATAGCTACGAAACGCGATTCAATATCACTCAAATATACCTCAACATCAATCTATATACCGAGTAAGGTAGATATCACCAAGTTCCATCTTGCCCCGGCTCTCCCCTTTTGCGATTACTAAGCGGTCAATTGGCCTGTCTCGAGTCTCGTGGAAGCCTTTACGTATGACTTCGGACTTGTCTCCATCCCGATGTAGGTCAATGTACCTTGTTTGTCAGAGATGCCATTTGGACTACATCGTGCCCGACTCAGGCAAGGTGGTATGATGGTACATGATAGTTGCTTGAGAGCTGTGGACAGTGTGCTTTGTTGTAAAATTGTAGAACGACAACCAAGATACAATAATATGTGACTACCAGACATTTGACGATGGACCCAAGTTACAAAAGTGACTGCCGCAAGTTCGAGAGTGAGATTATCGGGGAAGACAAGCAGAGGTCATGGAGAACACCCATCTCAGACCCATCCAATACCGGTGACACGAACAGAACAGGACGACAAAGTGGACACAAAAGGCGCAATTGTAGACTGAGGCCTCAATAGACGGTAAGGAATTGATCTGGCCTGCCGGCCAACGTCTGTCAAAGGTTTTTCTTGGCTCGCCGGCTGCAACACGGTGAAGGGGTTCGTGTGGTGGCTGCAGATGCAGAGGTTTCTGATCACATCTCTCCCCCTTTGACTTCTGCTCCATCCACTCCCACCCATCCATCCACTCCCACCCATCGCCCCCCCCCCCCCCCCCCCCCCCGCCCTCATCCACTCCCACCCATCCCCCTCCCCATCCATCTCCTCTGCACCCGTCAGCCCCCCCAGCGCAAGCTCAAGGATCTCGACAGCTGATGAGCCTCGGCGTCAATACGCCTCCTGCTACACCAGGTGCGTCCTCAATCACTCAAGCTTCGCGAAAGAAAAGCCGTCTTCTCCCTTCCAATCCCCCCTTTCTATGATTGCCTCCAACGATTGGTGAGCCTCGGCGTCATGCTCAGGGTGTCAAGGTTGTGGATATGCGGGTGAAGGGAGGGAAGGCCTCAAAAGACCATCAGTCGAACCAGCCCCAGCCCAGGTTCCCCCAAGAAGCTCTTCAGGATCTCATCGCGAAGTTTCTTCCCGACCCAGATTCCCCCAAGAAGCTCTTCATTATCTCATCTCGGAGTTTCTTCCCGACCCAGGTTCTCCCAAGAAACTCTTCATGATTTTATCACGAAGTTTCTTCCCGATACTGCTTCTGAGGCCCCAGTTTCTCTCGTCAATTGATGGGCCTCGGCGTCAATACGCCTCCTGCCGCATCAGCTGCGTCCTCGAGAATCCGGGGCCCAGACGCAGATGTGGCGGGAAAATATCGTCCCGTCACCAGAGCCATCTCAGCATCTAAAGGGCCTCGGCGTCAATACACCTCCTGCCACAACAGATGCGTCCTCGATAGCAACCAATGACGAAGGGGCTGTCGTGTCATCCCACAAAATTGCTCAGGATATCCGCAACGAAGACCGGCGGCGTGAGAGAAGGCGACGACTTCTTCGTGTGTATGGGAAAGCTAGCACCGCATCATGATCAGTATCTCTTATGACAAGAAAAATGCCAGAGCACTGTGGAGATGGAGCATCAATGACCTACCCAATAACGCGGATGGATAAGAGGCTCAATAACTCCTCATCACTATCTTCAATAGGCTCCCTGTCACTGTAGCCAGCAAAACAATTAGCAAGCTGCAAAAAAGAAGTCAAGGTGAGAGGGGTAGAAGTGTGAACCGGACGTCACGTACCAAGTCTGACGACCTCTACACGTTCGACGACGAGGCATCGCTGCAAGACGCGAGAACATCTGAGCAGCTGAGGGAGCTTGAGCAGCAGTGCATTCCTTGAAGGAACAGTAGTGACAGTGTTTGCTATGGTGCTGACGCGTCGAGTGTGCAAGTTAGCGAACGTCATGATGAAGAAAAGTCAAGTGTTCAAAGGGGGGGGAGGGGGGGGGGGGCATACCGTTCGCCTCAGGTGGTTGTAGACAAGGAGCAAGCCAGGTGTTTTGGCTCAAACAGCGGGAAGAAACGCGACGGAGGCGGTCAAGGCATCGCTCTGCAACTGTGCTTGGAGACGAGGGCGAGTAGCTTGTAGACTAGACTGAGAATGAAGTGGCTGTAGTTGATGTGATGGGTTGATGGCCATGAGGCAGATAGGACTGCGGTTGCAAGATGAAGAGAAGAAGTGCGTGAAGATGAGTCGGATGAAGATTGGAGGATGGAGAAGGTAAAAAGAGAAGAAGAAAGTGGGAGAAGAGCTGTAGGCCTTGGGTGAAGTGCTAGCTGTTTACGCCCGTCCCCCCTGGACCCACGTGTTCGCCTCGAATGCTTCCAATCAGAGCCTTCAACGCCAGCCGTTGCCATGAGGCAGCAGCTCCTTCTCGCTGAAAAAGAGATGCCGATGACCCGTCTCGATGCTCCTGGAAGGTGAGAGAAGAGCCGTACACGCGTCCTCTTGCCTTGGAAGGGTGTGCAGTGACGTGCTCCTCGAGGGAGTTGAGGCCTAGAACCAGGCGGTGTGCACTTGCAACTACCTCAAGCTGCTACGAGGCATCAAGAATGAACTTGGTAGCCATTGGAATTTCTCACTCTGGTTTCAGTTTTGGTTCACTAGGTACCTACCTAGGCACCGTGAGCAAGGGGACATGGAGGTCAGTACCTAAGCAGTTACGCCTCCGAAGTACCTAGGGGGGCAGGATAGAAGGAAGCATCTCACTGTAGCCGTGTCTGTTGTCTGTATATGAGCCCCCACGGCGTTCAAAGTAAGAGCATGGATGGCCATCGTAAGCTGAGGATCTTAGGTGATATGTGTTGGCAGAATATCACCCCATCCCTGAAGGAGAACTTGGGGAGATGATGCCAATAACAGCAACTTGCCATTGCAGCATAGATCTCTAGTATTTTCAAACGAAATCTACGAAGGCTTACAGTATTTTGATGTGCTGATAGAGGGGAGAACCAGTCTTTGGGTCTAGACGTTGCATTGCTTTGTCCCAAAATTACCCGGGGATGGCCAAGCCAGCAATTAAAGAACCGCAGGCTCTCCGTTCTGTGGTAGTCCGATTGTATCTCTCTCTAGCTGTCCTTGTAGCCAAAATCTATTTACAGTCTTCGAATAAAAACAAGAGCTGAAACTGGTCAAGTGGGAATAGATGAAAACGATCAATGCCAGCTGTCATCGTCTCATGACCTCGTAGCAAGCGCAAACAGGGCGAACAATGACCACCAGAACACCAAGTCTATCTATGCCCGAGCATCTCTCACCATCGCGCACTGAACATATGTCCCGTCCAAGAATGTGTCGCTCTGCACAACTCTGAACCCATATCTCTCGTAGATCGGCTGTCCCTTGGGAGACGCATCCAGGAAACACTCCACCTTGTCCTCGTCAGCCTTGTCCACCCCGTACCTGAGCATCAAGCTCGCCGCCCCTTTCCCCTGATACTGCGGCTTGACGGCCAGCAGCTCGAGATACCAGTGCGGCCTCTCGCCCATAGCCTCGTGATGCATGTCGCCGAGCCTGCCGAAGAAGAAGGCTGAAAATTCCTGGTCGCCCTCGCTGGGCCATTGGTCAACCGCGGGGACTGGCTCTGGAGAAGCCCCCGGAGCGATCCATTTCGCGAAACCAACAAATGCTTCAGGGATAGCTGTGTCGTCCCAGACGGAGAGGAAGAAGTTGTTCTTGTCGCGGATCTCAGCTGTCAGAGCTTGTGTCCAAAAGTCGTGGGCCGACTGCGTCCCTTTGGGAGCAAAACGCTGATGGATCGGATCTTGCGAGAAGGCCTCAAAGTATGTTTCCACCATCAGTGGCACGTCCTCGGGCTTGCTGGGGACCAGTTTGAGCGGCATACTGTCTGTTGGTTCTTGGTCGGTTCGAATCTGTGCTTGATGGGCTTTGTGAGGGGTTTCGGCGATTGTGAACCGGGGTTCTGGACAGCTTGTCTGTCAGCTTGTCAGCTAAGTACGGAATTGGATAGCCTGTTTGACAGCATCTCCGCCCTCTCGCAAATTGTTGCCCCATCATGCCTATTGTGGCTCAGCAAGATGAAGTCCTATTCAAAGCGAGGCGAGATGCCGAAAGCTGGTCATGAAGGCGGCTTCAAAGCACGGGAATTAAGAGAGGGCGTTATTTTTTTCATGGCCGGCGAGGAAGGTAGAAAAGAACGACGAAGGACGTTCTTTGTTGTTTGGGGGAGACTAAGCACAGAGATGACTCTTCAGTAGAAATAAAGGGCAGACAGAAAAAAGAAGAGCTCTTCGATCATAATCGCTTCCTATGCACATTCCAACTCCGAGTTTATCGACCTACGGCCCATCGGTGAGTGCTACGTCGAGAGAGGAATTTGCATTCGCAGAGGGAAAAGTGTACGAGTGTGAACCCTTGCAGTCATTAACATCTCTCTCTTGTTCCTCCAGTCTCATCATCTACTCTAAGCCCTACCCTAAGCCCCTGGCAACCACATAATCTTTGGCTCAAATCCAGGCAACTTCTTGTAATCTTCTTCAGTCAACTGCTTCCCGTCCTGCAAGTCTGTCACAACAACCTGCACTCGCTCCTCAGCGGCCAGTTGGTCCGCAAACCTCTCCGCGTTCAAGACCCTCGATGCAGCAGGTTTTCGGCATCGACCCGAGTTCCGCAGCCCAACTCCTGCTCTACCAGGACCCATACCCACGCGAGTGATCTGGCCAATGAAGTCTGGGTTCTCGAGAACATCTGGGGTCATGGACTGTGCTTTGGGGGCGAAGACGTCGATGCGGTAACTTGAGGCCGTGCAGCCGACATCAGTAAAGACCACAAAAGGAACCTTGACAACAGCTTCTGCGCTGGAGGTCTTGACACCGTTGGTTGTGGATGTTGCGTTGTCACAACCTCCGCTGATGCCGGCCCCCTTTGGGATGTAGATGGCGCGGCCGCCAGAAGGACGCAGATTACGCACTCTGCGTTCGACAATCGACGGCGGCCTGTAAACGTCTGGGCTGACGGGCATTCCGTACATGTATCCCAAGGCTCGTGTATCCTTTGCCATGTCGCCGATGGTCGTGTATATCCAGCGGCGAGGATCATCGTAGCTTAGGTTCGTGCCATTGTCGATGAAGGGCTGAAGAGGGAAGTTGGCAGTGAAGTGATTTTCGGGGTGAGACTCGATGAACATGCCCGCCAGTCGATCCATGTTGGCGTGGTAGGACAGGAAGATGGGGTCGAATGCCGTGTAGGTATTGTCAGCCTGCAGAGAAGCACGTCAGTAAACCATCAAGAAAATTGTGCATCGTAAGGGCGGCTGTAGCTACCATATCGGGGCCTGTCCAGCCGTGAAAGTTGTCGTGAACTTGCTCAAATAGCCCGTCAAAGTCGAAGCGATGAGGATACAGGCCATCCGGCTGGTTCTCCGAAAAGGTTGGGATGTTGGCCCAGGGAATGCCAAAATGCTCCTCAGTCTCCGACGAGGTAAAGGTCGACTGTTTCAACGCGTTTGTAATCTGTTCATGATAGAGCTTCATCATGCAGATCTTGTTGGTCCATTTGGCCGAGGATGGCCCCTCTGCCAGGATCTTGTCTCGCGTCACATACTGACTCGTTCCGTCGGCAGACTTTCCATCAAGAGACAGCGCATACTTGAGGGGATTGGGGCGAATGCTGCCGTCTTTGGGGTGGACGTAGGTCTCTTCGAAGAAGCATGGCGGGATCCCTGCGTGAGGTGAATCTGGATCGGCAGAGGCGACAGAGTAGCCGTTCCAATACGGGATTGGAAAGTCAATGAGCTGTTCGACGTAACGGAGGAAGGCTCTGTGCCACAAAAAGGTGGCTTCTTGATAGTGCAAACACCATTCAGCATCTGCAAAGGGTGTCAGTAACTATGTTCTGAGAATAATACCGGAGACCACACTTACGCAATAGTCCAAGTTCCTGCCATCTCGATCCAAGCACGCCAACCTTGAGAACATCATCAAGCTTAGCCTGATACTCGGCGAGCCTGGCCTTTGACAGGCTCATGATGTCCTCCCTGACTTTGTACGTCTTCCGCGGCTCCACGGGCTTGGGAATGATCATCTTGGGCACTGGAATATCGGATTTGGCCTTGGGAAAGCCTCCGTTGGCCCAGTTCCTCAGCACCTCTAGTGCGGTCTCGGGCCAGTAGTCTTGGGGATCGTCGGTGACTGGCATTGACTCCGACCGGAGATGGCGATAGATGCTGACGACTCTCTGCTTCACGTCGTCGTAGGAGTCTAGGCTCCAGTGGTTTGCGCCCCAATATTTCATTGCTTTGATCCAACCCGCTCCTTTCTTGGCTGGATCGCCTTTGACCCAGTTGGGAGATGTAATAAGAGGAAGGACATCATCCTCCCAAGTCGGGGTGTAGGGTTCAGCGACGGAGGTTGAATCAGCGGAACCATTTGCCGCCTCTCGAGCAGCCAGATAGGGACAGCCTGAAGACCCAGTCGTCTTCGTGCTGACCTGTCTTGCAATTGCAGCATTCTGGCAGCGGAGAGCAAGTCTTGCTGGCTTGGGGAGTGCCTGCAAGTTCAGTGGCGCCGGAGGAGAGTCCGCGTCAGTCTTTGGGAGCACTTTTGGATCCACGCCGCCCAGAGCATCTGTCCATTCCTTGAGAAACGTCTGCCCACGCTCGGGCATAGGCACCACTGTGCCCTTTGCAGTCATTTCCAAGAAAGGCGTGGTGAATGGCATCTTGGTCGCGTAAGGCATGGTGTACCCAAACTCGTCGAGGGGTAGGGGGCGGTAGATGCGCCTGCGCGACTCTGCCAGCGAAAGATAGTCATACAGGGCCTTTCTGGGTTCTGTATTCATACGAGCCTTGACTGCATCAAAGTAGGCAGTGATGCTCTTCTGATGGTCTTGGAGGGTGCAGTCAAGCAATTGGAGGAACTGCTGCTCCGGGGTGCCATCGATTTTCGCCCACGGAGAGTTCTTGACATTTTCCACAAAGCGAGCATCAAGGTCGTATGCATTGCCGTCGAATGTTGTGTTTTGCGGCACGTATTGCATCAGCCGTCCTCTCTTCCAGGAGTAAACGGGATTCCAAAAGTCGACCATGATGATGGCGTTGAACGTCCTACTGGAGAAAAGCCCGATGAAAGAAGCCGGTTCAATCATCTTGGGATCCGTTTTCGTGACGATCTTCTTGAGGGTCTGCATTCGCTGGACGCCATGAGCGTCTTCGAAGGATGCCTGCAGCATGTTGAAGGGTGTCTCTCCTTCGCCGACCAAGACTTTCTTGAAGGATACGTCTTCGTAGGAGACGCCGGTTGCTGTCCGCTTGTCGCCGCCAAGAGACTGCCAGGGAAGCTGGAGATCGGGAGTGTACTCTGTGGGATCAATCTCCTGAAGCAAGCAGAGCCCAAGATCGTCGGCAGCTTGGTGGTATACTTCATCGGAAAAGGAGACGCCGAGTCTTTGGGGTGGCTATTGCCGAATAAGCGTTAACACAGGCAATCGATGATGAGAACACGACTTGTGGTAGACGTACCAAGAGCGTTGAGAAGTTTGTCAAGCTCAAGAGCTCCTGATCGTAAAAGTGATTATCAGGTATGACCCAAGTCCCCTTGGGCTTTGGAACGTTCAGAACCAGTGCATCAGTGACCATGGATGGCGGTGGCTTGAGGTTGGGCTTGAGCGAAGCCCCAACCATGTTGATCGTCGTCGTCAGAAACAGGTGGGATACCCATCGCGGGATATTGTTTGGGTTCTTGAGCAGCTTGGAAGCAGAATCGAAAAAGTCATTCTTCCTTCGAATCAGGAACCAGTTGACAATCCCAGTCTTGATGGCCGTCTCTAGCTCTTCGGGATTCTGATCGACGGCAGAGAAGACGCTCTGGCCGTCCTCGGTGATGTAAGGAAGCTTCTTATACATTTCCTTGATGTCGTTGGGAATGCAAGCTTCAAAGTTGACAGGAGCGCCACCAAACCAATGCAGCCACGGCCTATGATCACGCACATACACGTGAGTCGAGACAAGAATAGGACAACGTCGTCGTGGAAGAAACGGGTCACTCACGTATGGAGTTCCTTCATGATGGGGGCTCCGTTGACATGTCCGTTGAACGGGCCGAGATACTCGGCAGACCCAAAGGCGTCCATGGACTCTCCAAAGTATGTCCAGGACTGATTGTTTCTGTCATTGTTGGGGAAGTCACTCTGGCTTCGCGTTAGAAGACGCATGTGAACTCGAGAGTTGTGGGATAGACGTACTTGATAAAATCGGTATGTGAGGCCATCCCAAGAAGCCACTTGGAGGAACGACTTGGCTCGTGACGTCTGCAGGGGATCCCTCCCTCCGACGATGCACAGCGTCCACTCGTTTGTTGAGGAGCTGAATGCGTCCTTGTCGACCAGAGTGATGAGCGTCACGAGGCGAAGGTGTGGGTTGAACCAGGTGGCATCCGGGTTCTTGCTGAGATCAAAGAAGCTTCCATCGGCAACCATGAAAGTCTTGATGGAGTACAGGGGCTGGTCTCCGGTGCTCCCATCTTGTTGGTGTTAGCAAGAGGTGGGCATAACACTGCACAAGGCCCATGAGACTTACTCCAAAAGTGCATCACCAGCGAGTCAAAGGACTGGCAGGATGCATTGTCGCCTTGTTGCAGCCAGTTGCCAAAGTAGTCTTTGAAGTGTGCATCAAGAAAGGCTTGGTCAGCCAAGTGATCTTTGTCTGAATGCCCGTCACGGGTGAATTCTCTCCAGTAGAATTTGGGTGCCATTGTGCAAGTAATGATTGAGTCAAAACATGCCACATGTCTCTATTGTAACAATGTCATGCCCTCGTCTCTACTTATACAGGAGCAAGGCTTTCAAATTGACAGCCGAATATTCTTCCTCAACGATCCATTGCCGGGAAGCCGAATAACGGCGACTGAGAGTATCCCGACATAGGGTGCAGAATCAATAGTCGACAACGTCCCGTCAACGTGGCTGGCTGACTTTCAATGCATGACCTCTTCGAAATCTGGTCTAGATGTTGAGCGGCGGTTCGCTCGAAGAAACTGGAGGCAGTGATGCTCAGGCAAGGCGTAGACGAGGCGGAATGCTTCGAAACAAGTCGCCATGATAGGGATGTGACAGTGTTGACGGCAAGGCTAGAGTGAGCCTGGATGGAGCTATTGTCCTCACTATTGCTTCAGCCCATTCGTTCCCGCAGGACTCCGTATGCAGGGGAGAGACACAAGCCGGACAGTTTGGTCCCAAGACACGGCCAGACACGGCCCGTAGTGCCAATGTGATCGGCCCATCCGTTTGGTCGGGTCTAGCCGCCGCCGTGTTGAGCGGTCCACTAGGATGCAAGGGTTTGGAAACGCCTTGACGCTCCAGAGCTTGGGCTTCCGGCTAGGAGATCTGGAAAACGGAGATGTGACGGGAAGCGAAGCGTGGGAATCCCGAAGCGGATTAGCCATCAACGCTTTGCAGGGATGCATTCAATAATGGCTTCTAGGACCCAATATTGGTGGGAGAAGGGTCCAGTTGGTGATGTGGTTTGTGGCTAGCTGAAGAGAGTCGAGACTGGAGGAGATGAAGCTGATGGAAGATATGAGAGCTCTGATTGGGCTACACTCTGTTCATTGTGCTGGACTCTGGAAGCTGGACAGTGGTGATGTTTCTTAGAGCGGCCAAAGAGCTCAGCTCTTCGTTAACGGTGGCATGGCTGTGCGATGGTCGTGGCGAGTTGGGCCGCGTTGCCGTGAAGTCGCACTGAGAGACTATCGATAGTGCTGAGCCATGGACTTGATGATGGGGGAGTTGACAGAACCGAGTTGAGCCCTGGACTTTGTCGAGGCTCAACAGAGCTGGGTTGAGTACATATAAAGAGTCGATGCCCATCGAGTTGAAGGAGCAAGACCTCAACCAACTTTCCAACGCAAGACACCACCACTTCGTCTCAACACTCTCAATTTCTTCACTTGTGATCAATCTAGTGTTCATCACTTTAGTTAGCTGTCAAGATGGCCGATCAAACTATTCGAAAGCTGGCAGTCTTCCGGGCCCCAGGGTATCCGTACCAAGACGACAAGCTCACGGCTGGCCAGACTGGCGTCTGGTCGGACATTATCGATACCTGGATGACTGAGGAGATCAACGCCGAGTATCGCGACGACGACGGCAACATGCACCCTCTGCCTGGGCCGAGGAAGCGCGGCTGCGATGGCAAGCCGAGAACAAAGCTGAAGCAGTTCTTCAACGGCCGCATCACTCCGTACAATGTTGGCCAGAAGCCTACTCCCATCACCTGGATCGGATTCCCTCGACTGGTAAGGCCTCTCTTGATTGAACAAACAAGGCTGAATGTAATCTGGAGATCGGTACTGAGACTTGTTATATTAGATCCAGAAAGAAACCAACACGGACCAAGAGCGGTGGAAGGAGGCGGATGCTCACCGCGACCGCCAGGACGAGTATCTCGAGTGGACGGTCAAGAGGGACGAGGACGGGAGGATCCTGTCTGTGACGTTTACCTGCGAAGGCCCTGAGGTGAGTGGACGAAGAAGACCAGGGAGATGGATGCGGCAAGGGGTGAGCTAAGGTAGCTGACATATTATTGTGTTTAAAGTACTGGGCCTTCTTGGCAGAGTACGCTCCCAAGAAGATGTTCGCCATGTACCAGAGCTGCAACCCCGAGTTTGCCAGCCAGATGAAGCAGGAGGACCTGTTTGACAGCAATGGCAAATACGAGCCATACAACAAGTGGAACGGCGTCGTGAGGAGCGACCCCAACAGCGCAGACGACCTGATCACGACCAACCCGGGCTGCATCATGCACCTGGCGCAGAAGAACAACACGCTGAGCGCCGAGATTGACATTGCTGCCCAGGGCACCGTGATCCGCAAGAGGGATGACGGGACGATTATATCTGACCCGGTTGAGCTGTGCAACTGCTCGGCGTATGGAAACCCGACGCGCAACTCTGATCCCAAGGTAAGGCGACTGGCTTGTCCCTGCATGTTGTGGTTGTTGTTTTTTTTCTTTTGTCTTGTCGCTAACAGCACGGCCAGATTGGCTCGATGATCAACTCGCTGGTGGTCAAGGGCGCCAAGGTGTCGATTGCCGACCCGGTGGCCATCTACATGCGCGAGTTTGCCGCGTCCAAGTTCCTGCTGGACGTGGACGGCACGGGCGAGAACCTGCAGCCGGTGCCCGCGGGCACCTTTACGTGGGTGCGCGGCGACATCAAGAAGTACATGGGCCTGCGGCTGCACATCCAGGTGCCCGACGGCGTCGTGGGCACGGACGGCAACGCAGGGCGGCAGCTGACGGTGAGCGACCTGGTGGACACGAGCAACAGCCAGAACGTGCTGTACGGCGCCCAGTTTGCCGACTACATCACGATGAGCGTCAACGGGGTGGTGATTCCTGGTGGCGAGCCGGAGCCGGCGCAGGAGTGTCCCTGCAAGTGCAAGACGGAGGCCAATGGAGATGCCGAGGCTGTGTCGACGACGACGACGACGACGACGACGACGACGACGATGGCTTCATCTGATGGCATGGGGCGATTCCAGGGACGGATGCGAGTGTAATAGAGGCCGTGGTGAGTGACTCGGCGAGGCTCTGTCCTGTCTGCTCAGGGGAAGCGTGTGTCTAGCAAGATGTCTGTCAGCTAGTATTCGGGTCGAATTGCTTGAATTGAATGGATAGTGTTACCTGGTAAAGCCCATGAACATCTCTTTGACCTGGCCATGTCCATTGGGTTCCTTGTGTTTGCTTTGAGTGAAGCTGCTGATGGCATCGAGGAGGAGTGAGCAAGATAGTAGGTACCTACCAAGAGGTAGAAAATGCCGTCAATTGTTGTTCAAGTTTCAAGTTCAAGTCGGAGATTCGAGCACGAGAAACCGTTGGTTCAATGGATGGTGGAACCTCTGGGTACGTACCCGCGGTGGCTTGTACTGATTCGGTCTAGACCGGCGCTAGTCCCACAAATCACCCGCGATCCGGTCGTTCTTGTACCTCCGTACCGCGGTACGTACCCCTTCCTTTGCAGGTTGGAGAGCAAAATGCGAATGAAAACGAAACAAAATCGTTTGCAAAGCGCCGCACTACAATAGTACCTAGGTACCTTGGGTGAGGTAAGCTGCCCAACACGATGGACAAGACCAGACGGTATAGAACTCGCGATGCAAGTGACCAATTCTTGATACGCGACGATTATATTTTAATTCGACTTATTGTCAACAATTTCCTAGTCATGTCTTCTTTTTACTCCTTATCTGCATTGTGCAGACTGTAGACGTGCATCATTGTCGACTGCAAAACATGGAAACGACCAGCATCTGGGTAGCCATATTCAGTCAATGCCAGGCAATGAAAGAAGAAGGGAGCCACAGGTAAGGCATGACGTGTATCTGGTACACATTTCTATGCGAGCCGTGTGTGCAGTCGTCGGTACCTTATTCCTGCACCTCCATCTATAAGGTATGCTTCGTCACGTGCTGATACCACTCGATGCTCAGATATAATGATCATTCAGATTCAAGTGACACCCGATAATATAGGTAGGTAGACAGGGGCACAGTATCGAATTGGGACTCCCTTCAATGCTTCTTGCAAGGTCTATGAGTTCTCTGAGTTCAAAGACCGCTACCGGTGTCATTCTCCGACAAGAGCACGGAACGCGGACAAAAAGTGAATGCACTCTAGGGTAAACCAGCCGCTCAAAACCCCAGCTCTTCGTCGTCAAGATGTCTGATATAACGCTTCGCCCTCCATCACCGACCCGAACGGTCGATTATTGACGATGATAAGATCCCGTGATGGTTGAATCGCATTCTTGAACCGAACTGCGTGCGCCATATCTGACAGTCCCTGTTTCAAGGACGCAAATACCGCGACGATTGCGAACTACGACTCCGTCCGTCATCAACGACCACCCTCCTCTCGTCGAGGCTCTTCCATCCACGATCCAGCATCCAATACCAATACCCAGCAGCGCAAAATTACTCAGCTCGGTTCCTCCTGAGATACGCGATAACGCTATCAGCGAAAGCGACCTCTTAAGATGCGTAGAGCGGCCGCTGCTTAGCGCTCAAGCGGCCGCCGCGATCCCTCCTCGACATATCCACCGCATTCCTCTTCGGCTGGCCCTGATCCGAATTCATGAAACTACATGTCAGCCGTTTTATCTACAATCGGAAGCTTGTTCCATCTTGAGCTACTTAATCGTCGTTTTGCCTTGAGTTCTTCTCCCAGAATGCGTGCCGATACCCAAAGGAGAACGGGCTGATGGCCGGTAATGACGATGGGCTGAGTACTGTGATTGGTAAGTCCCCGGAAGAGGCAAATTGCCAAAGAGAATGTCGGAGAAATTGTCGGCTGGATTGCCGAGACTGGGTCGAATTGGAAGACTGTGGACGACATCCAGAGTGGGCAGAGGGAGGGATCAGGCACACATATATAAGAGACATGTCGAGCCAAGACCACGACTCCTCGAACTTGACAATCCAATCTTGATACTCTCCACCTTCTCCTCTTTTCAGATTCAACCAAAATCCACCGACATCATGGGCATCTGGACGCAAATGTGCCCGCCCAAGCCTGCCTTTACGGAGCAAAACCTTGGTAATCTCACCGGCAAGGTATGCAAGCTTGACACTCCCTGGTAGCCTACTCACTATGCTGCAAACAGTCTGCTCATGCATCAACAGGTCTATATCGTTACCGGCTCCAACACCGGCGTCGGGAAAGAGCTCGCGCAGATTCTCTACTCTAAAAACGCCACCGTCTACGTCGCAGCCCGTAGCCAGGCAAAAGCCACAGAGGCCATCGAGGACATTCGCAAGGCCTTCCCCACGTCCACCGGCCGCCTCGTGTTCCACCCTCTAGATCTGGCTGACCTAGAAGCCGTCGCCAAGTCAGCCAGGGACTTCATCGCGAGGGAGACGAGGCTCGATGTCCTGTTCAACAATGCCGGCGTCATGCATCCGCCCCAAGGGTCAACAACGAAGCAGGGCCACGAGCTTCAGCTGGGCGTGAACAATCTGGGCCACGTCCTGTTCACGGAGCTCCTGACGCCGTTGCTCGCCCAGACTGCGGCAAAGAGCGCGCCCAACTCGGTGCGCGTCGTCTGGGTGAGCTCTCTGTATTCGGAACTGGGATCGCCCAAGGGAGGAATCGATCCGGATAACCTGGGCTTCACAAAAAAAGACAAGAGCACCTACCACAAGTACTCTGTGAGCAAGGCGGGCGTCTATTACCAGGGCGCAGAGTACGCGAAAAAGTACAAGGACCAGGGAATCATCAGTCTGGTAAGTCTATCCTATGAGAATGGCCAGGAGAGAGGATGTTGGATCGGACAACAGGTTGCTGACATGGTGCAGACTGTGAACCCAGGAAACCTCAGGTCTGACCTCCAGCGATACGGCGGGGATGGAATCATTCAGCAGCTTAACAAAAAGCTCCTCCTGTTCCCCCCAATCAACGGAGCATACTCTGAGCTCTTTTGCGGCCTGTCTCCGGAAGTGACGGCAGACAAGTCAGGAAGCTATGGTATGTATCTGCGGATTCAGGCCCCTTTGTAGCACAAACTGTGAGTTAACTGTCTCGACAGTGATACCTTGGGGACGATTTGCCAGCATCCGAGAAGATATTGAAAAGGGAACCAAGAGCCCGGAGGAAGGGGGAAGCGGCCTGGGAAAGATATGGTACGACTGGTGCATGGAGCAGGTTGCCCCGTTCATGTAATGGCTTCGTTGCCAGTTCCTTTGCTCGTAGTTGTATTTCTTTGCTCGTAGTTGTATCAGAACACCTTTACTTTTCCCTGTGTACCAGTATCTAATCGCAACTTTGTTCCTATAGTCACATTCAATCGCAGTTACACAGTCATCAACAAAGCCTCTAAATGCGTGTCCGTGGACTCTGCAATCCACGAGTCGAGCTTGTCCGAGTTGAGCGTGAGACTCATCATTGTCAATCCAAAAGGATCAATGTCCTCCACCGTTGTCTTCTCAAACAGCCAAGCCGTCTGAAACGGCACCACAAACAAGGGATCCTTTCGCTCCAGCATGTTCTTCCACAACGGCGCAGACGCAGCATCCCAGAGACCGCGTCGAGCCGTAAAGTCAATGGTCCCATCGCAGTGCCCGGTTCCATCTCTGGCTACGAGGTAGATGCAGGTTGTGCATGTGCTCACCATCCAGACTCGGCGCACATTCTCCATCAGGATCCAGATACGCCACAGCTTGACGACTGCTTCGGTATTGTCCCGGGCCACGAGATAGTCGCCGCCAAACGCGTTCTGGAGGGTGACGTCGACGTTGACAGAGTTCCACAGCTGCGCGGTCCAGTCTCGTAGCAAAGGGATGAGCTTCTCGGCTTCGGCTCGCTGGCGGATGTGTCCGTCATAGAGGCCGATGAAGACGTATATTAACAGGGAGAGCACCCTAGAGAGGTGTTGGATGGTCGAGAGTGGTGACACTGAGGCGAAACCACCAACAAGCAGAGCTTGCTCGGCATCAGAGTATCTCTGAACTAAGGAATCGACTTTGTCTCGAATGTGCTGCATCACCGTCTCTTCGTTGTTTTCGTTCTTCATGGCATACAGTGCCATGGCTGCATAGGCATCCTGAACGCAGGGCGGCATCCCCGTCTCCGCGAATAGGGACCTGTGAATCATCGGACAGTGATCTAACTCGATCCATTGCATCAGCCATTTTCTCACGCGTGGAAAGTACTGCTGGAGGACTGAACCGCGAATTGCGGGAAGCTGAGGCGACTGTACGTCGCCGTGGTAGATGACCCAGTGCTCTGCCTGGAGAAACCAGGAAACGGTAGAATAGGGCAAAATCGTGATGCCATCAGCGGCTTTTGAGTAGCTTCTGCCGCAGGATGTGTCATTGCAGTCCTCGGCATCTTGCGAGGCTAAGAGTGAAGAGTCCAGCAACGGCGTCGCGTGAGATTCTTCGCATCGATTGGAGCCAGGGCTGTTGGTCTGGGGCGACTTGGCAGCTCGACGAGCATACGGCCGGGTTGCAGAGTACCGACAGGCCACTTCCTTGTCCAGGCATCTCTCACACGAAGGGCGGTTCATGTCGCAGCGCCGCTTTGCCCTCGTGCAGGGGATGCAAGCTCTTCGGCGGAGATGAGCGGGATTGGCATCGGGAGTGGCGTCTTTGCTGGGATCAGGCTGCATGTCTGCTCTCTCTCTTTTTTCTTCCTGTAATGCGGAAGGTCAAGTTGCGGATAATCTGTCACAGGTTCTTTTCACAGGGAGGCTCTTCACCAAAGAAGATAGGAGGATATTCGATGTTGGTGCGGAAGAGAATTGACGGAAGATGATGCCGAGAATTGTCGGGAAAAAGGAATCCACTGACAGGCAGGTTGATAAGCGGCGGAACATTTGCGGAACTCCGGCCAAACGCCTTTTTTCATGCTTTGCAGCAATTTGGCGGAAACTCATGATTCAGCATGGAGATGACGACGGAGTACCTACTCATAATAAGGTAATGACTGAATCTCACGAATCCGAGTTGTGCTTTTGGTAATGACTTGGGGTTGTGCAGACAGTGAGTAGTGAGATATGGTGCTTCCCCTCTGCCTCTCAGCCTCAGAAACTCATCATCGTTAAACGTCGCACCGCCATTGAGCATCACGACGGTCTTCATGCCCATTCCTTGAGATACCTGTATCTTGACATGGGTTTGTCGTAATCAATCTGGCTACTTGTTGTTTGAGCTCGGTTTGTGATCGTGGCACACACAAACAGGCACAGACTCAACTCGCAGGTAATGCCACCAATTGCCCGCAATCATCCGCCAGACGCCGAGCCCTGCCGAAAATGCAACGCGACCAGCTGCCGCTTTATGAGATTGAGACAATATATTCCGAAGCTGGACCATAGTTCTGGTACTCGAAGGTTCCTTTGTATAAATGGCTCGCTTCTTCTGGCTCTGCCCCACGACTTCATCCCATATCATCATACCTTATCCATCATATCGAATCATCACCTACTCTCAAGCTTTAATAAACATAACGGCTGCCATGTCTCTTAATGTTTCTCCTCAAACCAAAACCATTCACAAAGCCGCATATCCAGCCATTGCAGCCTCCCGCCCTGAGCTCTCCCAACAAGATCGCGTCGTCTACGTAACGGGAGGCTCCGCAGGTATCGGCTTCGCCATCTGCCACGCCTTTGCCGACGCCCAAGCGGCCACCGTCATCCTCACCGGCCGTCGTGAGGCTGCTCTGAGCGAGGCCGTCGATGCCCTCTCCAAGGAGCACCCAAAGACCAAGTTCATCGGCCAGGTACTCGATGCCGCTGATCGTCCGGCAACGGAAAAGGCCTGGGCTCAGCTTGAGAAAGACGGCGTTGTCGTCGATGTCTTGGTTCTGAATGCCGCCTATGTGACGCACAGACAGGCTCCCCTGGTGGATCTTCCATACGAGGAGGCATGGCCCAGCTGGGTGACCAACGTCGGCGCAAACTATGACCTGATTCAACGATTCTATCACCAGAAGAACCGTGTCCCGGGCCAAAAGCTGGTGAGCGACTGCCTCGAGAAGCCGAAGCATCATGGCTGATTTGATCTCTTTTTCTTATGGCCTCGTGCTTGACGTTGACACAATGTACAGTCCCTCGTCAACCTCTCGACCATGGCCATCCACGCGTTCGAACAAGTCAAGGCATTCCCTGCTTACTGCGCCTCCAAGAATGCGGGGACCCTTCTCGTCCAGCTCTTTGCTCAGGGCGTTTCCCCCGATGACATGCAGATCCTGAGTTTCCACCCCGGAGCAATCTGGACGGACTCGGTACAGAAGAGTGGCGTCCCCAAGGAGGCTTATGCATGGGACGACGGTATGTATAGAGCGCTCTTGTCTTTTTCTCTGTTTTTGCATGGCCATAGACTCGCTGACCGGGATATACAGCGACGCTTGCATCCAATTATGCCGTTTGGGCAGCTTCTGATGAGGCCAAGTTCCTCCATGGGCGATTTACCTGGGCGGCTTGGGATGTGGAAGAGCTTCAGAGCGAAGAGTTCAGGAAGAGGCTTGAAGAGAAGCCGACGTACCTCCAGGTTGGAGTTATAGGCCTTTCATGATGGACATGAACGTCTTGGGAGTCTTGTTGTTGTCGAAGGAGCTGTTCCATTGCACAACGTAGTTATTGTAGGATCAATCGGACGTGGACAGAATATAGCACATAGACTTTCCATTCAACATGTATCTCCTTCATCACAGCTTGGACTGCCCTCTCTGCGTCAGGATAGGATAAAGTTCATCTGCTAAAGCAAGGAGCTTCTCGTCTTCAAATCGTTGCCCAATTAGCTGAACTGCCAGCGGTAAGCCATGGAACCTCTCCGCATCGTAGAGCTCCTGAATAGATCGATCCAGGTCACTGTAGTAATTCTCGAGTGGCATCCCGACGTCCAACTTCTTATCCACAGCCTCGCTCAAGGGTATCGAAATACCCGTCCAGTCGACAAGATTCATGATACTCGTAAAGGCGAGCCAGGTAAACTTATCAAAAGGCACGGCAGTATGCGGCGCATTGACAAAGAGGATCCCATCGAGGGGTCTGCCGCCGTCCGGTCTCCACAATCTCTTCATCTGCATGGCTATGCGGATGATCTGGAAGTTGAGCTGATGCAGATATTCGACCGTTGGCTCTGGCCGCCTCTTCTCGGGTGTCATGACTTGTGCGGCTTGAACAATCTTGGTGTGCGGCTCGGATTCAAGCAGTGTGCGCATGTGTGATAGATCCATGAATTCGCCAAACTCGCGGTGAACATCCCACGCTTGCTGGAATGGAGGGGGAGAGAGCTCAACCACGTCGTATCCAGCTCTCCTCAGCCTGTCACAGGCAAGACGAAGGCCTCGCTCGACGGGTGGATGAAGATGGACCACGCCAGTCTTGAGCCAGACGCCAATTCGGGGCTCCCTGGGAAATGTTATCTGCATCCACGGATGTGGATATATGAAAGGGCTGTCATTCCATGGCTCCGCACTCGCCATGACTTTGGCTGCTAGTCTCACGTCTCTCACCGACCTCGCAAGGAAGCCAGAGACAGCCGGAGGCCCCAGAGCTGTTGTGCCCATGATGCCCTTGCCCAGGATTCTTTGGCCATCAATCGGGACTCTGTACGCGCTGGGCTTGTATCCCACGACGCCGCATACCGCAGCTGGAATCCGCACACTTCCCGCTGCATCCGTTCCCAGTCCCAGGGCAGATCCGCCCATAGCAATCAGCGCAGCCTCGCCCCCTGAAGATCCGCCTGCTCCAAACTCAGCGTGGTGCGGATTCACGGTACGGCCGAAGACGATGGAGTCGGTGTCAGCGGTCAAGACGGTCTGGGGAACTGTTGTCTTGGCGATAATGACACAGCCGGAATTGAGCAGCATCTGGACAGCTTGACTCGTCGATCTGGCTGGTCGGAAGCAGAGGGAAGTGATTCCAAGTGAGCTGTCGTGCCCCTTGATGAAGAATTGGTCCTTGACGCTGATCGGAAGACCGTGAAGAGGCCCGACAGGTTTCCCTCGCTTCTTGTACTCGGCGTCCAACCACTGAGCCCGTCCGATGGCTTCTTCGAACATTATTTCGGTCAAGCAGTTGGTCAGCTGCTGCGCAACGGCGGCCCGTTTGCAAAACGACCGGGCGACCTCTTCAGCCGTGAACTGACCGGCAGACAGCAAAGAGAGCAATTTGGTGGCATCTCGAGCGGGGTTTGTGAGGGCAAGGTCTTGCTCTGTGAGGATCCCGCAACGCGGAAGATAGTCTATCGGCCTGGTTCCAGGAGGGAGAGAGCCTGAGAGCCGCCATTCCAGCGGAATCTTGGAGTCCCGCTCAGCTCGTTTGCGGGCGACGATATCCTGCCAGGATGACTGAGGCATTGGAATAATTGGAGCTTAGTAGGTATTTGTCAGTGAGTAGATAAGGTGTTGAAGGTGAAAAAGTCGGGTAATGGCATGGCATAGACTTACTCGGTCATTGCGTGTTGGTTCTGAGGTCATGGCCACGGTTTGCTGTGAGATTATAGAGGCGTTTTGCTCTGGGTTGAATAATCATTTCTTTAGCAACTGGACGAGGCCGAGGTGAAGCGAATTACCTAAGAATGGACCAGTTGCTGTAGGTAGTACAGAAAACAAGACGAGACGTGCGAAACCCCGGTAGAGACAAAATGTATGCAAAACCGGTGATTCAGGTGCTCGTTAGATCTTTTCAGTTTTGGGTTACTCGGGCTCTAATTGCATTCGTATCGCTATCTTCTACAGACGTGATTCCTTGCCCGTCAAAGAAGGGCGCCGGACGTTCCCTATCGCTTACATCCAGCATTGGCCGTGATGGGCTGACAGAGTCATTGACAACAGAAGACCGTCAATCCAACACTCCTTGACCAGTTCAGGCTATAGAGCATCCTACTTTGAAACAGAATTGAGGCGCAAATGCCATCAATAGAAACATATCAAAGACTCCAGAGTTTGTTTCTCACGATCGGAGCTCGGCTGCTGTTATCACTGTAGCCACCGCTGCTAGCACCAGCTTTTGACATTTTCCATGCTACCTAGGTACAGCTTCGTACATCGCCGCGGTGAGCTATTGCTCGACCAAAGGAGTCAATCTAGCTTGCCTCAGTCTGTATGGCGAGCTCTCCAGCGACTCGATAGCCTCAGGAGCTCTGGATCGTCTCGACTCGTCCCCCAGACCCAAGACAAAGCAGCCACAATGCAACGTTAACCTCAGCAACTCCCCCACTCGCTCGCTCACTCTACTACTCGTACTGTCTCCTACTGTCTCCGAGGTCGTACATACTTACCTACCTGTGCCTGTCCCTCACTCCACAGTGACTCCTTCTGGAGCAAGGCCCTTGTGGCTGGTCTCCTCCCGGCCCCCCATCCAGATGCGGGGAGACGGTGCCGGGGCTCTCCCTTTTTGGGCAGTAAGCACACATCTTGCAGTGCCTGGGTCTGTGATAGCCGCCAACTAATGGAAGCCATACTCGGTCGCGATCCGCAGATTCTTGCCGTCGGTATGTCTCCGTATTCGAAACGATGAGGAAGGACAGCACGCATCAGCATAAACGATGGCCCTCCTTGTTGCTCCTGCTACTCGAACACCGACCGAGAATCAGGCCATATCCAGTATCGAATACGTCAGACGGTTCAGTCGGAGGAAGCAGCAGGGTCGGTTGCTGCAAGACCGGAGCAGCGAGCGGGGGATGGCCAGCATCCAAACCAGAACTCCGTGGGCTCGTCCTTTTCAACTTTCTTCCCTCCTCTCCACCCCCGCAAACCGCCATTCTCCTCACCTCACCCCTCTCTCTCTTTATTGTCGACTTAATATTCCTCTCCCTGTCTTGTTCAATCTCCACCCTAATCAGCTCCGTCGCTTTGCCTCCCTGCCGCCAAGCATCTTCTCGATTAGCCGGCGACAGTTATCACAATCCCGGGGTACCAGAAAGCGATCGTCGCTGTGCAGCCATCTTCTCCCTCTCGGACACCATCTCTCTTGTCTTGGTTTGCCTCCCCGTGTCCGCTGCATAGATATGCTGCATCTACTTGCCATCGACCGCGTCTCCAGGGGGTCAGACGCGTCTATCGCAGGAGATGCTTCCCTCGGCAAGTTGAGCATTATGTTTCTTTTTAAGCTTCCATTCAAATCGTCAGCAAAGACACCCCCGGCAGCATCACTGATAGGTGGAACAACCTCCAAGAAGCCATGCTAATGCTTGCCTGCAGTCCATCGACCCACGCTAGCACCCTTGTATTGATAGCCGGTGGCATCAACCTTGCTTTCTCCGACCTCGAAACTACCACACCAGCATCAACTTGGAAGGGTTGAAGAGCCAGCAGGTATGATAATCATCCCTCTTGTTTCGGGTCGGCCAAACAGCTGCTCGAGCTGACAAAGGGCTTCGTATCGGCCAGCACTTCTTCTCTCCTGTACCACCTACCTAGGTCCCCGTTCACTTCACCCACTCCATCTGACGGCTAGTGGCAATGTCGTTACATCGGGCCAAAAGCGACTCTCAGAAGTCGCACAAGTGGCGGCAGCCTTATCAGTCAATCGACACTCCACGCTATGCATTGGCAATTCCCTTCGCTCGATACAGTATATATGCATCATTCCCTGGCTCCGAGACCTGCGCAGTTCGGAGCTCGCTCTCCTGCTGTCACGTTGCCCAAGCTCAGCTACTCGCCTTGTTCGTGTCTCTCAGCCTCGCCTACTAGACGCCGAGGCTATTGTCTCAGAGCAGCTGCCCTTTCACAAAATTGCTTCTCCCTCTTCATCCCCCATCTCATCCTGAGCCAACGGAGCAATCATTCAGACACCCGCAGCATCCTCCTAAAAGATGGCAGACGCTGATCTCAAACACGAAGTCACACGTCTCGACTCCGTTCATGACGTGAAGCATGGCGGAGCTACCGCCGAAGCCGTCGAGGCTATTCGTGCCGAACATGAGCTCACCTTCACCGAGGCCTTGAAGCTTTATCCCAAGGCCATTGCTTGGTCAGGCTTCGTGTCCATCGGTGTCATCATGCTGGCCTTTGATCCTCAGCTGATCGGCAACCTCTACTCGACCCCTCAGTTTGCTCGCGACTTTGGGCACTTGTACAAGGGTGATGTGAGTGCCTTCTGTTCCGTCCTCGTCTTCGGTATGACTGACATTCCTCTACCGTAGTGGGTAATTCAAGCATCATGGCAAACCGCGCTCTCGATGGGAAACCCCATTGGTCAGGTCGTTGGTGCCCTCTTCGCCGCTTACCCCATGGACTACTTTGGTCGGAAACTCACCTTTGCCGTCTGCGTCGTTCTCACTGCGGGCATCGTCTTCATTCAGTTCTTCTCCAAGACACTCGGCGTTCTTCTCGCAGGAGAGCTGTTAGCCGGTCTTGTGCTAGGCATGTTCGTTGTCATTGCCCCGGCTTACGCCTCCGAAGTCTGTCCCACTGCACTTCGCGGCCACCTCACCTCCTTTGTCAACCTCTGCTTCGTCATCGGCCAACTCCTAGGCAACGGCGTCACGGCTGGTACCTCGAAGCTGAACAACCACTGGGCCTACAAGATCCCCTTTCTTCTTCAGTGGTTCTGGATCATCGTCATCCTCCCCGGAATGGCCTTTATCCCCGAGAGCCCCTGGTGGTTGGTCCGCAAGAACCGTTTGGAGGACGCTGAAAAGTCGCTGCGAAGACTGGCATCGCCCAAGGTCAACGTTCAGGCTACCCTGGCCTTCATCATGGAAACCGATCGTCTGGAGCAGGAGCTTGAGGCTGGCAGCACGTACTGGGATTGCTTTAAGGGCGATAACTGGCGCCGCACTGAAATATCAATGGGCGTTTACTGCACTCAGGTCCTCAGCGGCATCTATCTCATCAATTATGGCACCTTTTTCTTTCAGCAAGCCGGCCTCCCCACCGATCGCGCTTTTGATATGTCTGTTGGCTTTCTGGGTAAGTCCTTGTCTCACTTTCACCTGTTCCCCAATCGCTGCCAGAGCTCTCTTGGCTGATTAGCTCCATTCTGCTGCGCTGTAGCTGTCGGTTTCGTCGGAACTCTGGTTTCCTGGGCCCTCTTGATCCGAGTTGGTCGTCGAACGCTATTCGTGTCGGGTCTGGCCTGGCTGGTCATCCTCCAGTTCGTCATCGGTATCCTCGATTGCATTCCCGGTCGACCCTCCGGCGCCATCTGGGCAGAGTCGTCGTTGATGCTCATTTGGAACTTCTTCTACGACATCTCCATTGGCCCCGTCTGCTTCGTTCTCCTTGGCGAATGTTCCGCTACCCGTGTCCGTTCCAAGACCATTGCCGCCGCCACTGCTGCTCAGGGCATCCTCGGCATCGTTATGACGGTTGCCATTCCCTACATGATCAACCCGGAGCAGGCCAACTTGCAAGGCAAACTGGGCTTCTTCTTTGGCGGCCTCGCCCTCATCTGTCTCATCTGGTCCTATTTCCGCGTGCCTGAGACAATGGGTCGCACATTCGAGGAACTGGATCTCCTGTTCGACAAAAAGGTACCCGCAAGACAGTTCAAGGGCTACAAGCTCGAGGGCGCGGTGTCTACGGGGGCTGCATGATGAGATGCCCGCTCATGGGGCGAAACTGAGGACGGTGGGATATCGAAAAGAACAACAAAATTGGATCGCTAACAGACGGAAACGGATGGGCGAGTGTCTGAAACATTCTTGACATCGCATCGAGAAGCGGTTGGAGATAATGAGTGAGGAGAGTCAGAAGAAAAACATGTTCCCTCTTGGATACAAGCATCATTATGAGGGATTGAGAAGGGGTAGAGTTATTGGGTGTGTTTTTGAAACCGTTTTCATCTTTACAGGTGCCTTGTTGATCGCACCGGCGAAGCCCTTGAGTCGCCGTGCTTGGTCCAGAACAGCATTGTCCCGCTGAGAGCTGGTCATACGTCTTCGGAATTGGAAGAGAGGGCGGGAAATCGACTTCTTGGAAAGTGGGTTGGGTGGGAGGGATCATGTCTTCTTGGACACCGACACCGGGGTGGGTAAGTGGGATCACGCCTTCTTGGACACCGAGACGGCTGGTAATCTCATGGTCATTTGGCCTCTTTTGTGTTTTCGTTCTTTGTCTTTCTTCCCTTCTCTTTATTCCTTCTCTTTCTGGTTTTGGCGGTTCTTGCTCGCTGTTTGCTGTTTTATGGGCTTTCTTATGCGTGTCCTTGTTTGTCCTGTTCGTTGGCCTTTGTTTCTCTGCGGCTCGTTATGTTGCGTTTTTCTCCTATCATCATTCCCTTCTTGTCTATCATGGTACGGGCGTTTCGGGTCAGGTTTCTTCTGTTTTCTGCGGCTTCGTTCGTTCTTGGGTTCTTTCCCTCAGCGCTTCGCAAGCCCTTAATGTCTTTTTTTCTTGTGGGATTCATAGAGGGAGTTCTGTTTGTGTTTACGTGGTGCTTTTTTGGCCCCTTCTTGGCTAATTTCCTGTTTCCATCTTTTCGTTCTCGTCTCTTCTTCCCTTTTCTCTCATTATATTCCATTACTTATTTTATCCCCTTGCATGCATGTTTACCTGTTCTTCTGTGGGTTTCTAGAGGAGTTCCTTTTTGCTCTTTTAGATGGGTTGGGTGAGTTTCTGAGGAAGCCTTCTTCTTGTCTGATTGGTTCTCTTCTTATGGGTTCTTAGAAGGGAGTCTTTGTTTTTTGACGGGTGCGGCCATTTGTTTTGGAGGCGTTTCTATTGTTGTGTTCTGGTTCTCTTTTTGCTGTTTCGTTTTGCTTCCTGATGTTGTGTGAACATTTGGAAAGTCATACCATTCGTTCTGTTTGGTCTTTCGGAAGGGATTCTGTGCGGGCGTTCTGGTTTGGGAGACTTTGCGTCTTTTCGTTGTTTTGTTTTTATGCTGTTGCTTTTGTTTGCTATTGCTTTGCTTTGCCGTTGCTTTCTTTTACTTCATATCATTCCTGGGTCTCCTTAGGAGGAGGTTTTCTTGTCCTTTCGGCTGGCTCGAGAGGCTTTTCTGGAAACCATTGGGGAAAAGTCTATGGAGTTTGAGAGGGCGGCGTTCTTCTGTGGGAACTTTGTTTCTTCATGACCTTTTTGGGTTTATTGTTCTGGTTCTTGTGGTTGGATGGATGTGGTTTTGCGTCTTTGTGGTTTGGCGAGTTTGTATCTGTTCCTTATTTGTTGCGGCGCAACCTTTTGTGGGATTAGACAACCTTTTGGACTGAGTAGCTAGTAATTGATATTGTTAAAAAACCCTGCTGAACCGTTTGCATGTTTGGAGATGTCTCAAATGCTCCTCCGCATATACTATTCTGCTGCACGTGGATGAAGTGCGGAAAGGTTGACAATCTGTGAAGAAATCTTGCAATGAATCACTGATTACAAGGTATCAACATCTCTGTACAAAGCCCAATTATCCTTGATTATCATGTCATTTCATGTCATATCCTCAGAAGACCCCCCTGGCAGAGACACTCTCTGGATGGTGATAGGCGTTACCGCTTCCTGTCAATTATAAACGCCGTTTCGAGATACTGCAAACACATCTGCAACGCGGTAATGAGAAAAAAGGAGAAAGCTCGTGGCGGCCAATCTCGGTCTCCCTAATTCAATTCTATTGGTGTGGGAAGCCCTTCAATCTACCAAATCATACTCCGAGACTGACAATGCAGAGTGTACTTCTAAAGGGTTGACGAAATTCCTGGTGCGATGGAATCAATCTTGGCCAGAAGCTCGTCAAAAAACCTCTTTTGCACTCCCTGGCCCCATCGGTTCGTGACGTGCTTTGCTGGCCTGTCCAATAGAGATGGAATGGTTAGTCCTCTCGGATATGCGCGATTTCAAGCGACAGAGGAATGGACATGATACTCACGCTTGGACGTGGCAGTTGTTCAAATAGTGACCGTGGCTGGTCTCGTCTGCCAGCACGCCGTGGACCAGCGTCCGGCTGCCCTCCTCCGCAGTGCGAGCCAAGAGTTTCTCGGCCACCTTGTATGCGGCCGTCTCCATCTCCTTGCCTAGATCTGACTTGCACCAGCTCGGGTTCGGGGTGTTGATGATAAATCTGCCTTTGTTGCTCGACTTGGTTCTCTCGGCTATTTCTCGTACGACGTAGAGAACAAGAAGCTTGGATAGGGGGTACCTCCCAGCCATGTCCGCTCGTTTCGGGTTGTTGAGTCGATCCAAAATCAACGTCTCCTTCTCGTTAAGTTCGGCAAGGGGTGCCATGTAATGCAGAGCGCTGTTGGGAATTGAGAAGCGGCACGGATTGCCAGTCTGCTGCTCTGACCTGCGCATCAGCGGCAGTAAGAGAAAGAAGAGGAGAAATGTGTTGACGACATTGACGTTGAGCGTCTTTTCGTTTCCCTCACTGAGGGTGAACTGGCCTGTCATTATGCCTGCGTTTGCTAGAACGCCATCTATCCGAGGCAGCAGAGATGCTCGCTCAGCAAAGGCCTTGACAGAATCCTGGTTGTCCATATCGATGGGCCACACTTCTATGGAGGATTCCTGCTTGCCGGTAGATTGGAGAATCTGCTTCTTGGCCGCTTCCCCTTTGGAGGGAGTTCTCACTGCCATGATGATTTTTCCCACGCCAAGACGGGAGAGATGGCGGGTGGCTTCGAAGCCGAGGCCACTATTTGAGCCGGTGACGATGATGATGTGATTTGATAGATCGACCGAGGTGGTGGGTATAGGAACGGTCACGCAGACTTTGCCATAGATGACAGATCCCAAGCCATGAAGGGCAGCCATTGCGATGCCTATGGTCGTAGTCGTCTTGACCAGAGGAACAGGATACGGACGTTGGTTTCTTTATTCGCTGAACAGACTGAACACTAGATATCCTTGCCATCGAGGCTTGAATCATCCCTTGATGCTGTTTCTGTTTGCCAGGTATTTATTGAACATTGAGAAGCTGTCGTCATCAGCAGGCCGCCGCCTTCAGCTCGTTCTTCAGCATCTTGACATCCTGAACTTACAGCAATTCCATGCTTCCCAACGCCGACGTAAGTCCTGGCCACTGCTCGCGGGTTTCCGTTCGTTGTGGGGATACGGGGATAATATCTCCGCGATAGTGCTCACGCGGAGAGGGCCAGCCCGTCTGTGGCGTTTCCGTGACAGGGGACCATTGGACCTGTGGATGCTGCAGGCGGGATTCGTCGAGAAGGGGGGACCTGGCCGGAAATAATAGCCCCGACGGGGTCATTAAATGCTCCGCGAGTATCTGCGGTGCCAAGCGGTGCTTGCTCGTGGACGTCCCTCTCAGGTCCGCGCCTCTCCTAGTCTCCCGCTTCCTCTTTGCAATGTCGAGGCACAGATCGGAGATTTGCAGATTCACGAGTTTGCTTTCTCCCTCGGAGTCGCGCAATGGAGTTTGGCCCTAGAAGGATCGAAAAGCGGAATCGGGCGCCCGTCTCGTGCGAACCATGTCGAGCTCGAAAGTAAGCACACTAAGTGGCAAGTCGAAGGCATGGCAGGACACTCATCTCTCACAGGCAAATGTGCAATCGCGGGCAGCCATGCGAGGGATGCACCAGGCGAAACCAGGCATCGTTGTGCCGCTATGCGCCAAATGCCATTCGCAACAAGCCTCGGGCGCAAAAGCCTGGCAACATTCAGGAGCGGCTGGATAATCTCGAGATGATGCTGTCTTCGATAGCGTCGAATCCCTCCGTTGCCGCGCTCGGGATAGGTGTCAAGGCCGGCAAGCAAGCTGCGTCCAACACCGCCAGCAGATCGTCAGCGGGTTGCTCTCAGCATCGGGCATCTGCCACGCCTCCACAGGCTCGCCAGGAGGATCATGTTTTACCGCCTGAACAGCCTCATCGCCATGAATCTGGAAATGGCCAAGTCAGCTACATCGAGCCCAGCCACTGGAGGGCCATTCTGGACGAGATCAAGGAAGTCCGGGAGCATCTGTCGGCGTTTGACCGGCCCCTGTTGCAAGAAGAGCCGGAGCGCAAGAGCTTTGTCCCGGAAGAAGGGGCCGAGTACCTCTTTGGCAGGTTTCCAGTCGTGGACATGGAAGACGTGATCAGCTCCGTTCCGGCGAGATCGGTTTGCGATGCTCTTGTCTCGCAGTATTTCAACTCGAGGTACATGGTTCTCGGTATGTTCTCCTGGTTGCTGGACTTGGTTCCAGCGTTCGCCTTTGCTAATGTTGTCTGCGTCTAGGCATCTTGCACCCAACCAAGTTCCAGAAAGAGGTCAGTTGCTCCCAGTTCGCGTTAAAAGGAAATAGAGAGAGAATTCTCTCTTGTATCTCAAGGTGACTGACGAGGCGTGGAGGAATAGTATGAAAAGTTCTGGGAAGCCCCCGTGAAAGCGCCTCCTCTATGGGTTGCACTCCTCTTCTCCGTCCTCAGCCTCACAATGGCTCTGCGCCAGATGGCCGGTCCTTCGGAAGGCAGCGATTCAAGTTCAACTATCAGCAACTTACAACAGCGAACCGTGGAGTGCCTCGTCCTGGGACGCTTTGCCACCGCAAACGCATACGCTCTCGAGGCCATGATGCTCCATCTTCAGAGCTGCTACCTCACCCACAACAAGCTCACGTCAGACCACTGGTTCGAAATGGGCACCTTGATCCGCCTGGCCTTTCGAATAGGCTATCATCGAGACCCGGACACGCTGCCTGGCATCTCGATATTTGACGGGGAGATGCGGCGTCGCGTTTGGCACAACATATTCCAGGTGGATGCGCTAATGTCTTTTCAGATGGGCTTCCCCAGCATGATCCCGACCGAGTTCTGCGATACAAAGGTGCCGAGGAACCTGCAATTTTCCGATCTCGAGATAGGCATGACCTCGCTACCCCCTGGGCGGCCGCTGTTCGAGAACACTCCGATCCGATATCCGATAGCAAAGTCGGGCATCATGTCAGTCTTCAAGAAAATTGTTGCCCACTCGCAATCTCTTTCGTTACCAACCTACGAAAATACGATCCTGCTCGACGGTGAAATGAGGGAGACGTACAACGGCCTACCAGAGATACTCAAAGGCAGAGATGTCAACCGTTCGTTTATGGATCCATCGAGCCTCATCTTCGAGAGATGCACGCTGGAGATGCTCTATCTAAAGGGGCTCATTGTTCTCCATCGACGATACATAAACTACGACGTCGACAGCCGTCGATTCGAGCACTCCAGACGAACATGTGCCGAAGCAGCCCTCGACATGTTGGCTCGCCACGCGGATCTCCACCAAGCAGCTCAACCTGGAGGGCGGCTGTACGATGACCGCTGGATGATCTCGTCACTGACAATGCATGATTTCCTCCTGGCCGCCATGGTGGTTTGCTTGGATCTTTCCGTCCGTCTCCGACGCCCTTCGAGTATCTTGTCGCCGGGGAAGGATCATGATGTCCTAACCAGAAGAGAGTACCTTGCCCTCCAAACGTCACGAGCCATCTGGGCTGCGAACAGCATTTTATCCCCAGAAGCAGGCCTTGCGGCTTCAGCGCTCGGATTGATGATCCAGAAGGTTGCTGAGAAGGACGCCAGCCTTGCCTCTCAGGCTGTTTCCCAGCCCAATGTGGCGGCAGAGCATACCAGTCTTGCCGTTTCTACCGAAGACCTTCCGTACGCAGGGCCCATGTCGCAGATGATTGATAGCATAGAGGGGCTGGATTGGGTGAGTGGTGTCTTGATACCCGTTTCAATGATTTTACACACGATTGCATCTAACAGGACAAAGGGGCTTTTGGACCAATACTTTCAGAATTACCCGGTTGAAGCAACACGTATGGAGGGACTCGACTTGGATTCTGGGGCCTCTCACTGGTTTGACATACAGTAACGGAGAGTGAATGACTGTGATTAGTATTACGACCTGTTTGTTCGATCAAGTAGATGCAACACGGCAACTTAGGAAGCGATTCGTGGAAGCTCCTTTGTCCGAAAGTACAATGTTTTCAGCCTATCAGCTTTGCAAACAAGATTTTCAGGATTACATTCATCATGGATATGGAGGCGCTGATGGGATTTGAAGCACGTTTTGGTCGCCTATGGATTTTCCAGCAATTAAACAGCTGTCACAACAGGGGTTTAAGGGCATTTGAAGTCAAAGGACTTGCCTCATTCATCTGTACATTACATTGATCCAATCCGAGCGTCTTCTTTCCCGATGGCCATGAGAATGCCAGACAGTGCTTACTGGGTACATCTCGACATCCTCAATCAGGGTCAGTCCTGGATCACGGACTTAAGACGCAGGAGAGAGTGCACAACCAGGAATGAACAGGCAATAGGCATTCATGTACGTTTTGAGATTTCTGGCTCTTGATACTATGTCCATTCAAGATCATCCTTGTCTCACCCTGTACTCAGCTCAGAGTGGGTAAAACCTTTGAGTGTTTGACCTGTCTCCCCCCTGAAGAAACTGTTCTACACCGCCCGGGGATTCTGCCCACGGTCCTAAAACACTGCGGCGGAAAAACATTCCTCTCCAACCAGGCATCACCTACCATTCTCTTGCACCGGTGTCTCCGTTCACCTTGCACTTTATTGTCATCGAACTTTACATCTATTGTGTGATATTTCTCTGCCTATCCTCCACAGATGTTTGCTGTCGACACCGTCAGTTCTCTTTATCTACCTTCTTCGAATCTCTCTTCTGTCGATACTCTCGAAATTGTTTTTCAGATACTCTCTGATCATCTCCATCTCTTCTTTGGGGCAAGGCCACTAGCTGTTTTAGCCATCTTTACATCCTCTCTTCCAATTTGGCTATTCTTTCTTTCTTCGTTGTCACTCGTTCTCGAATTCCCCTTTGTGTCTTGCCACTCTTCCGTGTGGTTCTTCCGCCTTTCTTTTGCGATGTTTCCTCTTGTTGGGAGCCTCTTTCCGGTACTTTGTGTGTCTCGACCTCTTGATGCCTCCGGTAAGTCGACAGTGGTCATCATCGGCTCACCAAACTCTTAAGGTCCACGGTAGAACATTGACCTAAGCATACGAACAGGCCTATACTGATCTCTATACCACACTCGACATCTGCATCAACAGGATCCAAGACACGCCTCCTTCGCATTGCTGATCGGCCGACCCGCGGACAACTCCATCACCTCAACTTGCCGAACCAGAGCCCCCTTGTGGGATACGATTCTCTGCATTCGAGCATTTACCGACCGGTGCAATCTGGGGCAACCCAGATTCTACACCCCAAGTCTCATACCTGTCGACGACTGCTATGACTTGTCACCTGGAACACCCTGATATACTTATTGGTATGTCCCTTTAACAACTTGCCTATATCAATCTTCACCAGCCGATAATTCCTCAATGCTCATTAATGGCTTCCTCGCTAACGCAAGGGATTGACTACAGACAGACACGGGCTTGGCTCACCAGATCCAACATCTGGAACGACAACATTACAAAGGGCCAGATTCAACATCTGGAGATACCCAACTACCGTGACAAGGGTGTCATGGTGAGCCCCCGGATGTGCCAGCGGGCAGAGATGCGCAAGCCCAACGACCCGGGTAATGGTCGTCCTTTGACAGGCGAGCCCTCCTTTACCTTTCCGCGCTCTACAGGGGCCGTCGCGAGTTCGCTACTCCCGACGCTGAGGCGGCGGCGGCTGGGATGGAGGTACACAGACCTCCAGACCTCGTATCAGCGCGCCCTCTCCCCACAAGACTACGGCTTCTCCCCACCAGGACATAGATGCCAACTTCAGAAATCTCCGCGTCGAACGAAGTCCTTCTCTTTCTCTTCGCTGTCTCAGGCATCCCTGTTCTCTGCGAACTGGCAGCAACGGAGCCAGGCGGCGCATACAGACCGTCTTCACATCAGGCGATATAGTATAGATGGGAGCTTATTTGGCAATACCCATCCTTCGAGATGAATAGGCGGGGAGATTCGACATCCTCATCGTGCCTCTCCTAGTTGACCAGGCATCGGCACCAAATTCTACTTTCAGTTTCCGGACCCTATTGAGGCTTCGTTTGTGACACGACTAAACTAGGACAAGAGTGCTAAAAAGATAGTCTCTCCGATTCTGTCGCCTAGTTGGATATTCTTACGAGCACTGGCTGTCGTTCCAACTCGCGCTCTGCAAGGGATTCAGCGCCGTGAGTACTCATCTCTACGGGAGACTGACTGGCAGGGCTGGCCGCAAAAGGAGCTGGGTAAATGTGTTAAGGATACGATGTGATGAAAACTTATGGACAACACGTTCTATATTCAGCTCTTTTACCTCGCCTCTCTTCGGTACAGCCATCCTTCTTAGGCCCTCCCTGAAGGAAAACTCGTCGCAGCCTGAAGAATCCTAGACGAATCCTGGTATATCGACGCTCCTTATTTCGAATACGCTCCTGATCTCGAATGTCCGCCTATAAGCCATGATATGCCACGTACCCCGCTTAGTTGACGGACGTCTTCAGTCCTGCCAGAAATTGGCATTGAACGCCACGCTTTGCCCAAGATCAGACCCAGCAGCCGACAAGGCTTGAAGGGTCTGGAAGGGTCTGTTGTCCCTATGGACTCATGCCTCGCGATGCCTTTCCACCTGGTAAGTGTACCCGGTCTTTTGTTTCTATACGCAAAATGCGGCGGAGTGCTGACTCGAGCTTGCACAGGGTCGATCCTAGCGTGGCATCAGCTGGATGGCCAAGCCGCGCGTTGTTCCCGTCACCTTTTTCGCGGCATCTTGCCAGATGTGGCATGTTAGTGCTGCAGCCCCCCCTGGATCCCGACGAATGCGACGTCTCTCTATTGGCCAGGCGGAACGGATTGCCTCAGCCACGATCCATTATTCATCCAACGGCTAGGAATATATACTAGGATTGGCTTGGAGATTCGCGGCATCATCCTAGAACGGGCGAAGCAGAACGACAGTCACTTGATGCATGGACAAGATAGTCTCGCGATGAAATCCCTCTCGTCCTCTGCTCGTTGCCCCTTGTCATGGTTTACGGGATATAAAGCATAGCAGTCTCTCGTCCAGGAAATCAAAATGCAATCAAACTCACTCCAAGCTTCTCCAATCCTTGACAAGTACTTGATGAGATGTCGGCCTCTACTCTCCGGTTGCTACTGTCCCTGGCGGTACTCGGCTCTGGACTCTGCGCTCCTCAAACCGAAATCTGCAAAGCCTCTCCCGGCACTCCCTCTTGGCCGTCGGCTAAGGCCTGGGCTTCACTCAACAGGACGCTCAATGGACGGCTCCTCCAGCCTGTGCCTCCTGGTGCAGTATGTCATCCCGACCAGCCTACATTTAACTCGAGCCAGTGTGCCTCGGTAGCCGCCGAATGGAAGACGTACGAGTTCCACATCGAAAGCCCCATCTCAGTCATGTGGGACAAGTTCGACAACTTTACCTGCCTACCAGAGGAGGATGCACCATGCTCTCCTGCAGGGTATCCCGCTTATGTAGTGAACGCGTCAACTGCAGAGCATGTCAAGATCGGTATAGACTTTGGTAAGTTGCTCTCATCTTTACCAATATGTGTGCAGACTTGATAACGATCCGTCTCAGCTCGCAAGTACAATGTTCGTCTCAACGTCAAGAACACCGGCCACGATTACCTGGGGCGATCCAACTCTCCGGGCTCGCTCTCGATATGGACCCATCATCTTAACACGATGACATACAACAAGGGCCAGTACAAGCTACACGGCTCCAGCAGAGTCCTTCAGGGCAACTCCATCACCGTTGGTGGCGGATCTGAGATGTACAATGTTTACGTTGCCGCAGACAAGCACAACGAGACCATTGTCGGCGGAGGTGGAAAGACGGTTGGCATCGGGGGCTACATCACCGGAGGCGGGCACTCGGTCTTTGCGCCAAAGTATGGTCTAGCAGCCGATAATGTGTGGGAGATGGAGGTTGTCACTCCAGGAGGAGACATTGTCGTCGCCAACGAAGATCAGCATTCGGACCTTTTCTGGGCAATGCGAGGAGTAAGCCACACTCACGCATCTCGAAATCCCTTTTGATGACTCTATACTGACCACTTTTGAATCAGGGAGGCGGCTCAACCTTTGGCGTCATTACCTCTGTCACGCTCAAGACGCATCCGAGCCCCAGGATTCTGGGCCTCCTCTATGGAATCATTGCAGATCCCAAAGAATCCCTCGTCTACGACCTCATAACATATGTCCTCTCCCAAACACCGTACCTCATGGCGCAAGGCCTCTCTGGCTACAATTACATTACGAGAGACATGGCGCCACCTCTTGAGCTGCCAGGTGCTCCTGACCGCGTAGCCGGCATCCTCGGCTCCTCCGTCCTTCAAAATGTAAAAAGCCCTGAAGCCGTCCAAGACCTGTTCAAGCCACTCAACGACACCATCCGGAAGCGCTGGGGAGACAAGGTCCAGTTCTACGTCCTCCCCACCGCGTACGACTCCTGGCTAGCCTGGTTCTCCAACAACTACGACACCGACCCGGCTGGCGGAAGCCAGTATCTCGTCTCCCGGCTCATTGACGGCCAAGCCTTGACAGGGAGCCAACAGAAGCTCAAGAGCGCCCTTCAAGCGACCCTAACACCCAGCGGCACCATTGCAGCCTTCATGGTGGGCGGAAAGGGCGTCCATGATGCAAAGCCCAGGGGAGGCAGCAATGCCGTCAACCCTGCATGGAGGAGTGCATATCTCCACACGCGTAAGTCTTGCATCGCTTGTAGAGACACAATCCGAGCAAAGGTCACCCTGCTAACAAACGACCTGCACCGACAGTAACCAGCCAATCGTTTGGGCCGTTCAACAAGACTGCCGAGCAAGAGGCCATTGTGACCCTGGACAGCGAGTTCCAGCCTCTCCGCGATCTGACGCCCAAGTCTGGCGCGTACATAAACGAGGTATGTCACATTCTCTGAATTTCTCATTTGCCCCTTGTGTTCTTCTTGCGACCATGGTCATGCTGATCAGCCGTATTTTTCAATATCCAGGCCTTTCCGTTCGAAAAGAATTGGCAAACGACCTTCTGGGGTAGCAATTACGCTCGACTCCTCCGCATCAAGCGCGAAGTAGACCCATCCGACGTCTTCTGGTGCTCGCCATGTGTGGGAAACGAGAGATGGGAGGTTCGTCAAGATGGGAAGCTGTGTAAGAAGTAGAGCACCTCAGACTCAACTGATCTGACCGACTCTGTTCCTCGCCGCCCTCGCCAGCCGCGCCCGCGAGCTATGGAAAGCCAGGATCGTAACATTTCAGAAAGACGAGGCGTTGAGAGCTTTTCTGAACAAGTTTAGCATGGTATTTGATAAAATGATTTTCAAACAGTCACCTCAGCGTGGCTACGAACGCAGGTCAAAGAGACTTTCCACGACCTTCTCCTTTGTACTGATGTGGTGACTCAGCATTCACATTCCAATGCCCCTGAACAAAGCCTCGAGCTGAAACAACTGAGATTGCTACATGGCAAAGAGCAGAAGACAAAGACACAATCCCCCATAAACTCCTTGGTGCATCATTCCAAGCAAAGATAACGTCCTGTAAAAGATGTAAATGAACAATGTCTGACACCCAAATCCTACCAATCATCCCAGCCACAATCTTCCCCTCGCGAGACTAGATCCCTCTCCCACAGCGCCCTGCCCTCTGGTCTTACTCCTCCATCCTCCCACATCAGCATAATACTGTCTGCCTACCCAGTGATGTCGGCTCCACCGCGAAAGGTGCCCGGTGACCGATAATGCCGAAGACGAGGACGAGGAGAGGAAGATGATTCGGAAAACGAAATTGCTTCTGCGTCGTGCGTGGAGAAGCCGTAGTCTTGTGGGGAGAAGACAATGATGCTGAAGACGAGGGCGAGAAGAAGACAATGATGCCGAAGACGAGGACGAGGAGAGGAAGATGATTCGGAAAACGAAATTGCTTCTGCGTCGTGCGTGGAGAAGCCGTAGTCTTGTGGGGAGAAGACAATGATGCCGAAGACGAGGAGAGGACAATAATGCCGAAGACGAGGGCGGGGAGAGGGCGCGCTGATATGAGGTCTGGAGGTCGATGTATTTCCATCGCAGGCGCTGGTAAAGATGAAAGGGGATTGGGAAGAAACTGGCTGGCTGGGGCCTCTTGTAGACCCCCCACCACACCAGTTTCTTCCCGATTCTGGATTTGTGCTTTTTGGTACATCCCAAGAAACTCTTCATAATTTCCTCCCGAAGTTTCTCTTCGATGTGGCCGGCAGGCTAGGGCCTCTCGTAGACCCCTCACCTACCGGCCAATCCAGACAGAAGACGAGAACGCATCCGTCGAGCCAGAAGGAGAACGATGCCGAAGGTAAAGGGCGACAGCACGTCAAAATCGAAGGAGAACGTCAGAGCGGTGGTTTCAGGGAGGCCGAAGAACGGATATTGATTGGTGCTCGATTCGAATGGCCCTCATCCAGCTGGCTAGAGCCTCTTGTAGACTCCTCACCATGGCAGGGCCCTCGTCATCGTGGATGCGGATGTCGAACGGACAATCGACGGCTGGAGCCTCTCGTAGACTCCCGGCCGGTGCAGACCAACTCACACCATGTGACGGATTGAAGCACGTCCGACGAGCGGCCGAAGGGTAGGAGAATACGTGGGACATCTCGAGGAATGTTGGCGAGCCGGGGTGTCTGGGCAGATGGTACGATGTGATGACTCGTGGTTTTGTGTAGGTCCGGTGATGACGATCTAGGAGAAGGAACATGGGTTAGTGAGAAACTCCGCCGAGACGTGTGTAGGTAACGTTGAATCACAAACCGTATGGCCACTGACGTGGGCGTCCAACATGGTGCTCGGGCGAAGAGCAACTCCGGTAGATGAAGAAAGGTGTAGAGGAGGAAGAAGCGTGGCGGCGGAAGCATGCACTTTGCGAGTGCGCCCCAAAACCAGTGAAGGGATGTCAAAGATCGAGCAAAGTCCAGTGACGAGAGCCTTGCGGTGACTCGAGCAGGGGACATTGAGTCGGAATGTGAACATGGCTGTGATCGATTGACATGAGCTGGGTTGACAAAGGCCCGATCCGTGACGAGTCCCGTAGGGATGTGTCGAAGCGGCATGGCTCGACTGCGCATGGCTTGGGGAGACCCGAGTTGAGACGAATGTAGCAGGGCCATAGAACAAAGATTGTGTTGGGAGAAAGTGATTGGCATCGATGGGCGTTGGCAGCGAGCGACGAACGTCGTGAGTTGGAGGGCAGATAATTGCTCTGCAAATTGTTGCGAGGGTCTCGAGAGGATCATGGAGATGAGGGGACGAGAGATAGAGGGGAGGGGAGAGAAGAGAAGAGTCTCGAGAGTCGGGGGGACGGCCCCTATTTATATTCGAGGGGAGCCAGAGACGCCTTCCGCCACAACACTGAGGCTGTTTCCCGTCGGGCAGATTCTGTGATCTCATCCTTACTGGGGAGTAAAGATCGACAGGTTGTTGGAGCATAAACGAATGGCAGGTAGAGGGCTGGGTAGTCCAGACGCAGGATCAATCTCGCAATCGTGCCGTGTCTTCCCGGGGCCACCTGTTGAAGAATGTCGGTGTAGAAGCACGAGGAGGGATGAGCGGGAGAAGCTTTGACGAATAAGCATGCCGAGTGGCAAAATGTGAATCAAAAGAAGCGAGGAATCGAGGCGGTGGTCAACAGCTGCCAAGGACCTGCCACTCGGTTCCGTGCTCCTGCACGCTGTAGTGCCACTGGTAGTTGACGTGATGAGTCACTGTCTCTTGGTGATGTTCTGGAACGGTTTGTTTGGCAACTGGTCGTTGGCTTCCTCTTGGGAAAAATAGGAAGCTACTCGAGTCTGCGGTCACTGAGAGGAGGCGGCGGCAGATGTAGCAGGAGAGCTCGGTATCAACATTGGAATCGCGAGCGAGCCAGTGGCACGGTGTGCCGATAGCTACCAGTGCTAGCAAGCATACCAGCATTCTGCAGTGAAGTTCTGGGATGTACAGGTGGCAGCTGAAGGGGGGAGACCTGAAAGGGTCGCATCCCCGTTTGATACAGCCTGGTCTGGGCCACTGCCGTCCCTTTTGGTACGTTAGTTTGAGCTCCAACGACAAGAATGGAAGCCTCTGTTCAATACAATGAAATTGTGAAACGCCTGGCAAGCTGTCCAATACTCCCGAGACTCTCACAGTCTCCTCATGGGGGTGTTGTTGTAAGGTTCTCTCTAGATATTCAAATAGCACCAGGAGCCTGTTCCTACGGTAGATTAGTGCTTGGTAAAGCTCGTGCTTCATCACATCTCCAAAGTAAATTGCAGGCATGTATAAGCATAACATCTGTTGAACAATGTTGAATGCAAGACCGGCCAACGACTGAATAGGGGTCACCAGATGACCGTCGCTAGATGCCCCTCCAAGGAGCAGGCTAGCAGAAAGTCAAGGCCACGCTCCAAATGCATCGATACGTCGGATAGGTTGTGCTCCTCGAGAGTGTAGGTAGGTAATGGAAAAGAAATACATAGGTATCAGGACTTCGTATTCCTTTCCCCTAGCCGTCTAGTCAGACGGCATTGGGCCGCATCTAGTCGCTCAGACATGGCCATTTACCGCCCACTGGAGTTGCATAGATCGCCAAGAGAGCTGGTGACACAGATCTATTTGCGTAAAGAAGCGGTGCATGTTGTGCCACGCGATGGTTCTATCTTATGGAATACTCAATACAACGTGGTCTGTCCACAAGAGTTTCTATCCCGCATTAACCACTACGCCAATTGGAGCGATGCCTTGGTCAGTCCAGTTAGTATTTGACATTCTCGCACCTCCATATTGCCAGGTCAACCTGATGGTAGAGATGTTCTCGGAGGCAGACGCAGAATGGATGCAAACTGCATGATAATGCGCGCAGGTGCGCATCAAGCGTATCGTACGAGTATCTAACGTAGCCAATGGCGGTCCCAAAGTAGCAAACCTGTGCGTCCAGCAACTGCTACTGACAGCGTGCCCTGCAAAAGAAGGTGTGCTGGCGTATCGCGAGGATCGTATCGATGGGGGGGGGGGGGGGGGGGGGGGGGAGATCGCTTCGTGGCATAATGTGAGGAGGCAGAACCTGGACTGGAAATCCGCAGTTAGCTTCTACAAGTTGGGACCGTAGCCTGGACATTTGATAAGGCGTGCAAAAAGATGGAAACCATTGCTGTTATATCATCAATTTGGCGTGTTGGAACTTCTTGCTGCCAGGGGGGAAAGGTCGAAGGCCAGTTGGGGAAAAGGAAAGGCCTGAGCATCTCAGGCACGGTAGAGCAATGGATCCAAGAGCATGATGGTGCTTGCGTGGCTCCAATGTCATCTCCTCCGATAAGGCATGTTGATGAAGGTCGGCAAGAGGGAGAGTCCAAAGGAGCGGAGTCTCCTCTATGCAGGCAGGAAGAAGATGAAGCCTGTCTCCTACGGAAGGGACACTGCGTCGACAGCTACAAGGCTGTAAGATGCAAGCGACATTCTTCTACTGCTTGGGAGCGATGGCGGCCAATGTCACCTTGATCCGGCAACGCAAGGCTGCCGTCAAGAGGAGCCGTCAAGAGACGCCCCCCCTTAGCACCTACTGCGAGCTTACCTAGGGGCTTAGCGAGCCATCAGTTACAGTGACGTCTTTGTTTTCTCTTTTCTATATCTTGCCCGACTTTTGATCTTCTTCCTGTTCTCTTCCTCTCCCACCATTCTCTTCTCCCACAGCCAAAGTCGTACCTATTGCTCCTTCAGCTGTCTTCTCAAGTCGTCTCCTCAAGCCGTCGCAAAGCCAGACTCCTATCGCAATATCAACAAGCGCTGCTCCAGCTTCTCTTCGCTCTTCCAACTTCCAAGCTTCGACCCCAGAAGACAAGATGGTACGCTGCATTCTTCCCCATTCCAGTCCTCTCAAGCCCATCTCGCACAGCATGTACCCCCTCAAGCAACCCAAACAGAAGCACTGACTCAGGCTACAGTGTTGCAGATGGTGGTGCAAATGCAATGAGCCGCGCAGAATGCTCCCGGTTACTCCGCCCGTCCAGCTTCGCAATCCGAATACTGTCTACAAAAGACACAAATGGAACACGTTCTCTTGGACCATGTTTTGCTGGTGCCCGGCCTGGAGCAGATCCGAGATACTTCATGCAGCCCCGCCGCTCGAGTATCCCAGGATTGGAACTACTTCTAACAATTGATCC